GATGAGCCGAGCCGAAGCAGTACTGAGCCCAGGTCCAGGGCCGGATGAAGGGTATAAGGAATTGGCCACTGCCCAGTGGAATAGGATAGGGAGCCCCCGCAATTTGAAGGATGGGGCTGTTCCCACAATTAAGGATGAGAATGCTCTGGAGTTGCATTCCCCGCCGCGGCTGGAGGCTGCAACTGGGGGCGACTGCAGATCTTGGCATTCTCATGCATGATTTTGTCATTGCAGCCATAGGCATTAGGCTTTGGTAAGTGAGCTATTTTTGCTTGAGGTTGCATGAGTGGACATGTCTTGCAAGTTGACATGTCCACCTTGAGGAAGTTGGAGTGGCGTGCCTATTTTGGCTCAAGCCACATGCGCACGGTGAATGAGTGCGCTGCCTGTGAAAACAACGAGCCGCTTCGCGGGTGTGCCAGAGAGTCGGGACACGGGTGAGACGTGGATTCTGGGTTAGTCCTTGGTTAGGATTAACGCCTCTCACATGTATGTATGTATGTATGTATGTATGTATGTATGTATGTATGTATGTATGTATGTATGTATGTATGTATGTATGTATGTATGTATGTATGTATGTATGTATGTATGTATGTATGTATGTATGTATGTATGTATGTATGTATGTATGTGTGTATGTGTGTATGTATGTATGTATGTATGTATGCATGCATGCATGCATGTATGTATGTATGTATGTATGTATGTATGTATGTATGTATGTATGTATGTATGTATGTATGTATGTATGTATGTGCGTGTATGCCCACAGCTCTTCGGGCCCCAAATGCACATCAGACTAGGATGCTTGCTTGTGTCTTGCAGGAGCCAAAACTGTGGGAAGTTCGTCTTGATGGTTCCCGGAAAGACTGCAGGGAGCCTTCCCCCAGAAGTGAGCTCTCAGCAGGGATTCTGAGTACATTGGGTTTTTTGCCTTATACTTTATTTCTTTCTCCCTTCCTCTCTTCCTCCCGCCTTTCCTTTCTTCCTTTCTCCCTCCTTTTCTCCCTCCCTCCCTCCCTCCCTCCCTCCCCGCCGGCGCAAGGTCATCACCCCAGTTCTCTCGCAAGTGCCGCACCACCTCGCAGACGCGGGCAGGTTTCGTTTATGAGAAACACGCAAAGCAATTGAGGGAAATTGAAAGTGGGAAACTTGAACCTGGAAACCGCAGGCAAACTGACTCTGGAAACTGGAAACCACCACACAGATCTCTGGAAATTGGAAACCAGCAATAAAAATTGGAAGTTTAAAAAACTGTCAATGACGTCCATTTGCTCAAGCCGCTTGGAAAAAACATATGTTCAGTAGTGATAGGTTCCCTTAAGAAATTGGAAAGAGAGCATAAAACAATGGTCTTAAGTAGAAACCACCAGCGAGAAAGTGACACCTCAAAAAACGAGCATGCTGAGCCGGGACCACAATACTCCCATCCACAAGCATGGAAACTCACAGGGAGGTCCTGGGAGACGGGTGTTCTTTAAAAGGGACTCCTTGGTGGGTTCCATGTTAGTGAACCAGAGGGTACTGTGGGTCAAAACCAATGGTACCATTTCGGGGTAGGTGCACCACCCATGTTAGTCTATTTTAGTGGGGATTGGGATGTTCACTGGGGGCACGGGCTTGTGACCCATGGCCGTATGTGGGTGCTGTAAATCACACTGGACATCAAACGACAGCAAGAAACTGGAAACCCATCTGGAGATCGGATGTAGAGATTTGTAAGCTCTGGCACAGATGCAACAGTCCGAAATGACACAAAGCAAGCAAGAACACAAACACAAATGAAACAATAACACCCCCCAAAACTGGTTGGTTTGCTGTTTGTTTCCGTTAAAACCATCCAATAGGGGCTCCCCGGTTTAGACAAATCCAAATCCACAACCAAGACCCTCAAACTACCCATAAAGATGGGTGATTGCCCAAATTTATGGTTGGCGATTCCCCTGTTTCATTAAGAGCTAGTTCTTTCGGTTCCAGGCACCCAACCCTTGGTAAGGTAGCAAACAACTTTTTTGTGCAGCCTACTAAAAATGATCCGAGCCAAACAAAGCAAAATACAAGAAACACACAACTTGTGCAGGTAAACATTGTTAATGATAATAGATAACAAGTGAACCAGGAACAATACACAAATAAACAGCCAGCCACCCACCCAGCCACCCAAACCGACCAAACAAAGGAGCCAGACCAGTGAAGAAAAAAATCAGAGCCAATCAAAGCAAACAACAAACAACTTGCAGGTAAGCAGTGTCAAACAACAAAACAAGTGCACCAAACCAAGGAGCCAGACCAGTGAAGAAAATCAACTGCCACCCACGCCAGCCACAGCAACAGCCCAGCCTCCGAGGCCCCCAAGTTCTGGCGCTGCTCCAGGCGCTTTCTCCGCGCGCGCTCGGCGTCCAAGAGGCTCATGGACCTCGAGGCAGGCGGGGCAGGCGCCAGGCGGGCGCCAGGCAGGCGCCAGGCAGCAAGGCTTCCATTTGGCGGTGGTCAAAAATCGGAACCCCAAAATGGGTTGCCCTTGTAAGAGGAAACATGGACTAAAAGCTGCGGTCCAATTCCTGGTGGTTTAAAGTTTTGGATACCCGGAGTTTTGGGTTCCCAGCCATGCGGTTCCTTGGGGCCTTAGGTCTTTCGTTGTTTTTTTGGTATTTAGTCGAAAGACTCCGAATTTAACCCACTAGGAGCTAGGCACAAGGGGAATGACCCAGTCCGGGTGTTGGACATGAACCGGTTTCAGGCGATTCCCCTGAAAACGGGGAACCACCAGAAAATTCAGGGCATCCGGTGGTTTGAGTTGTTTTTGGTTGGCTTGGTGGAGAAAATCCGAAATTCACCCAATGGGTCACTGGGAGCTAAACTTTTAGGGGATCTGAGGATAGCCCAAATAAGAATGGTGACCACCTGGATATCTTTTCGGACATCGGATCTTCCAATGAACAAATAAACACCGCGAGACCGAGGCCGCCCTGATTCTTTAGAAATCCTTGCCTGCCATTTGATGAAATGAATATGTTTTACTTTACCCTTGTTGGTTTTGAAGGGAATCGATTTCACTACTATAAACTTTTGGCCTCTCCAAAACCCGCACGGCCCCAAGGGTCTGATTGGGATTTGGGATATTGTTAGATATGAGCATTGCAAGCCCCATCCCCGCAAAGCTGCTCCCACCCTTTTCACATGGAACCTGAAGTTTGGGGGGTTCTGGTTTGGACCATTTTCGTTTTTTAAAGGGACCCCCCGAACGTCAGGTTCCATGTTAATTGGGGGGGTAATCGTCCTGGCCAATCACACGTCTGGAAGAACGCGCAAGTTCTGGTGCCCGATGTCCCTTTTGTCTGAGTCTTTCAGGGGAAACCTGACACATCCCTAAGCATCATTGGACCACAGAGCGGGGGGGGGGGGTTCTGGGGCACATACCCCAAAACAAATGCGATCCAGAAAGCATATGACTGCTCACAGGCCTCTCAGAAATGCATCTTCCAAATACCCGCCAGGGGATGGCTAAAAAAAATCCGTTGGAATCTAGGCGAAATCCAAGCTCCGAGCCGAGTCAACTGGGGGTCGGAACCTCAAAATGATTCAGCTGGGATAACAATTCATCACCCCCCAAAATCGGGGATTCTTCTCTTTGTCAAGGATAAGTTTGCAACCCAAACTGGCCTCCATGTCTTTTTTCAAGGTTGGACCGTCAACATGGATTCGGTGTTCCTTTTGGATTCGCTTTGAGCCTTTAAAACCAACAGCGAATTCCCCCCCGACAAAGGACCCCACCCAACTCACCATTTGGCCAAGGCCCCCCCAAGTCACCTTATTTGGAGGACACAATCCAGCGGTTGTTCGCGTATGCTGGGCGCGCCACGAGGCAAATCTTCCGCCATCCTCGCCCAAATCACCCACAAAGGCAGCATGAGTGGCCCTTCTTACCCCAGTGAACTGAGAATCGATCCGAACTCCTATAGGGCCACAAAAACATCCATATTTCAAGTGGCGCCTGAGCATGTGAACCTAATTAGACCAGCACCAGCAGAGGACCAACGCCGGATTTGGGGCTCACATTCGGTACCTGTGATGTTGTTATCCTGACTGTTGCCTTTCAGCCGAGAATCGGTTGAAACGCCTACAAATCAGGGACCCCCTAGAAGGGATTCCTAGCTCAGAACGTCGTTTTCGGTGTTCCAGAAATTGACAACTCAAAGCGCGCCCGGGCAGAAATGGCGTCCTCTCAGACTGACACCATCAGCTGAATTCACAGGCACTCTAAGTTTTGCTTCCATGTGTGGGTTCTCTGCTGATTTGGAGCGATGGCTGCCCAGCTCTGGCATCTGGTCCGAGATCAATGGGAATGGCTAAATGCGTTGAAGGGAAAGTGGGCTGCTTGGTAGGATGGTGAGAACATGTGTTGGGCTTTTCATGGTGATCTGTGGCAGGTCCTAATTCTGCTAAGCTGTGAAATGCCAGGTCCCCGCGTCGCGTTCAAGGACTGGCATGTGCACGTACACAACTCATGCTGCTGCACACCCACCGTCGCACAATCGGCATCCAGACTTTTTGACGGCACATCTTGTGCTGCACCCACACCCGCTCGCGAATTCGCGGTGGCGTGGCAAGTGAAACTGGAGCTACCTAACGAATATGTCAGCGTGTGTCAAATCAGGAAGCCCACCCGCTACTCACAATACTCTATGTTAATTCTTCCCTGTTGGTCAGGTTGACATGAAATATATGTATACTCGCAAGTAATAAACACAAACTTTAATAGTTAAGGGACACATTTATGCATGAACAAGTAGCGTTACGCAAGGGAGTGGTCGGTGCCAGTTTTGACACATGCACAACCTAAGTTCCCAGCTGCCCAGTGACAGCAAACGCCTTACACACAAAAATGGATGTTGGTCCATACTTCTAAAAAAAAGAGAGAGCATAACCTGAAAACTGAAGCTCAAGAAGCGAAACAACAAATTTGATGTTGGCCCAGAGTGAAGCTTGACCTGAACATCGATATGTTTGAACGAACGAGGCTGCCTTTCAGGCTCAGGGCGTCGAGGTCGCGCCCTTCACGTTCACCAGGTCCCGGCCCAAGCGTCCCAGGATGGAGTGTGGCACCTCAACGCTGGGCCGGGGGCCAGCGGACTTTGAACGCGCGGCGCGGCATGTGGACCCCATATTCAACCTATTCATATTCTGCACCACCTGAGAAACCCTGGAATGATTCCATTCCCCTGTAAATACTAACAAACATTAGTTTCCATGTTTTCTTTGTAGGGGGGCACTTCAGGATCCATGACTTCATTGTTTGGTGGCAAATGTTGACCCCATTTCATCAATTTATGGGGGGCTGGTTTTGGGCCCCACCGAAAAGTGGCATGATTCCCCACATTTCACCCAGAAATCGGAAATGGACCCCCGCCTAATAAAATGGGGTTGATTAATATGGGGTCACTTCTCACACGGGCAACTAATTTCTGAAAATCAGACCATCGGTGCGCAGGAGTTGCCTGAATGATACGCTCACGTCACATGTTCGTGGCGGAAGTCAAAAAAACAAATGCCTGAACTCGGAGCAGTCTTTCCGCAGCTGCCTTCAGATCATATGGTCTTATGCCGCAAAAAGAGGCCGCACTCGGGCCTTCGCCATAGACCCCCAAAAAGCGCTCCGTGGAACCCTCATTCTGTGCGGGCAGAGAGGGGGTCTGCTTAATCTTGTCAACCCCAAAGACGTATTCCTCCATTTGCTTAAGCCCTCTGGGAAGAATAAACAATGTTTGCAGTTGTGATAGATTCCCTTTAAAGTCAACAGGGGAAAATCAACAATATTTGTAAGCAAATAGAAGTATTCCAGTATTCCCATGGATGTTTTGGCAGGGGCCCTGCCTATTTGGCCTTTGGTAAATCTCACCTTGAGCGGCGGGGGACTCCAATCAGTCCGTGCCTTCAAGTGCGAAGCTATCTGACAATGACAAACATATGTAGACCTCTCGGCCCCACCATGGACCATGGACGGAGTGTGTAGAGTGCAAAGATGGCTCCCTAGAGAGGTCTGTATCAAACCACGCTTTGTGTTAAATAGCCAATGGCGCATGTCAAGTTGCTCTCTCTTTATGGAAGCCAACTTCACGGCGCTGTTGCACACGGTTGGGTTACATTGACTCCATTGACTCCATTGACTCCATTGACTCCATTGACTCCATTGACTCCATTGACTCCATTGACTCCATTGACTCCATATGGCTGTGTCTGTTGGAGGATACCCCCTTTTCTTTTTGGGTGGGGGGGGGGGGTTGGGGGGTTGGCGGGCTGGATTTCGAGGGAAACCGAAAGAACCCACCACAACTCTGTCCAAATTTCCACCCGAGCCCCGCGCAAAGCGCTCCGTCTCCGTCTCAAACCTCACCGCGTGCAGCGCCCGGCGGCACCTGCAGACTGAAGCAGGCAGGCAGGCAGGCAGGCAGGCAAGCAAGACATTAGCACAAACACAAAGAAAACAAAAGGAACGAGCAACTAAGCAGGAACCAAGCAACAAGCGACTCACCCGCAAATCATAATCAACACAACAAGAACAGCAAATCAGTACCATCTCAGAGAGAAGTGACTGGATTTTGCTAGCTCACTGTAACTCGCTGAGCTCCGGCCACTTTTCGTGGCAGAGAGGAGGCCATTGACAAACCACTAAGGTCATTGCCACATTCCCTACTGAGCACCACCAACCGCCGAACCGCCGAACCGCCGGGCCCCCCCGGAAAACTGAGCCTTTCGTTGTCCCCTAAAAGGAAGTCGATGTTGGCTTCCAGCAGACCTTGCTCCCGGTGCATCTCCTCGCTGACTTGTGTCCCCCTTGCTTGTCAAGGGTGATGTTGACCCCATGTTCATCAACCCCAGCTTATCAATAGGAGGAATCAGACCGCTTTTGGAGGGGCCAAAAACCACCCCCTATGAATAAACTGGTTGGTTGGTTAATATGGGGTCAATGGGTTGGCCATGCGTCGTGCATCCGTAGCCACGAAGCGAAACATCCGACCTCACGAAACAAATGCAGAAAAATATGTGTGACAAGAAGTTCCCGACCTCATGACATCAACCCTGCAAAAATCCATCCAAACCCATCTGAGATCTCGTGATGGAAGCGACACTGGAAACAACCTATGGCACCCCCCGTGAGTTGCTGACAGCTGACGGTGAAATGGTGTTCTCCCCCACCCCACCTGCTGGAGGCACACAGCATCACAAAAACAAAACAAAAAAGGAAAAAACAAAACACACAAAAAACAACAATCAATCAATCAATATCAATCAATCAAACAAACAAACAAACAAACAAACAAACGCATGTCCAATGCAGCGTCCCAACTTATTTCACGATTTGAGAGAGGACAGCCGGTTGAATGGCCATGCATGATCCTCTTTGCCAGCCCCATAACTCCACAAAAACGCCGAGCCCAAGCTTGGTTTCAACATCAGTAATTGGAATACTATAAGCCAGGAAAAGCCATCGTGCTTCTAGAGATCTGGTATCCGCGGCTTGCCAGGATGCGGGCTAGGAAGGGGGATGCAGCACTCGGGAAAAAACACATGAGGCCTGTCTCCCCATCTGGGTGTGTCTTTTCGGGGGAGCCCCGCAAAATTGTGGTTTTCCTTTTTTGGTTTCCCCTTAAAGCCAACCAAACATGGTGGTACGCAACAAAAGGCACCATCTGTCCTGAAGATTCTCCGCCATCTCGTGATGCCTGCGCTTGCTTTGGCGCAATATATATATATATAACACAAGGGGAGCCCAAAGCGAAGCACTGGGTGTTGAGGGGCCCAACGAAATGGGCATGGGTCAACAGCCAAATCGTACCCGCAGTGAACATCAACCAATCCAATCCAACCATTAAAATAGGTTCTAAAATGGGTGGTGAATTCACCCACCAACCAACATGGGATCCCATTGGGTTTGATCAGCCAAATGACCCTTTGGTTGGCTCTAGGAAAAATGGGACCGGTTCCTGTGGTATGGCCGTTGCTACTTTTGTTCGGCCAGAGGCAACAGAGCGGCCACGTGGGCTCCTAGGTCTTGGTGCACCTTCGACCCAAGTCGCGGCAGTTCCTTGCGGAAAACAAAAAGGAAAGAAGAGAAAGAAAGGAAAACACAAGAAACAAAAACGGCTGCTCAATGTGAATGGTTTAACCCCAGGGTTCATTTAAAGAATGGCAAGGACCCAATTTGGATGACCATCCTTAGGTAAACCCACGGTGGTTCAATGCACCGAGGACTGTCGGACTTTCGGACTGCAAAACCATCGGCACCGGCCAATTCCTCAGCTGTGACGGCCTTCAAACCCATCGAATCGGAGCCTTGAGCCACCGGTAACCTGGCACACTACGGCAGTAACCAAAATCAAAGAACCAAAACAGTGATGAGGGCAGAGGACCGAAAAGGACCAAAAAGGACCAAAGAGAAGGGGCATACAAAACTAGCAAAAAAAAAGCAAAGACCAAACAATCCCCAGCACAAAACGTCACCAGGTGAAAGGAGCCTCAGCCGCAGGCTGCTGACCACTCGCTGGCCGGCCAACTTCTCTTGCGCCAACTCCTCCTGGGCAACCAACCGCCCAGAGGCAAGTAGGCAAGTAAACCCCCGGTGCCCTTTTTTCCCGAGATCAACGTCAAACCGCGCTTCTGCCCTTGCTTCCCCACGGAAATCAAATCTGGGCCATCCTTCAAAAACCAGTTGTCACCTAAGTGAGGCAACTGGAAAGCAGTTAGGGATTGGTTGTGCTTCGGGCGCACACCTCTGAAGTTCCATGCCCAGACGCTCCCAACAAATGTGGGACCCTCAAACCGCCCCGGGTTTTGAATGGGTCTTCCATTGCAAGCTGTGCATTTTTTTTGGCCCCGGACTCCTCGAATTGGGGCTCTCTGGAGAACCAATTCGAAGCGATGGACCAATTCCTCCCTGAGGCCCCAAAAGAACCGCCCCCCCAAAACCAAGCGAATCGAGGAAGTTTATTTGGGGCTGGTAATTTGCCACTCTGTCCCAAATTCAGGGACTGGTGGGGCTCGTCGCTCGTGCAGACCACAAGATCACCCAACACCCAAAACCAAAGCCCGAAGTTCACCACTCTTCCGGGTGTAGCCATCCTGAAAATGTGCCTAGACCCTCGAACTACCCCTAGAAAATGGGTCATTGCTGTAAAAATACGAGGCAATGATCAATGTCCCTTTTTGCGTGGGTGGTTTGAGGGTCCAGGTACACCAAGAACGTGGCATGGACGCACACTGCACCGTCGCAGCCGCTGCGTCTCCTGCTCCACCTCCAGGTCTCTCTGCGCGTCTCGAAGCAGGCCCTGAAGCGGAAGCGGAAGCTCCGAAGAATCACATCCCTCCACTTGCTTTTCCCCCCCTGGGAAAAATAAAAAGTGTTTCCAGTAGTGATAGATTGATAGATTCCCTTTAAAACCAACAGGGGAAAATTCAAAAACCAATTTAAGCAAATGGAAGCATCGGGCTGGACAACATAACAGCCAGTCCGTCTTTGGTCTGCTTAAGGAAACAACAAAGGGCCTCAGAACCCATGTTTTGAAGACAACACAAAGCTTTTGGAGCCCATCCTCTTTTTAGTCTCCTTATATTAGAGAGATTACTGAAATAAGTATGTGCTACGTAGGATTCAGGCGTTCAAATCGCAATCGGCATGCGTGCTGGTGAATCCATCGCCAACCCATGCCATTTCAACCAAGGGAGAAGGGGTCCGAGAAAAACTATTTGACAGCTGTACGTCCAAACTTCTTATCTTGGCCACCTCCAAATTGGTCGGACAAAACCATGAGCGTCGATTCATTCACAAAGTAGACTCTCTTGCTGCACTGAAATGGCTGTGAACATATGGGTTGCTAAACATCAAGCAAACATAAATGGGTCTGTCTTTTTTGGGGACCCCCCTTTTGGTTGGGTTGTAAAGGGGAACCACACCGAAAACAACTTTTGTTTTCTTGGGGGCGGGGGGTCCCCTAAAAAGACACACACACACATGTCATCAGAGCCCCAAAGCACGGGCGCTCACCCTATGGGAGGTTGTTCAGGACCCGAAAGCATCTGATACCTTGACTCTGTATGTAGGGAACCCTCAAGACGCAGGACGCTTGGGCTAGGCAACGCCCGCGCTCAATGCGTGCTTCTTTTTCGAGGCACCCCTGTTGGCGGTTTAAAGCTATAAAGCAAAGGGAAGACCACAAGTCTGGAGGGGTCCAAAACCTAAACAAAGACGCATCCACTTGCTGTCTGGAGGCCTCTTCGAAGAACTTCTGCTGATGCGCTGCAGCGACGTCACTTTGGACCGCTTCGATCCTGAAGAGACCCGGGCGGAGCATTAGGGCGTGCAGAAACTATGGCTCATGGCCCGAATTTGAGCACCGGACGAAGCAACCCCCCCCACTCTAAGTTCATTTGGTCGGGGGTCTCCATTGGAGGGGCAACCCATTAGACAACCAGGGCAAGTGGATGGTGAAGTGTGGCCGAGTTGACATTCTAAACTGGGGAACCCTGTTTGGTCGTGGGAGTCAACTTGTTTCCTTGTAAACCGACACAAAGCGGGTCCATTGTCGGTTCAGACCCTACACGTTCGGGAGCACTTTGACACACCTTCCTTCTACATCTTGGGCCAATTTTGATTGAGTCTCATGTTGCTGAAGTGGGGCTTCAAACGGACATATGTATGTATGTATGCATGCATGCATGCATGTATGTATGTATGTATGTATGTGTGTAAGTAAGTAAGTAAGTAAGTAAGTAAGTAAGTAAGTAAGTAAGTAAGTAAGTAAGTAAGTAAGTAAGTAAGTAAGTAAGTAAGTAAGTAAGTATGCATGTGTGTACATAAGTAAGCAAGTAAGTAAGTAAGCAAGCAAGTAAGTAAGTAAGTGTGTATGCATGTATGTAAGTATGTATGGTTCTGTGTATGTATGTATGTATGTAAGTATGTATGTTTGTAAGTATGTATGTAAGTATGTATGTATGTAAGTATGTATGTAAGTATGTAAGTAAGTATGTATGTAAGTATGTATGTATGTAAGTATGTATGTAAGTATGTAAGTATGTAAGTATGTAAGCATGTAGGTATGTAAGTATATAAGTATGTAAGTATGCATGTAAGTATGTAAGTATGCAAGTAATAATTGTGTAAGTATGTAAGTATGCAAGAATGTAGGAATGTAAGTATGTATGTAAGTATGTAAGTATGTAAGTATGTAAGTGTGTAAGTATCTAAGTATGTAAGTATGTAAGTATGCAAGTATGTAAGTATGCATGCATGCATGCATGCATGTATGTATGTATGTATGTATACGTGTATATATATATATATGTTTATATACACATATAGTCAACCCTCGATTCATCAACCTGAAGGATTCACCCGGGGTAGCACACACACACACCGCAGTAATCACCCAGGGCATAGTTCATCATGGATTCCCATTTTCGGAATCCAAGCCAGGTTTTCCATACAAGCACCTATTACCGCCTTTTTAGTCAGGGGTCGACCTTATTCCACTGAACAAAGCTGGTATATCGAGTCGGGTGCCCAATGCAGAAGCTTGCGGCCGAGTCTCTGCTTTTGAAGCTCAAGGCTCCTCTTCTGCATGGGCGACATGCGCCTCAAGCGACGGAGCCCTTCGGACCACTTCATACCCCGAGGCTCCCGAAAAATGTGTTTAGTGCCCTCGAACAGCCAGAGCCAGTAGCTTCCACCAGCTCCGTTCGAAGTCCCGTTGGCAAAATTGTGACCAAACCCTCGTCCACGTGAAAGGGAAGCCAAAGGCTTCGACCCTGGGGGCTCCTGGTAAACACCAACTCCGAACCAACCCGTTGGTATCACAAAAGGCTAGCCCTGTACTTGCAGAAAACAAGTTGTTGAAGGATATGATTGAATTCAGCAAACCAGACGGTATTTACCGTGCAAAACCACGTGTTTGCTTGAAAGTACACCTCGAGCGCAGCGAAGACTGGGCAAACGCGCGGAAAGAGGAGCGGAGCCAATGATGGGTTAACAAAAGCCTTCCATGATCTGAGTGCGCAGCCCAACCACAAGCTTCTGGGTATGTGTGAAAATAGGGAACTCCACACAATGCTGGCATTCGTATTGGCTTCCCTTGAATATTAGCAGCCAGTTGCAGTCCACTATTTAAAGGCTTCATGGCATCCCGAAAGCGACGAGCCTCAAAAAGCCGCACCCATTGTTTTGTTCATCTTCTTGTTCTTCTGCTTCTTCTTCTTTTTTTTTGGTGGGGGGACTCCTCTTTGCTTCTTGCTTCTTGTTTGTTCTTCTTTTTCTCCAATAAACCCCGCCCTGGAACGCTTGGGTCCCACCACAATCCAACTCCCAGGCCGACTTCCAACCCAAAAGTTTCCGCCGAGTCCCCCACGCCCGGCGCGAGTCGAGTCCCCGACGCCAGACGCCCGACGCCCGGCGCGAGGCGGCGAGTCCCCAACGGCGAGGCGCTGGTTGAAGCTCCGCTGGGCCTCCGCCAGGCGCTGCAGCGCCTCCTCGTGGCGCTGCTTCTCACGCACTCGGAGCTCCTGGAGCTCCTGACATCGGGACCTGTCTCTCTCCTCTCTCTCTCTCTCTCTCTCTCTCTCTCTCTCTCTCTCTCTCTCTCTCTCTCTCTCTCTCTCTCTCTCTCTCTTTCTCTGTATATATATACATATATAGAGCAATATATGTATATAAGCTATATATATAGCTATGAACAGCTATATACCTCGAGCTATATATATATAGCTATATATAGGTGTGGGTCAGCATTCTGGCGTGGAACGTTCCGCGGTGACGCGGACGTGTGGAACGAGTCAGTTACGCAAGGTTGGTTGTTCCGGACCTCTGGGAAGACATGTGTGGGAGTCCTCAAGCACATGTTCGTTTGGATGAATGGATGGAATGTCCTTGGACACCGATGCACCGTAGTCAAGCCCGCCACCCAGCCGATGCACAAGGCTGGGAGGCATAAGCCGATGTCCACCGCTGCACAAGCCGATGTACATGTCCAGGGCATCCTTCAAAGACTTCTTTGGCCCTAGCAGAAGTCGTCCTTGAAGGCTTCTTGGGCGGCGTGGCGGGCCGCGTAAGAAGCGCAGCTACTTACATGGGGCATGTGTGCGCATGTGGGCTTGGTGGCAACTTGCTCCGCTGCGTCTGGAACACGTCTGGAACGGGTCTGGAACGGGGTCTGGAACGGATACGCGACTGGCTTGCACTTTGGAACGCTAGCAAGCAGCATGTAAACATGGTCGTTTCAACAAATGTGACGACCGAGAACGGTACCGAACCGCTACCGTACCGTATCGCACAGATAGCGGCGGAATCGTATCGCACCGAACCGAACCAAAGTTCCCGAACACGGATACTCATTTCTTCATTTCTTTCTCCTTCTTCCCTTGCCCCTGGCTGGTTTGGAAGAAGACGGGGTTGACCCTTAACATTGACAGGTCATTCCAAAAACACATCTGTCAACAGGACCGCTGCCCAATTCCATCCAAGTCCCAATGATTACAAGCCACGCAGCCGTAACCACCAAAGCTCGACAAGCAAAACCCATCGTTAGCACCTGAGGCTTTTCTCGAACACCAGCTTTAACGCGTACCACTTGGCAAAACAAGGGGGGAGTCAATAACCGACCAAAACATAAATATACATAAACAAGGCTTGGAACGGAAGGTCTGGAACATGTTTCTAGGCAAGCTCTGGAACGGAGGTCTGGACCCTATTCCGGACCTTATAAATTGACTCGCAGCCATATACATATATATATATATATATTTATTTATACGGCAGGAGTGAGTGGCCTGGGTTTTCTAAAAAACCGGGGTGGGGGGGGGGTGGGGAGCCACCCTTGACACCCTCCAAATTTGGTATCAATTGACGACCCTTGGAGTTGGAAATCAACTTAAACAACCACCACAAAAAAGGAAGAAAGGCACACCTGCTTTTGCAAATGCAAAATCGTTGGCTTCAAAAGGCAATCCCCAAAAAGAAAAGAAAAGCGAACACCCACTGGAGGGGGGCGAAGGTCCTGGTGGCTGTCGTCAGGGATCCTTCGGTTCAGAAAATGGCAAGCAAAGTCTCAGCGAGACATCCTCTCAGCGTGAGCAACTTTGGTACACGGTTGTCCGCGCAAGACGTTTCTAAAGCCGAAACAGCGTAGAGGCTGTGCAAATGACCTGCTCTACACAGACCGCAGCTGTTCTAAAGCGGGGCTCAATTTGCAGGCACATGGAAAAGGCTGGATGAATAACTTGGAATCGAAGGCATGGGACGGCTTAATGCTCCACGTGTAACAAGAGCGGTCGATTGAAACCAATGTCCTTCAACCTGACATACTGCTACCACGTCCCAAATCGATCGCCCACTTTGACCGATACATGTGCTTTTTGCTGACGTTTGGAACCCCAGCGGCATCAACATGTGGCGCTCGATCCTGTAGCAAGCAAACGCCCGGCCGAGGTTTGAAATCCTGTTGTTCCATGGGAAAAAAGCGCCCAGCGGAGCCCTCCAATGCATGCGCCTGTTTGACCCTCCCTCCGCAAGCTCTCCCCCTCCCTCCCCCCAAAGGGGCACCCGGATCAATACAGACAGAAAAGTGTCCCTTTTAGGGCTAAACAAATCCAGGGTCAACATTAGATGTCAATCACTTTGACTACGTACGGCGACCCGCCTTTTTTACCTGGACCCTGAAACTACCCTTCAAAAAGGTTGAAATCACCAACCATCATTTTGGGTTGCAATAACCATCATTTTTAAGATGGTATTTTTGAGGCACAAAACCCATCCACCTGGAGCCCCCCAAAAACCCACCAGGATCTCTGCTTTTTGGGGGGCCGGGGTTTCCGAGTGCCAGGCTTCGAACTTCGAGTTCGACCGAATCGACGAATCGAGTCTCCTTGATCATCTCCCGAAAGCGCACCATCTCCTGGTGGCCACGTGGGGCTATGGATCTCATTTGTGGAAGAAAAAAACGATGAGAATAACAACTATGACGGCCGGCCTAGGAGGCAATAATAAAATGAGTAATAACCGCAGTATGATAAAGGAGCAATAATAAGCGTCAGCAGTATGACAGTGTATGACAACAACTATGATAACAATAACAAAAGGCTTTTCACAACTACCAATAGATGGTCACTGTCACCGATCCTTATACTGGCTTAATTATACTAGGTGTTGGTTATTGTTTGAATTATTTGATACCAACAATAATGTTGACAACAACTATGGTAGCAATAATAAAAGGCGTAATCACACTAGCAGTAAGAAATCATTACGATAGCAATGATCATAATCAGAAAACATGAGTATTTAATATAATCACAATAACAATGAACATATCAATAAATATATAAAACAAGGCAACATAAACATAAACAAGTGCGGATAACAAATAGCAAATACATAAATAAACAAATAAGCAAATAAATGAGCACATCCTTGAATTAAACAAACAAATAAATCAACAACCAAAGAAACACTTGAAACACATGAAATTAATGAATACATCAGCACACAATAAACAAACAACCAGATACATAATAGAAAATATTACTGAACACACATTATGCAGCCTTAATAAAACACAAACAAAACAATATGATAAGGCATACTGGGACAAAGACATGAGATCGACCACAAGTTTGTTTGGGGGATACTGGTATTGCCTCATGCTCCCTTGGGCCGGGTTAGGAAAACCAGAAGGGAAACCACATTGGCTATGCTCTGAGATCGCATCAGGCAATTCACCATATCTGAGTTGTCGGAACGAAGAATAGTCATCATGTCCGAGACGAACACACAAAGCAACTTCCCTTGCCCTCACTGTCTGTCTCTCTTTCTCTCTTTCTCTTTCTCTCTTTTCTTCCTTCCTTCCTTCCTTCCTTCCTTCCCTTCCTTCCTTTCTTTCCTTTCTTTCCTTCCTTCCTTCCTTCCCTTCCTTCCTTCCTTCCTTCCTTTCCTTCCTCCTGTCTTTCTTCCTTACTTTCCTTCCCGCTACCCTTGCAATCACAGGGCTCAGCCTCCGCTTTTGCTCGGCTCCTCCTGATCCGCGGCGCTGTAGCGCCAGCCGGCCTCGCAGCGCAAGTTCAGCTCCGCCAACAGTCGCCGGCCGTCGTCCGCGTCGAACCAAACCTCCAAGTTGGATTGTTTTGTTTATGTGTTGTTAGATTGTTTGGATTGTTTTTGATTTGTGTGTCTTTGACTTTTTGGACTTTGTTTGGCTCGTCGGATGTCCCAGTGGTTTCATTTACCTCTATAGTATCCCAGGAACCTTCTCGCTAACTGGTGGTTGGATTGGTCGTCTGGTGGTTTTTTGGAGGGGTGTCCCTACTATGCCCTCTGCAAACACCCAGGGTGAAATCCTCAAACCACAAATCCAAACCACCAATTAGGGGTTGAAAGTGGAAGTACTGTGGATGGTTGCGAAATCCATGTTGCACCCCGATAAGGAAACCATGGTTGATACCATAGCATTTCTTGGTATTCACAGGGGAATCGACCCATTCGAGGGCTTCTGAACGGCGGTGCGAAATGGATTTTGTCCACAGTACGTCACTACAACTTTCTGCCCATACGGATGGGAACACAAGAACTGATGCCATAGGGTCACTTACGGTTTTTAGACATGTTGTTGAATAAATACGGGCTGTATACCGCCGCCGGCCAGAAAATAATGACCATAAAAGTGATCCAAATACGGGCTCCGTCCAGAACAGATAGCCATACGGGCAGCTAGAGGGGTGCGTGGAGACATTTACCATAGAGACATTGACCTAATCGAGTCAATCGCAAGTTACTCGGCGGATTTCCCCCCCCCTTGAAGGACTTTGTGAATACCTCAGGGAAGTTCATAGACCACAGTTGGCGGGGGCAGACACCAAACATCCCCCCTGCTATAGGGGGGAGGGGGTGGGGGCCCCAATTCCACGGATCCAGTCTTCCCAACAAAAGGGAAAATAGAACCAGACATGGATTTCCAGGGGTCACCCCCCTGCCCCAATTCCCCTTTTTAGGGGGTGAGGATCACCAAACAAACAGTTAGTGGTTCCTCAACGTTTGGCCACTGGCTCAATGATGTTTAGGGAAAAGGTCGAAGCAACTTTTGCCCAAGCCTGGTGTCTTTCGCTCCATGGCGCAACCGCGACTAGCAAATGGGCCACTCGAGGTCCAGAAAAACCAGGGGGGCGCAACTTGGGCCACATCTCCTAAAAGCATGTTGTTTTGTTGTTGTTGTTTTTTGGGTTGTTGTTTTTTTTTTTTTTTTTTTTTCCGCGGAGGGAATCCCCTGCCCACAAGAATGGTCCAACTTGGGGCCCCTCGAGATGGTCTCGGGGAATCCAGTCCTTTTGGCTTTCCTCAGATTTGGGTCATCTCGCCTCGTGCAATCTGTCGGTTTGGGGGGGGGGGGTATGGGGCAAATCCCATCATGGTCATCCAGCTCTCAAACGGAGAAGACCAACCAAATCATGATGTTGTGCAAACGAGGGCAAGCCCCTCAACCTCGTACTTCGCACAACTTGAACATAGTAAAACCCATTCATGAATCCTGACTCTTCAAGCGCCCCTTGGCAATTGGGAAACCAGCCAATAAGTTCAAGACCCCTGGTAGCAGAACATGGTTTTTGTTGTGATAGATTCACTTTAAAACCAACACGCAACAATAAACAACATATTGTTAAGCAGATGGAAGTTTATGATCGCTGACTCTTCAATAGCTCCGACCAAGAATTCTCGCTCCAGCCACTTGGTCTGCCATCTCCTGCTCCAGGGAAGGTTCTTCTCGCTCGTCTTCCTCCTCCTGAAGGACACGGAAGGGCCATATGCTACATGTGGGGGTGTCTTTTTGAAGAGGGTACCCTTTGTGCGATGGTTTCAACTGGAAGCCAGAGGGAAACACAATTGTGTGGGTTCCCCTACTTGAACACAAACCAAGCTTGGCTCTGAGTATGTCAAATCTGAAGAACCTCCGCCCTAAGCATCGTGCTCCAGTACCAGGTTTTGAACCCTCCACAATTTGCATGTTTGATGTCTCGACTCTTGACAGTACTCCTGCAGGACGGACACAATGGTACGCTGGTAGATCTCATCCGACGCTCCCTTCGTTTCGGCCAACTGGCTTCCCCTAACTGTGATCGACTTCTTGGTGGCTTCGCATGAAACGGCCACCTTTTGGAGGTCTAGCGAAAGGATTCTCGGTTGCTTTCTGCTCCCCTGCTAAAAGTGAATAACTTTTCGCGGTTTAATTGGAAAACCCACGAGTTGGCAAACAGTTAAAGTCCTTAACATCCAAGCAACATGCACCAAAGGATTGACATTAAGGGACCGGCACGAGCGAAAAGAACGTCGAGTGGCAGCACCAGTCAAATCTGACCACCGACCAGATCTGCTTGCCATGAGCAAACGACATATATCCATGCGCTTTGCTTTGGACAAGTTGCCTTTTTGTTTCCCCTTCAAATAGCTCCCAACAACAGGTACAAGTATCAAATGCTCAGGGGAACAAGTATCTCCATAAGATCTTGCGCATGTCCTCTGTTCTTACCGATGCTTCCTGCAAAACTGGCACTGCTTTGCACACAAGGTCTCCAGTGGCAGTTGTGAATGACTGGAGGCAGACCAATAGAAACCAGCTTTCCAGCAAACTAAAGCCAAATTCCAGATTCAATTTTTTCCCCGGAAACAAACAACAAAAACAAGTTGGGTGATTCTCTTGCCACGTTTTCTTGCTGGTTCCATAGCAGGGAATGCGGGAATGACCCCTATAAGCCACTCCTGTCAGGGAATCGCTTTCCGGTTCATTCCCCCGGACTCGTTGTCCTTCCCTACCTATCGCACCAGCAAGTTGATGGAATAGCCCTCGTTTCTCCTTTTGAATTTTGTTTTCTTTGTTCCTGTCGGTCTTAGTTTTAAAGGGAATGTAATGTATCACTACCATAAACAAATCTTATGTTTGTTCCAGGGGGCAAGTTCAGCAAAGGGGACTTGCGATCAAACGATCCCGTCCGGATCCGTATGCCAACTGGTCCAAAAAGGTGCTGGATCTCTTTGTGGGGAGTCCTTTGTTCCGGAGAAAGGCCGCGACCCCTAAGGTTAAACACGGGGGAACATACAAATTAAAACCCAACCGGGGGAAAACCCCAATTCGCTTGATCCTCCAGCTCTGCCGCGCAAAAGGCGCCGATGCCCCGTGACAGGTCCAGCACCGCCGCGGGCGTGGCATCGCCTTCGCGACGCGACCGAAGCGACGCCCATGACTGGGGCTTTCCCAGGCTTGGGCCCTCTGCAAGCGATAACTTGTTGTCTCAGATGCCCAGTGGATTTCTATGGGTCAAAAATATATCGGCATCCAATTTTTTGGTTGAGTTGAAAGGGGAACCCTTCCCGAGAAGAAAGGACAAAAAGGGCGCCACTGGCAACTGGGTTGCGGTTTATAACTTGGTGGAAAGAGACTATAGGGCAAAGAGCTTCCGGCAAAGGACAACCCCCGCCTTTTGAGGCCATGGGAACCACCTGCACAAAATCCTGCACCACCTAACCCCTTGGAATGATTATCCCCCTGTAAATACGAAAAAATGGTTTCCCATGGCTTCATTTCGTGGTGCGAAATGGATTTTGCAACCATCCACAGTAGAGCCATATTCCGAATGCTAGTGGGGGCTCATGGTGCCCCCCGAGTGAGATCAATAGTCTTCCAAGCCTCCCCATGTCCCCCTTTGAAGTGGAGTCATGATATCTCCCACCAATCACTGTGAGTTGGACCAAATCTCGGTTGCTTTCTGCTCCCCTGCGAAAAGTGAAAAACAATAGTGGTTTGATTTGGAAAATCCATTAGCTTGCAAAAAGCTAACGTCCTAACATCCAAGCAAAATGCACCAAAGAAATGGCCATGCAATTGCAATCCCAAACTAGAAACTAGTTCGCAAAGGGACATGCCACAAAACCAGGATGAGGTGACTTGCCGGACACCAGATTAGTTTTGGACATGCCCTTCTGGGCGCGTCTTGTTGGGACTGCAAATCTGTTGTCTGACTTGAGAGAAGCCAAAGGGAAACAAAGGCTTGTGGCTGGGCCGAGGCTCATACATGAAAAGTGAAGCACCGAAGCAATGGGCAGAAAACCTTCGAGCCCCCGGTGCATTTGCAATGGCAATGTGAATCTCCTCTGTGGCTGGATTACAAAGGCCTGGAATAGGGCTTCAGCCATCCTAGCTGACAAAGGAAGCAAGGAAGCAAGGAAGGAAGGAAGGAAGGAAGGAAGGAAGGAAGGAAGGAAGGAAGGAAGGAAGGAAGGAAGGAAGGAAGGAAGGAAGGAAGGAAGCAAGACAGGGGAGGGAGGGAAGGATGGAATGGATAGAGTGAATGGAATGAAATGGAATGGAATGGAATGGAGCGGAGTGGAGTCGAATGGAATGGAGGGATGACATGAATGAAACTACTAAAGCTAATGAAAGGAATGAAATGAACGAAACAAATAACATGAACGATCTGAATGAAATGAAATGATTGACATGCATGGCATGAATGACATGAGCAAATCATGTAATGAATGACATTGATGAGCTAAATGAATGAATGAATGAATGAATGAATGAATGAATGAATGAATGAATGAATGAATGAATGAATGAATGAATTAATGAATGAATGAATGAATGAACGAACGAACGAACGAACGAACGAACGAACGGACGAGCGAACACAGCAAGGAAGGAAGGAAGGAAGGAAGGAAGGAAGGAAGGAAGGAAGGAAGGAAGGAAGGAAGGAAGGAAGGAAGGAAGGACATAATGAAGGAATGAACAAATAAAGGGAACAAACTGATGAACAACCGAACACTGAAGTAAGTAACCAGTGCATCTATTGATACTTGTGTGTATAAATACATACACAAATATTATACCTATAACAACCACATTGTTGAAGTCACAAGTGTATACATGTATACGCTACATGTATATATATATATATATATATATGTGGCTCCATATGTATGTATATATATATACGCATACAAATATAGTACACATACTATGTACATCAGAGCGAACCCTGGTATGAGCTCCGAGTTCATTGGCTAAATCAATCGATCGCTCAATTGTAAGTTGCCCAAACTCGTGGCTTCGGTCCACAATCAGCCCACCGGTGGCCCCCCAATGCAGACCCCTCTTGGGGGGCCCTCAATGGCAACTCGTCAGCGGCAAGGAAACCAGGCCCAGTCATAGGTGACCTTCTGGAAAAATAGATGGCCCTGGCACATGAAATAAAACCAATTTAAACCAGTGCCATCTATTTCTGTCCAAAACAACTTAAACTGGGCTGCCCTCAGATCCCCCGCTAAAAGTTCAACTTTTAGTGGGTTAAATGGAAACTACCACTAAACACTAAAAGGCTAAAAAGCTAAGGAACCGGATGGCTGGTAGCCACCAAGTAAAACGCAGCGCCCTTGGGGTTCTTTCAAGCTGCACAGTTCACCCTGCCTTTGCGTGATCTGGGATGCCTCGGGCTTGACATTGGGCTCTGGACCGTAGATGCCGCCTGAGGACGAGATGTCCGGCGGGGCGCTAGATAACGCTTCTGGAAATCGACGACTGCCGTGTTCAACGGGCCACTTGGGGCGATTTCGTGGCATAGCTAAGCGCGTTGATTGCCTCACGCCAGCAACCGCCTAAATACTTGTCAAAACTGCTTGCTGCTGTTCACATTAAGCCTATCAGGCATTATCAACTACTGTCTTGCGCAGATTTGGAACATGTTGCCAATCTTGGGGCCGGTCCCTAAAGTGACTGCGATAGCTTGCCCAAAAGCAATGCATGAATGGGTTCAAATGGGGGATTCAGGAGATTTAGTGTTGGGGACTCTGATGTAGTGGGGGGGAAGTTGGGTCCAGGGCACGGTAGTTCTTCGTCTTTTTAACAAATACTGCATGGCATTTTCTTTTTTTTTGTTGTTTTCGTTTTCTTTTGCTTGGGTTGGGGGGGGTGCGTAAATTAATTGGACAACGTGAAGCTTTGTCAGTTCCCAACAAGTGGTGGTCCGATTTGAAAAGGGCTCGCGAAACAGATGCCTTCCTTAGTTTGATCAAACTAACGGGCCTGCAACAGCTATGTGTTTGTGTACTTTGTTGAAATTGTGGTTTCCTTGGTGCACTCACTACCTGCTGAAAAGTCTTCCAAAACAGAAAAACAAGTGCGAAAGATTTGGAACTGGTCGTTTGGCCTTGTGCTTGTCAGAACCGACGTCTAGCAAACCAAACGCAACTTTGATGTGAGCTGCTAGAGAAACCAGATGCAATATGCGCAATATGTTGCCCTGTCACGATCTTGCCCTGCTCAGCGCCAGCTTCTAGCAAACAATGCATAACTTGCACCTTGTCACTTGCAAACGGCAAAGTCATTCGAGAATCATGCTTGGTCTGGTACCTGTCAGCATCATTTTCTAGCAACACACTCTGCGCGCGCCCCCGACGGGTGGACGAAAGATCAAGAGTTCTTGCACCGGCCATGTCAGGATGTCGAAACACGCGGGCAGATCTTGTCCTTGCCGGCACCATCTCCAAGCAAGCAAACAAGATGTGAATTGCCCTTTTGCGCAGCAACGTGCAGAGGACTTTTGCCAGTGAAGTCAGTCTTGTTCTTGTCGGCGCCAGCTTCCAGCAAGCAACGAGCAACCTCGACATTGTCACTGGCTAGAAATATGTTTCTCTGTTCAACGTCCGCAGCAAAATGCAAGGGTGTTCTACCATCACAGGTAGTCTTGTCCTTGTCGGCTCTGGCTTCCAACAAGCATCGCACAACAGGTGAATAACCCCTTCGGGCTGCAATGTGTAAAGGTGATGCACCCTCCCTTTCGGCTCTGTCTGGGGCAGCGCCAGCTGCCAGCAAGCAACGCACAACTCTGCTATGGCCTTCGGAAGAAGCAAGATGCAAGGGCGTTGAGCCATCATTCTTGGCCTTGTCTTTGTCAGCCCCGGCTTTCAGCAAACATTGTACGACTTCTTCATGGCCTTTGAAAGCAGCAAGGTGCAAAGCTGTTGCTCCAAACTTGTTGGTCTTAGTGTGGTCGGCACTAGCTTCCAGCAAGCACACAACAATGTCCAGCATGTTGTTGTAAGCAGCGAAATGCAAAGGTGTCCTACCTTCATGTGTTGCCAGGTCCTTGTCAGCATCTGCTGCCAGCAAGCAACGCACAGCTGCCAAATGACCATTGAAGGCGGCAATATTCAGAGGAGTTGCAGCATCCTTGTTGACCTTGTCCTTGTCGGAGCCAGCTTCCAGCAAGCTGCGAACAAGCTGTACGTTGCCAATCCCAGCAGCAATGTGCAAAGGTGTTGCAGCCTCCTCGTTGACCGGGTCCGTGGAGGCGCCAGCTTGCAGCAAGCAGCGCAAAACTTCTAGGCTGTCATGACTTGCAGCAAGATGCAAAGGTGTCCAACCATCACGTTTGGGCTGGTCCTTGTCAGCGCCGGCTGCTAGCAAGCAGCTTGCAACTTGCACTGCGTCGTCTCGTGCAGCATGATGCAAAGGTGCAAAATCATGCATGTCAACCATGTGCATATCAACGCCAGCCTGCAGCAGGAGTTGCATCACTTCTATTTGCCCATTGCGAGCAGCAAAATGCAGCGGAGTACCATCAACCCCATTGAGATCACCTTTGGAAACCAAGTCCCTATTGGCACCCGCTTCCAGCAAGCAGCTTACAGCTTGCACTGCGCCCCTTCTTGCAGCAAAATGCAAAGGTGCCACTCCATCTTTGTTAAGCTTGTCCTTGTCGGCGCGAGCATCCAGCAAGCAAAGCACAACTTGAGCGTCATCAGCGTAATGCAATGGTATCGAACCACGCGGGCCGATCTTGTCCTTGTCGGCACCAGCTTCGAGCAAGCAGCGTACAACTTGTAAATGGCCCTTTTCCACAGCCACATGCAAAGGACTTTTTTCAGTGAACTCGTCGGCCTTGTTCTTGTCGGCGCCAGCTTCCATCAAACAACGAGCAAGTTCGGCGTTGCCATTGTCCTTGGCTGGAAGCAGGGCCCTAGCAGAACGCTGCGCTGTTTGCATGCTTAGTGGGAATTCAAGGCAAACCGAAAAATGATAGGAAAGGCCAGCGTGGAGGGATGTGTCTGCCGCAAAACGCAAAGGCGTCTCGTGAAAAGGCGTGAGCTCATCGGCATCGGCACCGGCATCCAGCAACAAACGCACGGCATCAAGGTGGTTGTGCTGTGCTGCAGCATGGAGAAGTCTTTGCCCGCGGGGTCCTTGAGTGTAGGGGTCATGCGGCTTTTCCAGCAGATTCACGAGGCATTCCTTGCAGATCGCACCCCGGATTAAAGTTGATAGACTGGTGCTGATTCCAAAAAAAACATAAGGGGGATCTAAAGGCTGAAAGTAAGAACCTGTTAGAACAAGTAAGACCGATAGCAATACAGACTCGAGGTCACCTCTTTGGGCTGCCTCAAAAAGCTCCTTCTGTTCCTCTTCACTTCCCTGAACATAGGGCTGCACAACAGCCACCACTGACTCTGCGTCGCTCCATGGACTGCCTGGTCCAAGCAGTCGGTCTCGACAAGCCAAACTCAGCTGCCGGAAGTTCCTGAGCTCTGGCTTCATCTGACGTGCTACCTCCTGCCTCAACTGGTCCAGAAAGCATTCGCCACTTTCACGTGGCTCTTGCTTCTCCTCCCACCACTGCTGGAACATGTCTGCTGTCATCACCTGCTGGCCGCTTGGCAAGTGGACGCAAGCCATGGCGATTGGGCGAGTGGCCGATTTGCGAGTGATCGCTGAGCCCCAAGAGTAGCTGGCGCGGTGGACCTCTTGCGGCTTTCGGGACATACCTGGCCAAGCGGCTCCCTTGACCAGCGCACAAACCAAAAGGTACCAGTAGTAGCTCCCCCCCCACAAGTCCCTGAAGTTAACGCCCAACACCCATTGACTTTGAATCACCCCACCCGAAATGTACAAAGAACCTGCAGGCCACATGACTTCCCCGGCAAGAGACATGTGAAAATATCGGCAGCGACCCTTGGAGCGTGAATTCAGGGGGTGGAAATCCGCTTCACCAGATGAACATATGCGTCGGTCTCCTTACCCTTTTCATTGGTTTTTAAGGGGAAAACTCAGAGGAACACCGCTACAAGCTAGTTTGGGGGGTCCACTAAAAAATGGACACACCCACATGACCCCAAAAAGCCAAAGGAATCTTCTGGGGGCAACCCCCTGTCCGTTCCTTCCGGCGTGAAAAGACCTGCCCACATGGGCCCTGCTGGGAGGAGACCCCGGTTTTACTCCACGGGTAACGAGACCCGTATGTTTACCCCTGGAGAAGACTCTTTCACAAAACTGGGATCGGTGTGTTTGGGCTGTACCAGTTTTATGCTCACGCAACAATACCCAGACCCCAAGGGGCCATAGTGGAAAGAAGGCACTCATGTTTGGGCGGTTATCTTGAAACAGAACCCTCCGGCCTCCGAAAATTAAAGGACAGAAAGAAACAAACTGGAGGTCTGGGAATAAATTTGTTCAGCGCCGAATCTCCCCTCGCCTGGCTTTCAATCTCCGCCACACCTTCCGTGAGTTGAGCCTGCAAAACGGGGTTCGGTGACTCCCAAACGCTCCTTGTGGGGCTGTCTCATCGGGAGGCTCTAGGAGTGGTTTCCCTTTAATTTCCTTTCAGAGCGCAAAAAGGGTGCTCTCACAAGACATGCTCATTCATGGAATACTTTCCCGGTTGTACTGCGTGGGTCAAATGCTGACGTATGCCGCCTGCGTGGCTTGAGCGTAACTGCCGTCTTTCCATACAGGTCAGGGGGACGGTGTTTTTGGACCACTTTACCTTACCTTACTACTACTATTCCATACCACATCATGAAGCACTGACCTGCTCATACTGTCCGCTTGAGCTTCACTATGCAAAGACGGCTGCGCACACTTGAAAGACTTACTGACCTTCATGATCAGCTTGCATGACCCAGTGAGTACAGATTATTCCGTGTCTTTTACCGCCATGTCTCTTCGAACTGAACGAACCTCTTTGAGAATTGTAGCAATTGTGTGCTCTCCCTCAACAGAACTTGTGATCAACGTCTTGATTCTCAAGGAAACGCCGGCAAGGCCACCGTCATCATTGATGGGCCTCTGAGGACGATCAAAGTCAGAGATCCTTTGTCGTTTGCCTTCCACCTGAGAACAAGCGAATAAAAGCTGTCCAACAAGAGGGATGTCCTCATTTCTCCAGCATGTGTGACGTGTGTGTGTGTGTTCCTGCGTGCGCACTTCTTTAGATGGGTAAATCACCCCGAGATGCTGCTTCTCCTTTAAAAAAAAAAACAAAAAAACAAAAACTAGCGGTCATGACCCCTCCAATGCACACCCCCGGAAGAACCCCGACTTCTCAGGGGCCCTTGAAAACAACCAGGTTTGAAGGCCAAAAACCATCGAGACCCTTAGAGTATACCAATAGAGAGAGGTGACCTGGGAGCGAACGAGTTGACAAAGGAGTCTGTGGACTTAGATCTAGGTGTCCTTTTGGACAGACAACTGGTGCCAACAAAAATCGATCCAAACTCAAACCAGCAGAACCCATGCTCAACCAAAGCTCTAGCTGCAAACACCCACAGCCACAAAGCCCCTGTGATGCGATTCGCCAAACAACAACGCTTCTTGGTCACACTCTGTGGAGTTTGACACTGGGTCCGACTTGCAGCGGAAGGCTACGGTTGAAATGAGTTTCGCCCCGGCTAGAATTAAACACCACCAACAACGTGGGGAACGGCCAAAACAAACAAACAAAAATCAAAACACATTGCCAAAACACTGGACGAAAACCGTTCCTTAAGTATGGTACCATGCGCATCCTGGAGTTTTGCCTAGTAACTCACCTGCAGCGGGATAGCGCAAACGACAACACCACCTACGGCTATGTAGACAAGTAGAATGGCTTACATCGGACAAGGGCCTTTGGTGTCGCTGTAAGTTTGAAGGGGATACCAGGTTATGATACCGCATCCTCCTCATGGACGCAAATAATGCATTCTAGGAAAAGGCATTCAAAAAAGCAGCGGGAGTCCGGACAAAAACAGCCGGAGCACGCGACCAAACGCCGGCGATCCAACAAAGCAATCTCCAGAAGGAGTTGGCAGGTAACCTGCGGGTCTCGATGGCTTTTGGGCCTTCCAAGCTGGGACCGCTTTCAACGGGCCCTGAGGCGGAATCGCTATGGGTTCTTCATTGGAGGGCCCATAAGAGGGTGTGCATTTGGAGGGGTCATATGATCCTCAGGGGTCAGATCATAATCTGGCAGTTGGTTAGGTCAGGGATCGACTTCTCGTTCCAAGTGATGCTGGCTGACAAGAGAAACTAAGGACCCCAGCAGTTCGCAGGTATATGTAACCCCAACATGGGTTGCGCTGGTAAATGGAAAGGACAAAACCTGCCATCCAGGTCCTGGCGTTTAAATTTCGACCCATTCCCATCTACCCTCCCACCAGCTAACATGGAAGTGCACAGACCCCTGTGCAAGGACTACTTTCCTCGTGGAAAGGTCCTTCTTGCACTTCCATGTTAGTTGATGGGAGGGTAAAAACCAAAATCTGCCCCACCCTATTCCTGGCCAGGTCACCTGTCCAGTGGCAGCTTCCGCCTGAGCACGCCGTAGCCCACGCAAAACCTCATCCACCGGGCGAGCGCCCTGGTACCTCAGGCTGCCGTCAAACCGAGGCCCAACAATGCAACCAGCAAGCCCTGTGTTACGGGCGGTGTTGTGTGTTTTTCTTCTTCTTTTTTTTTTTCTCGGAGTTGGTACTCGTTGAATTAGCTTCCCTCTAGTTGGTGGATTGGTTTGGAGGTTTTTTGGAGGGGGTTCCAATTTAGGCCAGGAAGAAGTAAGGGTTCAAATCCCAAACCAATTCAGCTTAGCCTGACTTCTCTGGTTTCTGAAGGAAAACAACCAGGAACACCGTTTCCCCATTTCGGGGCCACCCAAAACACGACACACCCGAATGAAACACAACAAGACTTCTGCCGACATTCCCGTGGCCTGGTGGTTTTGAAGCCAAAAGCCATCCAGTGGTTCCCTCGCCAGAGGGATGGCCATGGGTCAAAAGTCGTACCCCCAGTGAACATCAACCAATCCCCACGGGAAAAAATATATAAAAATACACAAAAATAATATGGGTGGTGAATTCACCTGCCCCAAAATGGTACCGTTGGTTTTGACCAGCCACATCTGCTCACTTGCCCAACTTCGAAACATCGACTTGTTGACACCCTCAGCCCACTGGACCAGTCAGCTATTCTTGCAACTCAGGCATCCCACAAAAAGAAGGCCCTGGAGGGAAGACTCGACTTTTGAACTAGTGCTTCTGTACATTGGAGGGCAATACCCATCCAAAGGAATTGGGTCGGGGTTCTCCATTGGAGGGCTGATAAAAGGGGTGTGCATTGGAGGGGTCATGACGCTTAAGAGGATCAAAATATGGTGTGAGTGTGTACCTAAGTGCAGGATCCCATCAGATCCCATCCAAATCTAAGTGGACATCACATCACTTCAAAGCAGAGATGAATTCAAAATTCTGGGCTCTTATTCGGAAGACAAGGCTTTTCGGTTCTCCCAATGGTTCAGTGCATCGAAAGTTGGAAGACTTGTCGGAAACCACTGTTTCGTGGGCTGCGAACCTACCAAACCGAAAGGGATTTACAGCCTTCCTTTGGGGAAAACCGCACTGGATGCTCCGATGCCATCAAAATCCCGTGGTGGCTCAAAGGCCACCCAGTGCTATAGGTTTAAGGAAACAGACCCAGACTGTGAAAAACCCCCCGGAAACAAACCGAAATCTAACCCAAGCGAGACTTTTGCTCGGCTGCCCCTCAGGGACCCAACAATACACAGGTTGTTTGGGGCCATGGCTACAGAATTGCTGCCAAAAAGGGAAAACCCAAAGGTTAAAAGCTCGGCTGTGACTAAAAGTGGCTGCCAAAAAAGGGGGAACAAACATGGTCAGATCCGGCCGCTTCGCCTTGGGCATCAACAATGGCTGTGCCCATGTATATTATATATATATATACACATGCCCAGGTGTTCCTCTTGCTTCCTTTTTTTGCATGCATGCCAAAATGGGGGCTCGTGGGCGAATCCGAGCGGCAGCCGGGCGTTGCGCTCCAGCAGCGCCTGCACGTTCTGGCGCATGGGCTCACTGGTCTTGGTGCCTTCCAGGCCCAGCTCCTCTCGGCTCGAAAGGCGCTTTCTTCTGCTCCATGCGATGGGCAGTTTGGCAGATTTGCCCAGCCAAGCGCGGCCCTGAGCTGTGTGGTTTAGGGGCCCGAGCGATTTCACAGGTGTCAGGGAATGAGAAATGGAATGAGCTTTGGGGTTTAACCCACCAGCTGGACGGTCAGGTTTTATGAGACTCCGCACAGCGGAAAATATCGTGTCCATTGAAAGGTCCAGCCGAAGCCTCCAGGCAGCTCGCTCGGCGATTGTCTTTTCCATTCTTCTCGTGGCTTCCGATGTTCGCTTCTTTTCGCCGGGGAAAAATGAGGAAGTTCTGCCCAGTGATAGATTCCCTGTAAAACCCAGAGGGGGTCAGCAAATGGAAGGTGGCCGCTCCGTTTTGCGGGAGCAAAGATGAACAAGGTGGTGTTGCCCTCAGTGGAATGAGTAAATGAACAGGGCCTTCGGTGTTTGGTTTCCCAGAGGATCTTGATCCAGTAAATTGCCACCATAGCAGGTGACAGCCAGGTTTGTATCAGGATTTAACATGGTTCCTCCCTGGTTGCCTATAGGGCTATCAAGATCCTGTGCGACCCAGCACATCCGGGTGTAAGACGGGTCAACAAGGGTTGTTCAAAGGAGCCGGGTTTCCTGACATGTTGGGACCAACCAACATGGTTCTTTTGGAGCAACTGGAGGGGTGCTTTACCCCCGGCCCTGCACCAAACAAAACGCATGTCTGCCGTCCTTTCAAGCGCCTTCGACCCCATTGAACACACTGGGTCTGGCGCTCCAATTCGAGCGAGGCCTTTGTCTCCCTTCTCAACCCTTGCAACGTCAGCAAAAAACGTCGATGTTTGCAGCTTCCGCATGCCTCCATTTCAAACACGAACAGGCAACACACCAAAAAAACAACCTGCAAACGCAAGCCGACATGTTTGTAGTGGAATCCCTTGTCGAGGTTTCCTTTCTTGGGTTACATGTCCGTCTCCGTCCACCAGCCTTCTTTTTTTGCGGGGGCGGGATTACTCTTCTGATGTACCACCAGATTGAGGTGATCTTTGATGCCCTCTTCTCCTTTGTGGTGGCTCGTGCGAACGGCTCCGACACACAGACAGACACAAACACAAAAACACACCTTCCACCTTCCAACCCAAAGGTGGACGGGGGCACCTTCGGGCGCTCCCTGATTGGAAACAAAAACGTGGCTGTGGGTAAAACGGGTGGACTGCTCCGAACCTTCGGTCGACTTCAGCACAAAGCTTCACGGAAAACCCGCTTCTGTGCCGAGGCTCCAGCAGCACGTTGTTCTGTTGCAAGGCCTCCAGCAGCGTCGCCGCGCCCGCGTCGGAGATGTCGTTGCAGCCGAGGTCCAAGGAAAACATCAGGGGCTCGCGGAGCAACTGAACGAGGCTTCAGAAACCCATTGGGCTGTGGGTCAAAACCCATGGTACCCCCAGTGAACATCCCAATCCCCACTAAAGTAGGTTCTAAACTGGGTGGTGCACCTACCCCACATTGGTTTATGACATCTTTCCTGACATCCATAAGTTGTAACCTGCCTGGCCATGGGCAACTTTTCCCATGCGGTTGAAAATCTGGCTGTGACACAGATGGTACCCCTGGAGAACATGAAAATAGGGGGTTCATCTGCCCCAAAATGGAGGCATAGTTTATGACCCATGGCCATTTCTGGGATCCAACTCCCAGGTACGCTCCAGGGAACTCAGAGAAAATTGGGTAAGCTGGCTGGCAATTGGGTTAAGCCACCAGAAAAACCGCCTGTTTTAGTCATGGGTTCCATTTACCATTTACCAGGACAACCCATTTTGGGGTTACCCCATTTTTGACCCACAGCCCTATGGCTCCAGTGGGATCCCTTGGTCTTCGAATTGAAGACCATCACGGAAGGTCTGGGAATTGCCTGTGACCTCAAAGCCTTCAACTCGAGCGGAGCAACTCGGGTAAGGCATCCAAAGCGTGCCAGTGGCGCGCCGGGAAGTAATCTCAGATGCCCAGTGGATTTCCATGGCAAAAAAAAGGGCACCCCTTTTTTGGTTGGTTGAGATTAAAGGGGAACCGTTCCCAAAAAACAAGGGAAAACCACTGGGCAACAGAGAGTAAGTAAGCAACACCAAGACTGCAGTCGCCAGCTGTCTGAATAAAGCTTGCGCCTGCCAAAAGCACCCCCGGCCTTCTGAAGGTTCCTTCCGGAAATCCGAAATCCGATGGTTTGCCTAAAAAGGCAAGCCAAGCAACTGCTGGATAAGTTCCTTTTCCCACAAAAAAAGAGTATCCAACATTCCTTGACAGCCATAGACCTCCCATCTGGACTCGTTCAGTTTCTGGGTCACACAACAGCCTGAGAAGTCTGGATCCGAAACATGTTGCACAGAACCAAAACCTCACCGCGCATCATAAAAGAAAAAAACAAAACAAAAAAACAAAAACGCTTGAGGCAATACCAAAACGCTGTCAGACCCGCCTACTTCTTTTGTAGCGTCCGGCACCTTTTCCGGATCGACCGAACACCAGCCAAGCTTGCTCCCAAGCTTTGGGAAAACCGGCTTTTTGGGGTGAATTCTGATAATTCACCACTGGAAGGAAGTCGAAACCCAAACCCTTCACTGTGGGTCCTTCTGTTCATTGGCCTTTGAACCAAGGGGCCTGGATACCGAGCCAACAAACACCAACGACCTGTTGCGGCTTTCGGCCAAAATTTGGCCTGGTTTCTCGTTCACTTGGGATCCAAAAACGAAACATCCATTGAACCTGAACCAGCCACGATATCCATTTGCCATCCACATCTGGCGCCCCAATCCATCGATGGCTCAACGGCTCCGAATCGGAACGAACCAAGCCTCGGCAAAGAGCGGGGCGTGGGCGTCCGTGAGGTTCGTCTTCTGCAGCGACAAGTGCTGCAGGCCCGGGTGCACCTCAAAGCGTCCCAGCGGCTCAGCGTTCATTTTGGAAATCTGAAGGTGGGTCTGTCGGCCTGTGTGGCTTGGTGCTTGGGCCAACGAAGTGGTTGACCACACCAAACAGGACTCCTGATACTTCCCTTAAAACATCACCCCCACCAAATTACACTCACCTTTCATGGGCCAAAAAAAACCATGATGTTTAACATCGCCACATGGGGAAATATAGGAATCGACCCCTGCCACAGGAATAAGCGAGAGGAAAAAACAAATCGGGCACCTGCAGGGCCTCGTGCCAGAGCTCCGCGTCGATGCAGTTGCCGTCCAGGCTCAGGGACCGCAGCGGGCGCAAGCCTCGCGGATTTTTTTTCCGCGCCAAGGTGCGCAGGTCTGAGGCAGGACGGCTTTCAATGGACCCAGACACCTCCAGAAGAGAGACACACCACCTGGCGGTTTAACGGGCCCGAAATTTATCGGGAGCGTCTGACCACATGCGTGGTTCGACTTAGATGGAGTGACATAGGGCACCACAAGCTTGGGGTTCTTGTCAAGTCCCTTCAAGAAAGCCTTTCAATTATCAACAGGGGGCCCATTGTCTCATGTTTCAATCGGCCACGACAATAATTCTCAGGCCTTGCTTCAGTGCGGCAGCAGCGACAGCATCGACCTGGTAAGCGCGCAGCGTGTCCCGGTTTGCCGAACCAAAGCCTAACCTCTTGCAGGATCCAACGAGCATCGACCCTGGTTCCCCCAAGATGTGACTCGACCCAAGGGAAACTCACATCGAATCAGCACAACAAATGCTAAAAACCGCCCAACGTACCCTTCCGCTGACGGGTACAAAAATAAAGCACATGTCAAAGGATTGGGTTGAATTTCTACAGCAAAACAGCTCAATTTATGGTGTTTTGGGCCCGTAAACAAACCCTTTAAACATGCACGAACCTGTGTCTTTTTTAAGTTGGCACGGGTCCTGGTTGAAGTCAAGGTGTGGCCACCTTTCCGGGTGCCACATCTGTATGAAGGCTTACCACCCAGAAAGGTTTACAAACCAGAACATGCCCTGTATTACCTGAAGAGTCCCTCCCACCAAAACTGATTTGTGAGAACATGTCCTACTGCACAAGCCAACAACTTCAGCACCCCCACACGACGCATGCGTCTAAGGAAGCACCATGTGTATACTTACACAGCCCCAGAACATTTCCTTCTGGAATCTGGGGGGACGCATTTTCCACCAAACCAAAGCGCCAGCGACGCGCGCCATTGTTCCGCCTGCTCCCATCTCTTCAAGAAGGAGAGGTCCACGAAGCGCGCGGAGCACTCCTCTTGGAGATACTTCCCAAGGGCACTGGCGGCAACACCTGGGCGACAAATCCGGCAGGTCATCCAAATGGGGTTCTTCGCCCTAAGAAAAAACTGGCGAAATGGGCTTCTGCCCCCCGCAAAAAAAGGCGAAGTGCACGTGCCGCCGTTTCCTTTCCTCCCTTCAAACAGAAAGGGACTGCAGGCACAGGAGGTCAAAGAAAAATCAAAAGGCAGAAACTGTTTCCCCGCAAGGTTCCTCAGCTGCCGAGAGTCTTGAGGGCAGTCATGGTCCCCAAAAGGGTGTCACTGTGTCTGTGTCTGTGTGCGCGTGTTAGTCAGCCTGCCAGCCTGTCTGCCTGTCTGCCTGCATGTCTGTCAGTCTGTCCTGCATCTTGACACTTGCCTTTGAGAACATGGCTCAAACAGGGACAATTCAGGAGCCCCACGCTGGCACACTTTCGCCCACGCGGACAAGTTGCCATCAAGCCGGCGATGGGAAAATACGAAGCATCGCGTGGCCTGGCACGGAAAAACTCGTCTTTGGGGCGTGGACACGGTTTTCCTGAACGCATGTTTCGTGTTGTTATTTCCACCAGCCATTTTGCAGGATGTCTCCGAATGGTGATTGTCTCACACCCGAGGAAAACGAATCACCTGGCAACCTCGAAGAATCAAGTGAGCCGTGTTTTTTTTTTTTTTTTTTTTTTTTAAATTGTGTGGGGCCTATACACTGGAAGCACATACCTACGCGGAGGCTACGCGGCTGTCTTTCCCTCTGTGAATTTGGCTATGCGGAGGCTACGCGGAACATAGTTGTTGATGAGTGGCTACGCGAGGGGCTACGCCGGGGGTACGCGAAAGCGCGTTGGCAAACGTAGTAGTAGTAGTAGTAGTAGTAGTAGTAGTAGTAGTAGTAGTAGTAGTCGTAGTCGTAGTCGTAGTAGTAGTAGTAGTAGTAGTAGTAGTAGTAGTAGTAGTAGTAGTAGTGGAAGCAGTAGTAGCAGTAGTAGTAGTAGTAGTAGTAGTAGTGGTAGGAGTAGTGGTAGGAGTAGAGTAGTGGTAGGAGTAGTAGTAGCAGTAGCAGTAGCAGTAGCAGTAGCAGTAGCAGTGGTAGTAGTAGTAGTAGTAGTAGTAGTAGTAGTAGTGGTGGTAGTAGTAGTGGCAGGGGTAGTAGTAGTACCAGTAGGAGGCTGCATGTCGGCCAGTGGCCTTGAATACGCCTTGGAGGCTGCGCGGAGGCTACGCGCAGGCTACGCCGAGGCAATGCAGAATGAGTGAACTCAGTTCTGGCCGGGCCAAGGCAAATCAAATTCACCCTCTTTCTTTGAGACCTTTGCTAGTGGCAACGCGGAGGCTACGAGGAGGCTACGCGATGCTACGCGGTCCCAGGAGGGCCCCCATGCCAGCTCCGCTCTCCTTTTGGCTCCTGCATTCAAAAAAGACCGCTGCTCAAGTGGGTTGAGTATGGCTGGGCGTGGCTTTCTCGCACTCATTACGAACAAGGCATCGACATCGGCTCGAATCGAAGTGCCTGTCCAATTCTTAGTTGACGCACACCTCACTAAAGGGCTGGGCAACATAAACATATTGATCTTTTGAACAACAGTGTGGCTCAAATTTAAGAGCCAGCAGGGTTTCGTCTACATTCCCATAAATTTACAAGGGTTCCATTTTGGGTCGCTAAATTTTGCAACAGCCACAGAAGGGGAATGTCGACGGGCGAATTGCTTTCAGCTGAGCCATGCCTATTGACATCTGACATCCCAAGAGATGTCAATGGCCACGTCTGTTCGTCGGATCGTCTTGCACTCAATAGAACATGTGACTTGATGCTCGGGAGGGCCAGCAATGCTTGTGAAACCAGACTTCAAAACCAGCACTTATGATCATAGGTGACCTTTGGAAATATGGATGGCCCTGTTAATGGCATGAAACCCATCTAAATTATAACCAAACAAACTAAAGGACAACTATGGTTGTGATTGATGTATTAAGTCAGCCAGTACAAAAGCTAGGGCCCTTGTTTGGAACACGGTGACAGTACAAAACCCGTCCGCCCACGTTAGAAGGCCCGATACACCAGGATTCCTGATGTGTATTATCCCCATTCAAGAATCATTCCAACAAATGACCACAGAAGGGAACTATAAGCTCGCCTGTTCAATGGAGTCAAATTCAACTGCTGGTATAGAAAACAGGTCTATCGTACCCACAACGTTGCAAGGTATGAAGAGGGTGGCCGCAAATGCGTATGGGACACTCCAATGATTGGACTTAAGCTCTAAAATATCAGGCCCGCCACTGTTCGCTTCACTTTCAGTCACCAAACTTTAAGATGTATTCTCAATCTACCTAATATCGGTATGTGTCACAATAGGCCTCCACCCAAAAAAATGATGGTTTTCCTGTTCTTCCCCTTTGAAACCAGCCAAAGAAAGGCTACCCTCGACAACAAAGACGAGACCCCGACCTCCCTCCCTTCACCTCGTCAGGTCGCGCTGGCCCCGCCTGCGCTGCACGGGCCTGGAGCAGAAACGCCTCCCAGCACTCCGAGCGGCCAGCCACGTCCTCGCAGACCGTCGGGTCGGTCGGGTCGGTTGGTATCCCACGCGGATATTGGTGTTCCTTTTGCTTGCGGAAGGGAGAGAATGACTGTCAGACACCAAAATGGCTGTGATAAACCTCCAACTGGTGGTTTCCGTGTTCCATTTGCTGGAGGGGATGACTCTTATAAACCATCCAACTTTTACTTGCTGGAGGGAATCTCAGTTGCTTTCTGGTCCCCTGCTAAAAGTGAACAACTTTTAGTGGTTCAATACGGAAAACCCGTTTGGCAAAAAGTTGAAGTCCTAACATCCAAGCAAAATGCACCAAAGGAATGACTCTTAGAAACCATCCAACTGATATTTCCCCATTCAGGGGCCCCTGGGTTCATTCCAACATTCCCCTACTGAGCACACGCAAGTTTTTGTAGCCTCGCAAGAGCGGTTGGTTGGCTTCCGTGGATATCTCTAAGGAGAAACGGGCGTTTTTTTGCAGCCGAAGGGTCATGATCCCTCCAATGCAGACCCCCACACCCAAGCAAGAAGCCGGACCAATTCCTCTGGAAAACAGTCCCAGTTGTGAGGGCCCAACAACCATCGAGACCCTGAGGGCAGTTGTTTCTTGAAGGAAAAGACTCCAACGATAACATAGGCACCACAGGCTACCGGTGCCCGTCGACTCCAGCTTCCACAACCCCTGATGGGAGTTGGGAAATCTACACACTTAAAACTATGTCCTTTCTCCCCCCCCCCCCCACATTTCCCTAAATACTTTCCCTGAAGCATCACCCCACCAAAAGGACACGCTTGACATTGGCGCAAGTGATCTTCAACGTGACACATGGTTCATGTAGGCCGCTCCTATGTAGTGACGACGGGAGTGGAACTGGCCTAAAGCGGTCCAACAAGTGATGTGCAAACTGGCCTAAAGGGAAAATGTTGGGAGTTCCGTCAGGAAACTCACTTTAAGAAATCCAAACAAATGAAGTTTAAAACATCCCAAAGGGAACAAAAACAGTCACGAGAACTTAGAAAGTCAGCCATGTTTTATAGACCGATTCAGGGCCATAGCAAGAAAAGCCATTGCAGCCTAATCATGACCATTAGTGACTAGGGCCATTAAGGAGCATCATCCACAGGAATCTGCGTGTTGCTACAGGAGCAAATCTTGCTGTGTCGTTTAGTGGCAGGATAAGTACCCGATCGCCTCCTGCAAGTGTAGTGGAAGGTTTCTATAGTTGGAATCAGGTTTTGGGGTTCTGCAAAAACCTATTTAATCATAGGAGCAAGCCACTGGTCAAGTTCTAGTCCCTCAACTAGTAGTAAATTTGGTGCCAAATAAAAGGGACTAACACTAATCGATCGGTGCCTAATAGTTACAAGGGACCAACACAAATCTTCGCTATAAAATGATTCAGCCTCCAATGTAGGCCCGCCCCCTCCTTGGCGCTGTGCGCGGAAGCAGTGCTCTTGCCCGTGCGCGTGCTCCGGGCGCTACGGGCACTGGGCGACAAGTCCAGCACCCCCGTCTTGCCCCAGGAGGCAACGCCGCCGCGCACGTCCCAGGCCATGTCAAAGAAATGGTTGGTCGCAATAAACTTTGGGCTGGCAAAAATTAGATAGAACGCCCCCAAGAAAAACCACAAGGAGGTTGTTGCTCAAAAGCGGTTTTAATATGCAAACATAACGGGTTGGGCGAGAGCTGGAAGACACCAAAGGTTTCCGAAAGAAGCTGAGAAGCTCAGAAATGAGTGGCTTGGCAACAAGTTAGAAGGTCCTGGAACTCAGGGCTGAGGTGCTTGCGGTTGGTGATGAAAGGGTGGAGTCAGCTACGCAGGTGTTGTTTGTTGTTGCTTGGGGGTGTCACATTTTGCAGTCGGGCCCCTTGCCAATGATTTGCTCGAGTCACGGGTCACCGGGTATTTAGTGAACCTCATGTACACAACGTGCCGCGGTTCACAACAACAAAAAACGGCTGGCTCGGCAGAAATGCTTTTATTCACACCCGGGTCTTGTGAAACACATGCTACAAACTTGAGGCGTGGGCCATCATGCTATCACCTCTAATATTCCTACGAGCTCGCCGTGTCAGGTTCCGGTCCAAGCATGCATTTATTTGCCCTGTCAGGACCTAAAAATCAAAGGTGTACTTTCTTGGGACTGAAAAAACAACATGGACCAATGCATGCCATTCTTACGTGCACACAGCACATATTTAAGAACCAGTGCCAGCCACGAATATGGGTCTTGTTTTTTGGGGTACCCTAAATTTTGGTGGTTGTCAAAGAGAACCGAAAGGAAAATCACAATTTGCTTGCCCCCCCGACCCCACCCCCACAAAAAACGACACATCCATGTCCAAGAGCAGCAAATTGCGCTCAGTGCCCGACAAGAGATCGTCAAGTTTGTTCCTCGTGCATTCCATGCTTGTCGCTTCGTCTCGGCCATGTTTCTGGCCAAGACCGGTGGTGCCGCATTAGCACCGGGGTGATACACTTTACTTCTCAAGCAAGAAGTCTCTTAATGTTCTGACAACTTCCTGCAGGACGGGTGCGAAACCAAGACATCAGCGGTGCTGCAGCAAGGCCCTGAGACCCTGTCTTGCCCAATGCTTGTTGGAACTGCTTGGGCGGCACAAGGCCAGAGTCTCTTTTAGGATCATGCCGTCTCTTTGTGAACCAAACATCCTACACACATTCGAATCGCCCTGCCGCACCCGCACCTACAGCAAGAAAATAACGTATTGACGGCTCTCTGCCCGTTGGGCCCGAAACACACCGACGGATTTGTTAAGGTCTCATGGCTCAAAGGAAAAAAAGGAACGATCAACGGGCCATGTCAATCCTTTGGGCAAGAGCGCGTATTCGAGCGAACCGATTGCTGAGAAATCGCTCAGGCGGGCAGGGACTGCAGCTTCACCATGTAGTTGATCCGCTGGGCCTGGATTTCAGGGATTCCAGGGAATCCATTGAGGGATTCCCCATTTCCCTGACTAGGTAACCAAAGGGAACCCCCCAGAAGGATCCGATGGCTGAGTACATAGTAACGTATGGAAAATTGTTACACCAGCCTTTAGGTGCACTTGTCAGGGTGTCCAGGAAAGAACTATGACTTCGCGGTGGTTTCACAAAACAGCCCGAAATCTGGTACCCTCAAAACGACACATTAAAATAGGCAGCACTGAGCCTGATGAACATCATCAGCCATGACCAATCCTCACTTTCAGCAAAACCAAACAATGGCATGGTTTGCGTGTTTAGGGTCAGTAGCCCAAAAAAAGGGAACGCCAAGAGGTCCAACAAATCCGCTTTGGACAACCGATCGCCGCACAACAAAGGACGCCCTTGGTGGAGAAAATTTGCCTCTCCAGCTCCCGCCGGAAATTAATTCGCAGCTCAGAGGAAGGGAAACCATTTGGGATCCCTGGGCAAACCCCAGGCATGGTTCAGTTTGGGGATATTCCCTGATTCCCTGAGAACCATGTTGTAAACTGGGTCAATGAGTGCGTTGGCGTGAAATCTGTCTTGATGCGGCAATCCCGAGAGTGGGGTCTCCTGCCTCGCTCAGGCGATTCCACTCCCAAACGTTCATGTGCACCAGCTGGTATCCCATCCTAGCAAAGGCGAGGCAGACTATCCCCGCGGCGACCTGAAGCTGAACCGTCTCCGTCCAAGTCCATTTCGTGTCTTCCGATCACCAAAGGGGCAACATGGTATGGAACCTCAGTTGTTCAGCGACCCTGGAAAAAAAAGGGAATCCTTTTTTGGGAAGACCCTTTTAGTGGGGCAGCCACCAAAAGAAAAGGGGAAAAAGAGTTGGTGCCACTGAACAACCGAGGAACAGAACCTGCAACTTTCACAGGGGATTCGGATGCGACTTCAGGGTCTTGCAGGTCTCTTGGGGGAGCAGTGCGGGGGACCACTCTGGTCGATTCAGGGCGAAACAAAGCTCATCCACATCTATTCTGTAAAAACGGCACATGGAGCAATAAAAGGAATGCCGAACGAGGGGTCATTGGATTCCCCTTCAAAAGTTGCAATTCACCGGTGGTTTTCGTTGAACCGATCGCCACTTTTGCAGGTCCCCAAAATGGAAAAGGTGGATGCCAAAAGTGGAGGACCAGCCCTTGGTTTGGGTCTTTTTGGTTTCGGAGACCTCACGGCTCTTTCGTTGCCCCTGCCAAAAGTGGAGGACCAGCCTTTCTTTTGGGTCCTTTTGTTTGCGGAGACCTTGCGGCTCTTTTTGCCACGTCCTCTGCAGGAGCTTTTGCCGCAACTTGGTCTCGACCGTCGGCGGAGAGGTCCGCTGATCCTCTCAAGAAACAGTTGGATCTGGGGGTATCCCCAACCCGAAAAACAAGGCCGCTTGACTCTACATGGTGTAGATTAGATGTCTGTTGGTTGGACAATGGTGGACATGTGTGGCAATCATTTGCATGGGGGATTCATGTCCACAACCCAGTCGGAGGCATTCCCTATTTGAAGTCATAGCCAAATGGGGTCATGGCCGCATTTTCGCGGTCTGCTTTGTATTTTCAAGTACAAACCCTGGCTTTCCTTCATCATACTCTAAAACAAAACTGGGCGGCTGGAGTAGGTTCCTTACTCCTCTGGCGAAACCTTTGAAAGAAGCAACCGCTTCTTCCTTTCTGAAGGATGGATATAAACACCCATGCGGAGGTGTCAACAAGCCCAACAGCATGGCTTTGTCTTCGGACCCTGCAAGAGGGTTTCAGAAGGGGCATGCGTTTTGGCCTTTTCAAACCACCCCCAGGGCTTCCTTAACATGGCCTACCAAGGCGACAGCTCCAGTTCAAGATGGACAAGAAGGTGACCCCTGCCCTTTCAATAGACGTTTAAACTGCTGAACACCATGTCATCTGGGACCAAACAAACTCATGGAGCGATTCTTTCTAGTGTTAAGTCTTCTTATGAGAAGACCCTCCTGATTTACAAGTGAGGGGGTATTGATGACAAAGAAGGGCGCTTATCAACTCACAGCAAGTCCGCAAGAAGCTGATCGTGCAAGAGACGCACGTCCTGTCGCGCCGCGCAGTAGGCGTCTGCCTCGCAACATTCATACACCTCAGCGAGTGGATCTCGACTCGAGAATCGACTTTTCAGTCGCTTGTCCGCTGTTTACTCTGGGCTTAAGTCAGTTTTCAACTTTCCGAGTGGCAAAGAGCTAGCGAATCCAACAAATCCGACCCCACAAAACGGAGCGTTGCCGCGGAAAGTGGATCGGCGTAACCCCCACGAATGGTTAAACCACTTGTGAGAGGGGGAAAGTAAAGGTTCCGCCAGCGAAGTTGAAATTGGCAACTCAGGCTCACGCTGTGAAAGATCGGACCGTCAAATTACTGGTTTCGGGTGCGTTCAAGTCCGGTGAGTTCCCAGATGGACCGCAGACTGCTGGCCGAGTCGTGAGTTCTGCCAAGAGTCAATCTCCGTGTCTCCGACGGCCTGCACGCGTGGCCCAAGCCGTTCATGTCTCCAAACTCGAATGTGCAGAGCCCTTCCGGTTGAATCCATAAAGGGTCCTTTCGCTGTACATTGGTGTGGCTTTGGTTTGGCTGGACCGTGTTTGTGGACATCATGTACAATCAAATTTCATAGCCACATGGCCCAGGGCAGTGCTTGACTTCCCAAGTCTACAGACCTTCTTTAGTCCTTTATCCCCCCGAGGACCTCCCAATAAAACATCAAACAGGGCACCCTCTTTTGCCTGGCTCCTCAATAAACCTGCATTTGTTTGCCAAAAGACCCGTGGGACGGCGATTTGCAGTGGGGACCTCACCAAGGTGGGCGTTGGGCCGATATCGCCCCCCAAAAAAACCAGTTACGACTAGAGCAGGTAATGAGTAACCAGGATTTGTACCTCTAGTTACATGATGGTTTTCCTTAGCCCTAGTTTACATGGGGGGGGCACATTTTTGGCTTGCTTGGATCCCTTAAGCCCAAGAATCAAGCGGGGCCCATTGCAGTGGAATCCCGTGCTTCAGTCGAAAATGAATCACGTACCGACTCTGGGGGCAACTGGATCCCACCCCGGGAGGGCCCAAGGCCCGGCAGTTCCAGCGGCCTTGACCACCAGGTGGAGCTCCAGCGGCCCGGCCATGCGGTTCAGCTCGCACACCACCCCCAGCTGCCCCAGCACCTCCGCCACCTCAAGCCGGAGCTCGGGGTGCGAGCGGCGCGGCGCCGAGAGGCTCGCGGGGCTCGTCGTGTTGCGAGTCAGCTGTTGGGGTCCGAGCTTGACGACAAGCAGTTGGGTCGGCACAGCTGATCCTTTTGGGGAGGAATTTGTTTGGGCTTGTGTCAAAAACACCCTCTACTCCAAGAACCTTGTATTTTAAAGGTTCTCGAAAATAACCGGCTCCTTCACGGGAAAACCCGGTTTTACGAAAAGCAGACAAACGTACGGGTTTTGTATGTTTTTTGGTAAAACCGGGTTTTAGCAACAGGCTAAAAACCCGGTTTTTCGTTTGCATCCTTTATTTGTAAAGGTTCTTGGAGTAGAGGGCAGAGAGTTGCACCCTCAAAAGGGCACTCTTAACAACCACCCCCGGGCGTGTGTGTGTGTGTGAAATAGTGGAGAAAGTAGTCGATGTGCTTGCGTAGTGTCGGGTAGCGACTAGGAAATGGAAGGCAATTCTGACAAGTTTTCCCAAAATGATTCCCCACCCTGAAAAGATGAAAGGGGAGGACATAGCCAAGTTGCCTGTCTGGTGGAAGAAATATGACTGCCCGTGGTGAGAACTAATACTAGTCAAGTCAAATACTAAGACTGACCACATGAACCAGTACTGAGCAGTACTTCCTGAGAGACTAGTTGAGCAATCTTGAGTAGGCCCAACTCTGACCCCAGCAATTTGTTTTTAGGTTTCTCCCTATTCACCTCCCCGCCCCCCATTCTTTTTGTTTCAGGGCGGGGCCCTTAACTTACTGATGACTCCCCCACATTACATATTGCGAACAGGATATACGAAAGGCCTCGACTGCTTTGAGCCCATGGTCCTTTCGCCGCAAGTACTCGAGGACCCCATCTATTCTTACAAGAGACATCCTCGATTTTATGGGACCGGTCCAGTACAAGTAGTCTGGAACGCACATCCTGCCGAGGTCAAGCCTACTTGACGGCCTCATAAACAGAACATCCAGCCAAGCATAGGGCTTCCCTGCCTTCTGAAGGAATTGCACCTCCACCCCCGCCTCTCCCTTTGTTCCGTTCTGATGGATGGACACATTCATCTGGTCTATTTTACGGCCAATCCTGAAAAAAGCGATACCCTTCCTTTATGGATGGATGGACACATAGGGTCTGGATACCCCAACAGGTGCAAATCGACTCATCGACTCGTTTCCAGCCCGCCCCGTGCGCCTGCTTGGCGAAGCTGTTGGCACCTTGGTGCCTCAGCTCCTTGCAGGTGTCCTGCACTCGATCCAAGTAGCTCCTCACCTGCGCTCAAAACTGAAACCCCTCCAAAGACCCGCTTTTCATGGGTGGATTCTCACTTCCTGAGCAAATGGCCCAAAGCAAGTCAACAAACTTTATCTCTATTACTAACTTGGTCTTCGCAACAAGTTTAAACTCCAAAAACTCAATAAGTGTCTGAAAAGAAAAACAGCTTTCCCGTGGGAAATGCGAAATACTAGCCTGTTTAGTCAGGGAGTGACATCATATCAACAAGTGGGTTTTAGTGGGCATTTAGAGTATGTCTTTAGATGCGTAAAGGGAACAAACCGTGAGTATTGGTCCGCTTGTCCATCCACGAAGACTAGAGAGTCCCACTGCGTACTACTGGGACATCATGATCAAAACCTCAGTCCCAAAGGCTCATGATCCCTCCAATGTAGGCCCCCAACCCCTACCCGGACCCCTCAAAAGCTCTTGAAACCAAACCCATAGGGCCCGAAATTCAGCAGCCCTCAAATGGGGCGGCTTTTGAAGGTACCGCTCCCCCAATGTCGCTGGAGTGTCCCATATGTCGACGTGAAGCAAAGAAAAGAAAACCGAAGCCTTGGTTGTTGGGCGCTCGCCGCCAAGGCCAGGAAGCTGCGCTGCTTCAAATTGTGTTTTTGTTCAGCCTTCTTGGCCATGTCGAGCAACAAGTCACCTTAAAAACTTACTGGTTTGCTTTGGTGAATTGGGACTTCGCAGTTGGTTTCGAAAGGTGTTCAAATCCCCAAACCACCAATCAAAACCACCAAGTCGGGGGAAGCTGAACAAAGAAACACACACACACACATTGGAAAGAGACACGCAAAACATACAAACACCAGGCTCAAGGAAACTATGAACCTAACGTATGTTGTTCAGACTCGGCAAGCAACGGACACGCTGGCTTTTTGCCGTGAGCTTCAATGATGCAAAAGCGCAATGAACTATAATAGATCCTGCGTGACACGTCTCAAAGACTCTGTCGCAAAACAAGCGCTGGGGCAACGCGGGGCGGTCGCAGACCTTTGACTGACAGTTGCGAGAGCCACGTTTGCTGCGGCAAACTCCAAAGCTACGCATCTGACTGAAACTGCTGACACCGTCTATGCGTTTGGCCAACGCTGCTCGGCAACAAACACATCTGTGTCTTAACGCTTCTGCCAAACTCTTCTCTGCGACATCATGTCACGAGCGGCAACTTCCATTGACGCATCCTTTCTGAAACGCCTAAGCGGATGCTGCTTTCCCCCTTAGCATTTCTAAATGGATATTACCCTCTTCAACGAATCTGCGGGTGTTGCTCTGAACCGCAGTTTCAGGAGACATTGCCAGGCAGCCCCAAGCTGCGACACCTCTGGATGACATGTCTTACATGAATCTGGCTGACGTCTCCCGGCGCCACCTCCAAGTGAGACTTCCAAAAAAACAGATCTGAGCGACACGCCAAAACAACACTTAAGGGACACTTTGGAGGAGCACTTCATAGAGATACCAGGCTAGGTGCGAAATAGAGCATCTGGAAAACGTGACTTATTCTCCATCCTTCTTGAACTGTTCTAATTCGGGAAACTATAGCAATTCATTACCCGCAACGCGACCTCTTTCTTGATCCTCTCCAGTTGAAAACCTCTGGATGTCCAAATCACTGGCAACTTATGGGGACGAAAAAGAGGCCTCTCTCATAGACTCGCCTCCGCTGGCAAAGAAGTGAAGAAGGCCCAGGTCTCCTTTCGCAAAGAGGCCTCTCGCACGGCTCGGGGTCGACGGGCCGACGTCAAGCCGCGGTTTTTCGCTGAAGGGTCCGATTCAAACACGGGACTGGAACATCTGACCTGACGTTCAAGCACACAATCCAGCCACTACAAGTCTTGGTTGCTGTTAACATCTTTGCACAAAGCTTAACCTTTTGGTGGGTTTAATGGAAAACCCTTGATTTCCCAAAAAGTTAAAGTCTAAAGATCCAACCCAACAGCAATCAAGGCATGGGCCTGTTTTGAGGGCCCTTTTGTTGCCCTGCCTCGATGACAAAGATGTTGCGGAAGGAATGGGATCTGCGCCTGCAAGACACCCGGAGCTCGAGTCAACGAAAGTCGCAATCAAAACCTGGTACAAAAATGGTGAACCCAGAACCATGTAAAGAATTAAGAAGGCGGCCGCAGCTATTTATGGCTGGGATCGTCCCTTACTAACCTTCATCTACCCGGGTTTTGATTGTGGCTCACTTGCTGGTGCGCAGCAGGGCATGAAGAATGCCCCCCAAAATAAACAATTTTCTATGGCTTCCTTTAAGGGAATGCCTAGGCTTATTCCTAACATTCCCTACTGAGCACCAGCAAGTTGAACCTGCAATCTAAGTATCACATCGCATATCACTGGGTCAATCAAAGTAATTTCCTGAAACTTACCTCTAAATAGTGGATTGAAGGGAAAGCCCGAAAGTAGCTTTGAGACTTAATCCTTCAGCATGCAACTCTCAGGGGCCCAGTAGCATAGCATGAAGTACTATGTGTCACTTTGAAGGGGATTCCTTTATCGCAGAAAGTGGCAACCTCCAGCACCCCCCAACAACTCCATTTTGAACAGGGCAACCCATGTTGGAGATCTATTCGGCCGTGACTCAAAACCAGGTGCCCAAAACGGCACCTTAGAAAATGGAACCAAAACCAAAACCTGCCGCTTGCCGACGGGCCTAAAGATCTCCGCGTCCTGCTGGTACTTGGCGATGTCTGGCGCAACGGCATCCTCGTGGTTCTGAAGACCCGAGCGTGTCTGGGAAAAGCAATGGATCCATGGGTGCGTCCCTTTTAAGTTAACTACCCTTTTTTTATGGTTTTAAAGGAGAACTCCAAGGCAAACAAAGGCCATTTTGGGGGGTCCCTTTCGGAGTTGGTACCCCCCCTTTGGTGGTGAACAAAGGAAAAAAAACAACGTGTAGCCTTGCGCCATTTAGGGGGGCGGGGATCCGATTCCTACAAGGGTGTGGCTCCAAATGCAAGAGCTAGGGTTACGCAAGATTTAGCCTTTGGTTCCAGTTACCAAGGTACCATTTTGGTACATGCTTACCCACAGCCACAAGAAGGGCGAGTCCATAGCAACGTTGTACCCTTGTGGCCATCTTTTGAAGCTTCGCCCCCGCACATTTGGATCCACGCTACTCGTTTTTCATCATTTGTTCCAAGCTAAGAGGATGGCCTTCTGAAAGCTCAGGTTGATTTGTTTTTGGTCAAGTCACACCAGCACCCCTCATCCGCGGGCACTATCCCATGTTCACAAATCCTAGAACAGTCCAAACTAAATCCCAAATTTCCTCCTAAGGCCTTCAAGGCTGGAACTGGACCTGTTAGTCTGCCAGTGTCAAAGCCACTCTATAAGTGGTAAAGGGAAACCAACCAGCCTCGCTGGCCTCTGACTTTGAGATCAGCAGACCCAGGTCGGCGGATGCTAAAAAGGCATGGGAATTCCATTGGTTCCACCCAAGCGTGGCTCGGTGGCTCGTCCTCTTAGAGTTGCTACCTCTTTTTGGTTGAAGTGCCAAAGGCAAACAGAAAGTGCCAAAAAACTCACCGTAGAAGGGACCGGAACGGACTTGGCTCTAAGCCTCTAAGCCCCAAGCATCTGGCGCCACCAGGGGTGAACCCGCATCCACCTGCGGGAGACACACAAAACGCCACGGTGTACCCATGAGCCACCGTCAAAATGAGCGTGTGCGTGCGCTTTTGCAAGGAATGGATAGAAACAACGTAACCCCCCCAGTTTGGCACTGTGTTCATTGTGTTCCTGACTGACATGGGAAATGGACGAGTAACCCCATTTCCTCAACCTATTTTGGTGAAGGCGCCCAAAAACCAGAGTCCCCCAACCCACAGGAAAAGGCTTGGATCAGAGAAACTCCCAATCCCACTTTTGTGAGGGTATGATGTCTACCATGGAAAACCTTGTTTCTTCAAATATATACCTTGCCTAATAACCTGAACCCTGCTTTTGCACTTGTTCCCGGTCATCCCCTCAAGGATCTTTCGGACGACTCCCACGCATTCAAGCGGGCCATTTCGGGGCCACTTGAATTGGCGCCTCCGCACATCGCTCAAGGAAGGCCCGGCGCAGCGCATCGGGCATGAGCCTGAGGCGAGGTTGACTTCGGGGGCTTCCGCGCAGATGTGCGGAACCAGTTGCCACTACACCCAGACAATTCATGTGGTAAACAAAACAACATTTGACCCAGACAGGACCCATTCAACGGGTCGAACCCGAGCTCCATTGGATTGGTTGCCTCAAACAGGATGCCTCTTTCAGGAACCGCCGGATGCTGAGTAGGGGAGCTCATCATGTAAAAGAAAGAGGTATAATACCCGGTGGTGATTAGAAGCCCTAAGATGCGCGGCAACCACTTTCAGCCCAAAGGCCTTCGAAGACTTCTGGAAAGACTGAACGTGCGAAGATCCATGCTTGCAATTGGAAGGATACACGGGTGGGAGGCTGACTTCATCCTACTCATAGCTTGCGGACAAGATGTCTGGTCTCGCAGCAACTGCACTTTTAACAACGCCAGTCAGATTTGACGCTCTCCCATACATTCCCAGGAAGACACCAGAGACCTGCTGCACATGCTTGCTCAAGCAAAGCCTATATTGAAAAGCCCACGTGATCTCAGCAAAGTGCACTTTCTAAAACGGATTTCAGTTCTGATACGAAGGAACACGCATCCTTCGTGTCGTGTGTCAGGCGCACATGCTGATGAACCACATCAGCCAAAGCATGCTACGAATCAAGCCTGACCCAATCCAGGTGACAATCAGATAGAGGTGGCATAGGACGAAGGCATGGAAATCGGAGCGCGGCAGCAACGCGTCCAAGCTTTCAAACTCGTGACGTAATTCCACAGGATTTGCGGCTCGGGCCCTGCGGGCGGCCGCTAGCAGCCGGCCAGTTGCCAGGCAGACTGGCTTGTTCAAACGAAGGTTCACGTCGACCAGCCTCGGGGTGGCCCTCACCAGGTCCGCGATGGCCGCAAAGCCGGTGTGGCCAACGGAGTTCGAGGGCAAGCCTCCGTGTTTTTGGCCTGTTTTTGGGTTGGCTTTTCCTAAAGCTGGCTCCCCCCTAAAAGCCGGGAAGCAAAAATGGTACCCAACACCAGCTGAGGCACCGAGGTATCTCAGGCTGGGGTGGCCTTCCAGGCCGCGGGCCAGCGCCACCGCCCCACGGTCCGTGATGAAGTTTACAGGGAGATCAAGTTCTTCGAGCCTTTGCAACCTCCTCTGCCAGAGTCTCCGCCTCGGCGTCGCGCAGCCGGCAGCGCTCCAGATGAAGAGTCCGGAGCTGTGCCAGGCCAGCCATGGCGCGGAGGGCATCGGAGCCCAGGAAAAACGGCTGGCTAAAAATATAGGCATCCAGGCTCAGCTTGCGCAATCTGCCCTTGGCGCCGAGCAGCTGCAGCAGCTCCAGGGCCTGCGCGCTGGTCATGCGGGTGAACGTCAACTTGCACTCTTGCAGCTGCCGGCACGCCCCCGCGAAGCAGATCAGTTTGGGGACCTCGGACTGAGGAAGCAAGGTGCTTCAGAGCACTTCCTGGGTTGCCAGCTTTTCTTCAAAGACTTCCCGCAGCTTGAGAACAATCTCTGCGTCTGACCTGTGTGTAAACTTCAACTGTCCGTTGCCAACTGCTCCTTGAAAATCTGCCGGTGTCCAAGGAAGCTCCGTGCGCATATTGGCAAGAAGAGCTGCGGTGTCGGGCGGTAACACGGGCACCCTGCCGTTCCTGGCCTTCACACAGCCTACCATTCTGCCAATACATGGAAGTATCCCCTTCATGACGTTGAATGAGTGGGGTTTGCTCCACTCAAGCTCAGCCCTGCACCAGCCTCGCTCCTGGTAGGCCACAGTGTTGGCTTGCAGGCTCTCCAACCCCGTGCCCGTGACAGATCCTTCAGCTGCACTGAAGACTGTGACCATTTTTCCCTCCTTCACATGTCGAGCACGAACAGATTGCGGTGTCAGCTTCTCGATTCTCCAAACGTAGGTGCTGAAGCCACTGCCAGAGTTAGCGTAGCACAAATGCATTGCCCGCATGGCAGCCCGGAAGGAGTCCTCTTGATGTCCTCCAGCATAGGTGCTCAAAGAAAATGTGAACGCTTTAATTCAGAGCTTGACCATGTGTGTCATGCTGTAAACAGAAACATCATGGTGTTCGAAACCTATTTCTAACATGCTGTCTGCCAGGAGCTTTAGATATCGATGAATTTGCCATACCTACGAACTGCTTTTGGGGGGAACAGTTTGCTTTCAAATTGGAGCGTTTCACCATAGTATCCCTGCAAGTAAAAGGCTTTCTAAAACGGGGGCCGTTACATGAACATCCTTACAAGCCTTTTCCACGCTAAGCTAGACTTGCGAAAGCTCAACGCGAAAGCAACACATTTTGGCACATGGAATAATCATGGTCCAAAACATGCGTTCAGCAGGACCTTTTCAAACCCAGCAGCAAACAATGGACGGACTTGAATGGTGTCGCCTGCCATAGTTCACAGTGTTTCCGTCTTTCACTGCAAAAAAAAACCTTCATGCCCATTTCTCGGTATTTTCACGTGTTTCCCTTGTCGATTTCCCATGGCTAAGCCCATGATCAATGTTTCTGGAAATCCAAGAAATTCGAAAACCTTGGGCATTGAACAGCTTCAACATTGGCATGGTTTCAGCCACAAGCACTACAAAACCATGTGGCTACTAATATGGCCAAAAAACATGCAGCCAGCGTAATTAAAAGCGCCCAGCTTGCAGAGGGCGTTGCCCACATTTCACGGCCGCTTCCTGAAGGCCAATCGTTTTAAGGCGCCCGAACGTCAGGGGTATTGCTTCAAACCAGAACTACTTCAGCAGACCATGTGCGCATGCACATCGTCAATTGCCCTTGGCCGTTTGCTGTTCACTCTGTCAGTGCACGTTGCCACCAACAAATCTCCAAAGTGCCCTCAATCGGAAAAGGCAGCTTTGCCCCCGACCAACTTCGGCTCAAACCGGTGGCGCAACCCTGGAGTTCTGAGTTTGAACAGCCAAGGTGCAAGGGGCCAGGGCTTGAGGGATGCTGAGATGAGTAGGGCGGCGTGGCCCGTAAAAAGCGGACCCAAGAAAATGTGTCTTTTTCTACCTCTGATGGTCACCCTGCGAGCCCGCCTGCTTCAAACAAGCGGATTCAATAGGAAGAATATTATTTCTCAGACGTCTTCAGGAATTTGGGGACTTCTCGAGGAGTTTTTTGGGCAACCTTGCATTTACTGGAAGTTTTCTTGATAATTTTCAGGAATTCCAAAAGCATCTCGAGGCTGTCGCAAAGGGTGTTGTGGGAACTTCCATCCCAGCGCTGTGTCATATATGTCTGTGTTGGGACATGCACCATTCCCGAAAAACCTTAATCTCCCAGCAAATGCAAGATTCCCAACCCACCTTGATATTAACAGGCAAAAACAAACCATACACAAAATTACCCAAAGTTTGTTTTTAGTAACTACGTTTGCTTTCAGATTGATCAATGTCGGATCGACCAAGTGAAGCCTTGCCCGCAACAATGCTCTGCCCCTTTCTGATGGCCTGGACTCCGAGGGTATTGGTAGAGAGAGATGTAATCGATGAAGAAGGCTGCGTTGTCCACGAAGAATCCATCGAGATCGAAGGCTGCAAAGCAGTCCATGGTTCGCACGAGTTGTTCTAGCTGAAAGCCGCAAGGATCTGGATGTTCCATGGTCTCCCAGCAGTGAGACACCGGAATGACCTTCTCACTGGCCCAAAGGAGCTGGAAATACAAGGTTCACATTTCGGACCTTGAATCAACATGGAATTGCCCAAACAAAATGAAAGGTATTGTTCCTTTGGGACCTGGTCTCAAATCAGGGAAACCAAAAGGTCAAAACGCCGGCTTTGGACAAGTGAGCCTTGAAGTCGTCCGTCGCCCTTGGGGTGTAGAGCGCCCCTTCCTCCAGCTCGGCCTCCTGGCGTCGAGGCCACACGCGGCCTTGCGCGTGCAGCTTGCGGAGGAACTCCGGCTGGACCAGCTTGATGTCGGCCTCAAGGGTTCCGGCCGGTGCCGGTTCAAAATCAATGTTGAAGCCACTGTTTAACCTCGGCTGACAGTTTTCGCATCCCTGCTAAAAAGCTGTGGGGACTTGGCTCCGCCAAGTAAACCATGTAGCCTTCCCCATATCCACAGCATCCCTGGCTGTTTCAAATGCGGAGCCTGGCATCCTCCAAGTACCGCAAGAAGTCTTCTCTGCAGCTCAGCTTATATGGGCGACTTGGCTGCTGCGAAGTCTCATCAGTCGAATCCATGGCCAAATCGCGATGCGTCAAAATAGGGGAACAAGACATGCGTGTTTTTTCTTCCAGGAAGAGCTTCCCTTTAAACCAGGCCCAAACACGGGCACCCCGGAAAAAAAAAGGCACCAAACCCCAGGACCTGATCCCATTCCACCCGCCCTCTCTCTCCCGGAAGCTTTGAGCTTTGAGCCTACGAAGGCGGCAAGCCCACTCCCACGACTCATGGCGGCTGTAAACGTTTTGCTTGAGGGTGCTGTTTCTTTAACTGTTTGCTTTAAAGGGATACTTGAAAAGGACGGGATACATTTTGGGGGGTCCATTTCCTTTTGACACATGCCAACTTGTTCTGTTTCACGGTCATGGTCAACATTTGCAAAACCACCCCTTGGTTTCCTGTTGCTTCATCTTGGCATTCCAAATGATCAATCAGGAATGCTTCAATTGGGGTAGGCCCGCTATTTGGTTGTGGGGGCGGGAAATGCCCACCTCCAGCCGCCAAAGACAACCATTGTCCTCTCCTCGGACATGTATTTACGACCTTCAGCGCTCCAGGTTGCGCCAGGTTTACAAAGCGCAACCTGAAAGAACAACTCGTGCCCACAGAAGCAGGACGACACAACCTGCGGTGTGGTCACAGTAAACGAATTTCTCTCAACTCTCGAAATCCCAAAGTAAAGAGGGATTGTCCGACATGGCCATGAATCTGAACAGGGAACACCTCAAAAGTGGCTAGTCAAAATACATCACCTAAATTATGTCCACCAAAAGGGTCCGGCCCACATCAAAAACTCAAACCCACATCCTGCGGAGAGCCCCCCAAAGTTTCGCAGGCGGAAAACCGGCGGGGTGAAAGAAACCCGCCACCCATGGGGACCCGGCTGAGAGGTCGCCAACGCGGGGCTCACCAACTCGCAGTCCTCCTGGCTGCTTCGACCATGTGACTTGGATCTAACGAAAAATCGAGCGCCTTGGAGCCAACCCCCAGGAGACCCCCCTGAGCTTCCAAAAGACGGTAGCTTGGGGAAACCCGGAAAACTGGAGTCGATTTGGGGGGTGGATTTTATCAAATGGAGGAGTCCCGGTGGTCATGCAACAAAGAATATTTGGGTCAGGCCCCTACACCAAACTTCATTCCATCCTTTCAACACCAAACGGAAACGCGACCGCCAAACAGAAACTATTTTTCTCTTGCTGGTTCCCTCAAAGGAAGCCACAAGGGATGGTTTATAAGGTTCCTTCCGACATTCCCTCATTCCCTGCCTATCGCACTAGTAAACCCTAAGTGGTCTTTCCACCAAATCATCTGTCAAGCCGCTGGGAGCGCCGCTCGTCGACTCGAAAGCTCGACTCCCGCCTTCGAGAGCAGAGGGATGGCCAAGGCCAGCTGTTCCTCTGAACTCGCGGTGGCTATACACTTGTCTTTCCGAGGGCTGCGTCTGGTTTTCCAAGTGCCCTCTTCGGTTTGGGCTGAAAGAAAAACCAAAGGGGAAACTGGGTAGTCAAGGGAAGCCAACAGGCAAGCCACCCATTTTGAGGGATGCCCAATTTAGATCCCCCAGAAACAAGCACGATAGAGGAAAAGTGTCCTGGGGGGGGGGTCAGATTCCATGTCTGCTTTTGGAGGTACTCGCTTCACCGAGATCGGTAACACAACAGCGATACCGTTGCTGTACTACTGAAACTATTTCGCAAGTTTGAAATCCAACTTGGGAAGTGGATCAATACCCGCTACGGGGGACGTCCCGTCGTGGGGGGAATGATCCTTCACGTGAGGAAACTCCAGTGAAGCCGCCAGGTTCATTCGTCGGCCTTCGCAATTTTACTCACGAAAGCAAATGCCAACAAGGTATTTGGGCATGGTTGCTGAAAACGGGTGCCCTTTTCCGCGTTACCAAAGTGGGATTCCTATCCCTGTGGCTACTTTGTCGCCATACATTGGAGTCTCTACTATCCAACAAAAAAAAAGGTAAAGCCCAATGTTGCACATCCATGCCTTCCAACAAGAGGTCATGTTGTGTGAAGGTGGTCTCCCAAATCAACTGAACATCTCGATTCCTGGAAAGCGGAAACCTCTGCGTCCAAACCAGCCGGACCCTTGGCGGATTTCTTCACATTTGGAGCGACTCACTTCTTGAGTCCGAGAAAGTCCAACTACAAAATTAGTCTCCCAAAAGTTTCAAGTCGATCTGGGGGAATGGGGGAGGTTGTCCCCCCTAAAAGCCGCGGTGTTCCGTTTGGTTTCCCTTTATACCAAGCCAAATAGGGTACCAACTCAAGAAACATGAACCCAAATGAGGCACTGCCTGGTGACACACTTTCCGGCGCCAACGGGGAGCTCCTGGAAGACATCCATGAAGCGGCTGGGATGCTTTGCAGCCAGCTGCGTCAGGGAGTTCCTCGGAAGCTAATCCCAGACTTCGAAACGGGCAACGTGAGGTTCCATTCAGCTTCCCTCTAATTGGTGGTTTGCAGTAAGGTCTCTTTTCTTCTTTTTTTTGGGGGGGGGTCCCATTTAACCTCTGAAAAGCCAGAACAAACGACAAATCCAAACCACAAACTAAGGGTTGCCTGATCCATGCTGGACAGCTCTTCTCAACATGGCTCCCAGGCAAATATAAAAGCACCAACATACAATAAGTAGAGGTGGCCATTCCTCCCAAGCAAGTTCTTCCACTAGTACTTCCCTGGTCTTGGGAAAGCAAGCCTGCCAATAGGCGCAACGACCCATCTGTTGCAAAGGCGAACCGTTTACATAGAACATAACCACGACTTGTGTTGGGATCTGCATTGATTCCAATGCTTCCAAAATCTGTTCGCCCTCGCTTCAAAGCATCTGAGGTCTGCAAAAATTCTAGGATCCAAGTGGACATCCGGTTGCGATGTTCCCTCCGGCCGCAGTGTGTTGGTTCATGTTGCTAGAAGAAACGCAACATGCAATGACCTGCCACGCATTGCATCAAGTGACATTAAACTGAAGCCAACAAGGGCGCATTCAAAGATGCTGGGTCAAAATTAAACCACCACCGGAGCGCAGGTAGTCCTTTTTGAACAGCAGGTAGTTTTTTTTACATTTCCAGCAGTGAACTCGATTCCCTTTCCAAGCAAAAGGGCAAATACCAAAAACAAATCAGGTGGGTTCCCCAATCAAGAAACCAGGACACCCCCCAAACTTTCCCATTTGGTTGACCTGGCTGGGCCTTGCCAGCCAAGCGGCCCCATCTGCACCAGCATGCGCCCGCTAAAGGGCGCCAACGTGGCTTTAGGCACCTCCTGGCGGGCCAATACGCGGAAAAACAGTTGGGGGGCGGTGGCTTGGGGGGAAGTGGGGAATGACTTTGGGGTGTTGCTGCGGAAACCCATGTGGAGGCACCCAGCTTCTGGTTTCTGGATGGAATCAACCTAGGTCCTCCAGTAGAGAGGTTACAATCAGACCACCAGCTTTTTTTCGGTAGTCTATTTTAGTGGAACCCTCTTCCAAAAACAGAGTAAAAGGGCACTACTGGGGACCTAGCAACTGCAGTTTTCACAACTCCAAAAGCTGAATTAAGACTTGGATCCCCAAGTAAAGGACCTTTATCATGGCTTGCGCTTGTTTTACCCCCACACGAGCTCGCAATAAAAATAAACAAAATGCATATGTTTCCGACGAAACAGCCAGACACCTCGCGACGAGCCAGTTGCAATCAACAGGTGCAAGTTACAGGTGTTCATTGAAACCATCGCCACTTTTGGTGCTTCCAAGCAAGATGGATGAAAGCCTGGCAGTTGATACTTCCAAATATAGCTGTGGAAGCCTGGGCTGAGGCTGACACATCGCGGCGAGCCGCGAGTGCGTTGGGTTGCTGAAGCCAATTGGGAAAGTGGCATGAGTTTGGTACAGTACCACAGTCCCCCTCCCCGTTCTTGGCGGTTGGCGAAAACCAGAAAGAAGCAATTTGTCCGTTCGCTGGGTTGTTCAGAAGGCTTCGATGCGTTCAATTGGCTAGTTTCGTGTTGGCTCCGTTCAAAAACTCCTCCTCCCCACCCTTCGAAACAAACTATAGCGTGAATGTGGAGCCGGCATGAAGTGGGTTTCCCAAATAGAGCCGCACTACTCTCAAAGAGCACCATAAAGAAACACGACATCCCTACTCCTGCCACATCCCTTATAATTGAGGACTGCCCAAAACCCGCTGACTGTCGGCCCTGCCAAGATGATAAGGTTTACATCGGCCTACTACACATAAAATCCGGTATGCTGTACATCGCATTGGGTCAATTGGGTGCTGCTCGATGTTCTGGTTCAAGCCTCATGGAAACTTGCATGATAGTTCCAGCCACCAGAAACAAAGACGACACAAAAAATACAGGTTCGAACAGATGCGTGTTTGGCTCTTTGATCGAGTCTGCACTCTGCACTTCCACAACTGTTCGCATCTTGGGGTCCAAGTTGAACGAGACGTTGGGAGCTGGCAATTCGTGAGCAAGACCCGGCCCTTGGCATCCGTCTTCCCAAACATAGACAGCATCCCCAAATTTTGTTGCGTGGTGAGCCCAAACTTCCAATCATGAACAAGAGTGCCTTCGTTGGTTGATGATAGAACCTCCCCCCTCCAAACAAAAGGAAAGCACGGGCACTAGGGACCATGACTAGAGTTAGACCCAGTTGTAGGATGTATATGTAGTTATTTGCTTCACTTTGAGCCACTGGTAAAATGCACAAATATATCCTGGGCTTCCATTTGCTTAGGTCCACCGGAAAACCAAAAAAACAGAAGCAAAAACAACTCCGGTAGTGATACATTCCCTTTAAAACCCTACAGGGGAAATCAACAGCAATAATTATTCATTTCAGTGAAATGGGAAATCTTAAGCAAATGTACCTACTCCAAATACCCACTTCTTCTAGGGTATTTTTGGAAATCCGTTTTTTTCAAGAAAAATACCTCCTTTTTTAGTAGAGGGTCAACATCATACTCTAAAACAAGAGGGTATTTGCAGCAGGGGGTATCGCAAGTCTTCAGGGACTGGAGATCGCCTTCGCCTCCCCAGGCCGGCGCGGCGCGCGGGGCGCCCGCGCGGCGGCCGGCTGCTGCGCGCGGATCATGTTCATGGCCTGGCGACTCCGAGTTTCGCGGCGTCTCGGCGACTTGGAAACCTCCTGAAAATTTTAGCTGCGATAGGTAGGCTAGGCCCTCCAGTGGAGAGGTTTTGGAATAAGAATAAGGGAAACAACTTGTTTTTGTAGTCTTTTTTAGTAGGGCAACCCAAAACCCCAGCAAAAGAACCGGTAAAAAGGCGGCACGATCCTGGACCTAGTCGGGAAGGAGTTGGAATGAACCCAGGCTTTGGCCCCCTGAAAGGAAGCAGAACATAAGGGTCGTTCCCTCATTCCCTGCTGACTGGTGTAGGGGGCGTGTTTTCGACGTCGGCGTTGGACTGCGGAAGAAGGTTTGGTCTACGGGGCACCCAAGGGTGAGGGTGCGATATTTCAATTGGAGGTTCCCGGTGTCTGCATAGGTGTCCAGGCGTCATGCGCGGCGGGGTGACTTCATTTAAGCTAAGCGGAGAGGACCTGACGCAAGGTTGCGGACCCTTAAACCATGTCTCAGTCCCAACGGCAAGGACACGACCCCAATTTCTGACATTGAGATCGTCGGACAGTAGGATAGTTGGGCTTGCCCCCTAGACCAACGAATGACGGGATTCTAGAGCAACACCCAACTGGTCTTCGATAAGTGGATCCTGGGTACCTCTCAGTGCTTGCAACAGGCTTTCTTGGAGATATGGAATCCAAATTTGACAACCAACAAATACAGAACAAGTACTCGAGGTAATGCGCAACTGAACTGAAGATTCCCGCAACAAACAGGTGGCAAGAGCACCATGGTTGATGGTAGAAAGCTGGCGCTATGGATTTTATCGCGGCGCACCCTCCCAACTGGTGGGCAGGAATCAATTCGCCATGCACATCATATCCACCGGTGTCCCAGAAACCACCCCCGAAGATTGGAATTGGTATCACCCACAGATTGAGCCGCTGGTTTCTGGGCCCGCGAGGGCTTAGTGTTTCTGCACTGGTGCGCCAAGACTGGCTTCCGCTTTCTGAGTCGCTCACCAAAGTTCAACCAGAAACCACACCTGCATGGAGAACAGCTCCAGGTAGGTCTCCTCGTTCAAGCGGAGGCGCTGCAAGATGCAGAGGCACTTGGTCAGCAGCTCGCAGGTGATGCTTCGCACCTGCGAGCCGATGCAGCCGGCTTCTATCGAAGGATCCAAGATGAAAAGGGTCCCCTCAAAAATGGACACAGCCAAGTGGTTTCAACTCGACGTTTCGGGCTTGCAACTCAGCCTCCAGTGGGGTATAGGGGATGTGGATGGTGGGGTGCGGGGTGCGGGGTGCGGGGTGCGGGGTGCGGGGTGCGGGGTGCGGGGTGCGGGGTGCGGGGGGGGCGGGGGGTGGGGGGTGGGGTAGAGGGTGGGGTTTGACAGCCTCCCTGAGAGTTTGGGGGTTACAAGGCAAATCCGTCCCCAAAGCTATGGAACCCTCATGCAAAGGAAAGGGGCAGCCCAGGTTCCTTCCATGTGAATCAGCGAACTTTTGGCGGAAGGCAATCGGATTGCGCAGATATGTGGCCGGATTGCGCTGCCAGTCGGATGATTCTATATCGAGACAGCTTTATCCAACCACAACGAGGCATTGCTAAGAAGCAAGAAGCACCATGCTGACCTGGCAAAAACATAGATGGCCGCGCATAAGCCTCGAACTCAGAGCGCCACGAACGATATTTTGGAAAACAACTCCTAGCCCAGGCCAAGGACAAGAGGTTTTGTGGACGTTGGATAGAGCATTATAGGCTTGGCTGGAATTGGGACCCCAGCAAAACACTATAATGTTTGCCTGGTTTGTGTAAAACAAATGGGATCCCCAAAAAGCAAAAACACATATATAAAAAACGGGGGAACGGAAGGCGTTTGCTTTGGGTCTCCGAATTATGGCCTGCACCGGTAGCTCCCCCAAGATGTGGAGGTAGAAGTCGTGATCCTGCGGGGGGGACAGGTCTCCCAAAATGGGAATCAGTCTCCAAGCAGAATGGGTTGGCCTCCAAGCAGAATGGGTTGGTCTCAAGCCGAGACCTCCCAAAACGCTTGCTAGGCCTCTCCAAAAGTGGGGCTTTCATGGGCCGGGCCACAAGCCCTCGGAGACTTGGAACGCGCTTGGCCTCATAGCTGGAGGAGAAGAGGTCTAGCGCTCTCACCAGCTGCTCCTCGAGCCCAAAACCAAGGAAAAACACTGCGGATCTAGTCAGGTGACCTGATCCGATTTTTTCACGCAACCCCATACATGTGTGTATATATATGTGTATATATACATATATATATATACGTATGTCCCCCAGGTCACCCTGAATTGGTGAAGACTAGGGTGCTTGCATGTCAGTCCCCTTTTCAATCCGGACCGAAAAGGGTGCTCAGATTCGACACCAACCAAGTAGATCATCTTGCCTCCCATTGGTGGTTTGGAGCCGAATCGGCAGTTTGGTGGTTGCGGGGCAACGTTCCATCCACCTGAAGCAGGGGACACATATGAATGTTAACTCGGAACCTTTGGTGAACGGACCACTTAGGATGTCAGCAAACAAAAACAAGCATTTAGTGTACTGCTTGTATATTAATATGTGGAACCGTTCCATGTTCAGTCACGCGTGGACCTGCAGAACTCGAATTTGCCCCCTCCAAGCGGGACTCCCTGCCAAGCAAGGAGCGCACTTCTGATGAAATACCCTTCCTACCACTAACATTCGAGTGGGAGGGCACTTGAGTCCAATTTCCTCAAGGGCCTCCTGTGAGGTTCCATGTGATTGAGGACCCTCCCTCATTTTTCTCCCTACCAGTACCGGGCACTTGAGGTCCAAACTGTCCGAAAAATTCGCCGAGTGGCCAGGTTCATACCGGGCAGCAAGGGCTTGGCACGGTTCACCAACTCCTCTCAGGGGTTTTCATGAGTGCCCCTGCACGGGTTCAAACCAAAAAACATTTGATAATCCTCAGGAGTGCCCTCCAGGATTTCCCCCAAAAAGCAGGACCAGGGTGTAGGGTACAGAAAAAGGCACAAAACGTGATTCGGAACTAAACTACAACAAGCCACTTGGCCGCTTCTGCTTTGCACGAATAGTTTGGTCCAAGGATAAGGATAAGGAAACTAGGTCCTCCAGTAGAGGGGTTAGAATAAGGGTACCAACTTTTTCCGTCGTCTATTTCAGTAGACCCTCCCAACCAAAAAAGGGGTGAGAAAGGCCACTACTGGGGGACAAGGAAATGATCTATGTAGAGGTGTTCTCTGATTCGTAGGATCCTCCGGAGGAAGCCGAGGCTAGCAGCCCGGTGTCTTTGTGGAGAGGGCACCCCCAAGTTAGGTGGCATCCTTTGGCTTGCCTTCAAACCAAACCTGAAAAGGGTACGGTACCCTCTAAAAAAATCACAACAGCCGTCACGCAGTGAATTCAAGTCGAATTTCAACTCAACCCCTCCCCCAGTTCGTGCCCTTTTGAGCACTCCCATGTTCTACTGGGATGGGTACCAAGGCCTATTTTGGCCTCACTGCAATACATCTTAGCCTGGAAGTGTGAAGTGGAACACTTTTCTGAACTGGCCAAAAGGGGAACATACGCAATCACTCGGGCGTTGCTATTTTGTCAAAGGTATCCTTTTGGGTTATGTTCAAGGAAAAACAAAAGGAACACAACGGTTCGATGCTTCGGGACCCTCTCTTCAAGACACACACACACACACACACCTTTGCCTGTGAGGAGTCACCGAAAACGTGACCAGAAATGATAAGTTCGCTTTGACACCCGCATATTTCTCAAACAAATTGGTGGGGGATGCGGGTGAAGCCCCAGGTCGAGTGGTTCACGCATCTCCCTGTGGATTGTTCTGAATAGCTTGGAATTCTAATCTGGTGGAGTAATATTGCTTGCCATCCGCTGTTCACAAGGCGGTTGGTGTGCCTTTGTTGGAGGCTACCCTTTTGGACTTTGTGACGGGAAACCTGACGGAAACAACCCACTCTTCTCCACAAAAGACACACCAGCCACATCTAACTCAAGTCTTCCCATCTCCTTGATCTCGGCCGGCGGCACCGTTTCACGGCTCTTCAGCGCCTCGCTCGCGTCAGAGAAAGGCAACACAGGGCCACCGAGAAAGACGGGTTTGTCGGCCCACCCAGAGGCTCCTGCCAGCCATTAGACACCCCGGAGGTGTTTGCGGTCTCCAAACCTGGCTGTTTGAGCCCTAGATTCATTGGGAGCGTCTGGGCACCTGAAAGGCAAAGATGTACCTTGCGAACCTGGCATTCAAAAACGTCTCCCAGACTAAGATGGAACCAAACACAGGTGCTTTAAGTTGGGCTGCATGAAGATCTCAGGACTCCCACCGCAATTTGACAAATTTGCACTGCCAGACCAAAAGGCAAACTTGAGATGGAGGGTGTTTTGCTTTCCCTACCCCGACACAGAAATGGACAGGGGGGGGGCTTTTTACCACCTTTTGTGGAAAATTGTTTGACCCCCTCGTAGTGAAGGATTCCTTTTTAAGGGGGTCGGCAAGGTTCTCACCAAAGGTGGAAAAAAGAACCCCCCTGGAAATGGATGCCCAGTTCCAAGGATCCCTCCCGGAGGTCGCAGCCACAAATATGTTGTGGACTCTGGTCCGCTGTGAACCTGAACGAAAATCCTAGCAACACTTCTGCATGTCAAACATGTTTCTGGGACCACATAAATAGTGTGTCCCTTTAAACCTAGGTGCAAAGAGTATCAACTCCAAGGATGGCCTTTTGGCGTCGTGGTAACGGGAAACCCAAAGGAACCAATCTCCCCCTAAGGATTAGAAACACTCAACGCCCATTGACCTTTGGTTCTTAGACTAAGATGGTCATGAAGAGAAAGGTACAGGCAGCACCACAACAATCATATCTGCATGTTTCACAATATGTCCAACACCTGAAATCAGGAATCCTCAAAGAAAGGATTTTTGTTACCCCCCGGATCGGTGAGCTCGCCCAAAAAAATATGGCAGATCATATCCCAGGTTCTTAGTGGAACCACCAGACCCTAAAGAAAAACCTACAGGCTGTAGCAGAACTATTCTGTTTTTGTAGGACCGGACCCCAATGGCCCAGACGCATCTCAGCCAAGTTCTTGTCTAGGTCCTCCAGATTTGAGAGGTCAGAATAAGGGCACCAACTTTTTTCTGTGAGCTATTTTAGTGGAACCCTCCCAACCAAAAAAGTTGGTCAAAGTTGGCACCTCGCTGACAAAACCCAAAGACTAACCCCCTTTATAAAGAGGGGATTCCGTTGTATCACAGAAGTGGGGATACACCCCTTGATCCCACAACCCTGTTGTGAGAAACATACAGGCCGCACCACAACAATCATATCTGCAAATTTTACAATATGTCCAATAAATGACATTCCCCCCCCGCCCCTCCCCCCAATCGGTGAGCTCGCCCAAAAAGCGTGGCAAATCATATCCCAGGTTCTCGTGGAACCAACGGACCCGGAAAGACAAACCTACAGGCTGTACCATAACCATTCTGTTCTTGTAGGACCGGGCCCCAATGGCCCAGACGCATCTCAGCCAGGTTCTCAGCGTTCTTGTGGAACCGGACAGGTTTTTCAGGAACCGGACCCCGGCCCAAGCACAGGCCTCCAGCTTGCTGAAGAGCTCCGCCTCCGCCGCGGAGTCATCGCCGTCGCCGGCGCCGCGGGCCATGGCCTCCTGCAGCGTCGCCGGGGCCCGCGCGGCGCTTTGCCGCGGCCGGGCCGTCACGCCTGGCGCGGGCACCGGCTGGGAGAACGCTTGGAATCAACGGCTGACAATATAGCATTATAGCATCATAAATTTTGACATATAGGTATATATTATATGATATTTACGTATATGCGCGTATGTATATATATATATGCATACCTCCTGGTTTGTCCCTCATGTTTGTCATTGGCCTGCGTTTTGACTGCATTATAATTAGATTCAATGCAGGATTGAAATTAAATGGGTCCCGAACCCTCTGGTGGACATCATTTAGTTGGAGATTTATGCCCACCAACCACTTTTCAGTGGTTCCCCATGAAAAATCATTGCCATGTAAAAAACTATGAAATGACGATGGTATTCCCATGTGTATATCCAAATGTATATATCAACCAATGGTCATTGCGATCCCTTTGAAAGCGGGCTGCCCAGATTTCAGCCATGGGTTTCATGTACGGCTACATTCCCTTGGACAGATACACACACATCGACACATTCCAAACTTTGAGGCATGCAAACACCTCCCCCCATTTAAAGCTCTTTTGCGGGACGAACTCCAGCCAATCCAAACATGCACTCCCAATACTGTTTTCTTGGTGGGTTGGTTTATTAATTTGTTTGGATTGATTGATTGATTGATTGATTGATTGATTGATTGATTGATTGATTGATTGATTGATTGATTGATTGATTGATTGATTGATTGATTGATTGATTGATTGATTGATTGATTGATTGATTGATTGATTGATTGATTGATTGATTGATTGATTGATTGATTGATTGATTGATTGATTGATTGATTGATTGATTGATTGTTTGCGATTTTTCAAACTAATTGTGGCTGCTGAAACCAAATGTGGCGGAACCAAAAACGTAAAATGGTGTATGAGATCCCAAATCGGAGGGCAAAGGCCTACGAACAAGCTTAACCGGGCAACTTGATTGAAGCCGGTGTCTGTGGGAGAAGTTGGTGGCTGGTTCTCCTACAGAGAAAGCAGGTACAGACACATTCCTCAGTTCAGTCATGGCGTCAAGTGGCAGATTACTGCTTCGGGTGACGGGCAAACCTCGCAGAAGGACTTCCCGCTTGGTTTTTGACCACATCCCTTGGCCTCGCGGAGCCCATTCGCCGAACACCCAAGTCGCAAAGTACACACACACACACACACTGGACCACACAGCAAGCAACACACAACTCGCACAACAACCAACACACATACGTACACACAAACGCACCACACCCATCACACACACACGCAGCACATTTCCCAAAGGAATTGAGGCTAAAGATCCAACCAAATTGCAGCCAACTTACGTGGGCAAACTTAAGACCGAAAGTACCGAATCCCCAAGTAATACTGTCCCTCACCATGGGGTTTCGCTCGTACCTCGAATCGGTGAGCTCTTTCAAACTTGTGTAACATGTGTGCCAGGCTCTCATTCGTCCGCCCCCCTCGCCAAATTATTGTATAAGCCCAAGTGGCTTTGGGGGTTCCATGTCAAAGGCAGATGCCCCTAACTTCTTGGAGGTTCCCTCCGTTGCAGGGTAGCCAGGCCCGGCCTTTGACGTCTTCCCGGCCGGTATCTTCCTCCAGCCAGGAGTCAATGGCTCGAATCTGATCTCCTTGGTCGCTCGAGGCCCAGGTCAGGTGGCCAAAAGTAGGGGAACCCTACCTATCCTCAGATCCCCTGCTAAAAGTTTAACTTTGGGAGGGTTCCATTCGGAAACCCAACCACTAAACACCAAAAAGCTAACCAAGGGGGCTGGCTGGGAACCAGCGAGCTGCCTTTACAGCGATGCAAGAGGCTGGCGAAATCCCAGAGACAGTTGCCTGGACAAAACGCCAAGTATGTCAGAGTCAATGAGCTTGTTTGTCTCCTTGCTGCTTGCGCCCCGGCTGCGCTGTACTCGTACACACGCAAACACCAGCCACCCCCACAGAAGGGCCCTAAATTGGGGAAGATCTAGATAGGATCTAACATTATCTACAATGTGTCTCACCTCAAAGAACCACTTGGAGGGGTCAGTTGTCCTCATCGAACCACTTCTTGCATCGACGTCTCTCAAGGCGCTGCGATCTGGAACATCAAAGTCAGTGTCGACTTTCTCATCTGCTTTCCTGACCGCAGCGTGGAAAGCGACCATGGATACCACGACATTGCCTCTGAAGAATGTCGAGGGAGGAGGCATGGGCCAGCTGCCCATGCCTAAATCACTGCTGAGCCTATGCCAAAAGACCCGTTCATGGATGATCCCTTTCCCCTATTGATACATGCACCCTATTAATGAATATCGTGCTTCCCACTCTGCCAGGTCCCCAATACTACTTTTAGAATCTGCCAATTGCCAAACCCGACCCCAGTCGTATTTGGGAAAACACCATAACCAAACAAACACAAAGAGCTTTTCCCCTTCCAAGCTTGTACTACACCCTATTCACAAAGCTGCAAGGGATGAGTACATTTGCTTCTGGGGGAGCCCAGCTGACCCCTAATTACCCTATTGATAGATATCGTCTGGCCCCCAGCATGGAAGTGATTCCGGTTAACACTCGCTTTGCACAGGTTGGGTTCCATAGTTTACCTGACGCTTGCTATAAAGAGTTGCTCGCCACTCCAAGGCGTGTTTGAGGGTAGCTGGTACCCTTTCAAGGTTGGTTCAAAGGGAAACCACATGGAAAACCACATTTCTCACTTCCTGAGTGGATGGCCGAAACAAAGTCCAAACTTGCTTTCTACTAAAATGGTCTTCCCAAAACAGTGTCAAGTCCATGAACTCAGGAAGTCAGACATTTTGCTGGCTCCTATTTTGGCTCATACCCGTGTGTCACTCATCTTGGAGAGAGGACTCCAACTTCAGTCGGCTTGCAAGCGAGGCTCAGCAACGAGCGTTGCACGTTAGAGTGAAGTGCTCAAAGCTTTTGGGCGGGTCCCTTGTTCGGAACTCATGAAGCGCAACATCAGGACTTAAATCGATTGAATCAGTCCTGCACTGATTGAATGCGTTTGATATGACTTCAGAGTTCAGGCACCCCATGAAAAGAAGGAGAAAGAAGAACAAATGTGGCAAGGGATAGCAAAGGGACCCCCCACCCACACCCAAAAAACAAAGGTGGATTGTCCTCTGCTGTCCCTTTAAAACTAACCAACAACAGTTTCCCTCAAAAGAAAACACCAAAGAAATGTGTGTTTTTCTCGTTGGGTTCTCTTTGAAACCAACCAAAACGGGGCTTTCCCCACACAAAAAAGACGAAGCCAAAAAACACCACCTGACAGGCTTTGGCCCGGCCTTTTGGGCACCTCCATGCGATGACGGCTGTAGAACTCCTGGGAGATATCCTCGAAGTTCTGACCGCATTGCCTTCCAAATCAGCAGCTCGGCGTCTCCGTCTCTTTTTTGAACCGCCCAAATGGCGGGGGTTTCCTTTGGGTTTTCTGCATCTGAAAACCGACTTGAAACGATTGTCCCTTGGGTTTTACTTCAACACCGACTTAGTTTGATGGTATCCTGAAACAAAAGCGGTTGCCCCGGTCGTCGCTGTCTTAGCTCGCGGTCGTTAAAACCAAATGGGCAGTGACCAAGCCCAGTGATTGGATTCAAATGGTGTTAATGGTTTCTACAGCTCTCACTATAGTCCGTTCTTAGACTCCTCTTTGGTAGCCAAAGAAAGGGAAAAGCAGGGCACTGCTATGAGACACCAGCCTCCCCTCCAAAAGAGCAGATTGGCTCAAGCTTCGTCCACTGGACTTGTGGCGCTCCAGGCTGCTCCAGATCGACCGAAAGCACCGCTCCCAATGGCAAGGAACACTTCCTTCCTCTGGGCCCTCCGTCGGAGGTCTGAGTCTAGGTCTGGGGGCTGAAAACCAACCCACAAAGCGCCAGGCGAACCGGGCAAGGGGGCAAAGGTGACGTAAGGTGACGATGGGTGTGGGGCAAAAAGAGATCCCCAAAACGATTTGCCCGAGTGTATAGAAACAAGGACACAACCTGCAGTCCCCTGGTGGTGACGAATCTTGCCCCATTTTTTGTTGGACATACAGAGGTCCAAGGTTTGGCTTTCAAACTGGGCAAATGAGTCACATGATGTATGTATATATATATACACAACAGCTGTCCAGCAGCAGCAGCGATAGCCAGGATGCGACACGAAATGCAGTGTTCACTGAATTCCCACATTCAAACGTCGAAATTCAAGTTCCAGAGGGTTAAGAACACCCAAAATTGAAAATCCAGGCTGTTCCAAATGGAGGGTTGACCAATCCCAGTTCCTAATCTTCTAAGGGGGCAGAGTCCATGCGCAAGAGAAAGCTGTCTTGGATCGCATTTAGCCACTTTGGAGGCCGAAAAGGCACGGGGAAAAATGGGACCCCCTGTAATAAGGGCCACCTCTGAGACCTCTAGTGGATTTCCATGGCATTGTTTTGGGGGCACCTTTCTCGGTAGTTGATTTTAAAAGGGACACAACTTGCAACCAACAAACTTCTCAGACTGGATCTCCATGCATTTGGGAAACGCTTTGGCACCTTTTTCGGCAGTTTTCAAAGGGACACACAACTTGCCTAGCAAAAGCGGTTGAAAGGAGGGAACCCCGCCTACTCCTAAAGTCGCCGCGTTTGGACTCAACCAGGAAATGAAATGGGGAACTGACCCCGGAACACCCCCCCTAAAGTCGCCGCTTGGAGTCAACGCCAAAATGAACCAACACCCTTTGTGGTATTGATGAGCCTGCAGTTAAACGCCTTAGCCCTAACGTTCATCTCATCGCCAGTTCTGCTTAAAAACGGCCAGCTTAGAGTCGGCATGTATCCCAGAAGTTCAACGAAGCAACCAAATGAGCCCCCGCGCCCTCGGAACTTTCCAAGTGGCCCAGGAGTCGGCCGCAGGGGCTTCGCCGGTTTCGCCTCCTTTGGCTCCGGCTCGCTGAGGACGTCCATGATGCTGTCCTCAGCACAGGTGACCGAGACAGGCAACAAATCCATGGAAGTGTTTCTAGGCTGATGAGGGGATAAAGCACAACCGTGAGCTTTTGGAAAACAAGTGAATGGCATCAAAGCAAAACCAGTGGACCCCATCTAGTTCCAAGCACACCAACCCATCCAAAGGTCACCTATGGTCCTGAGTCAACTTTTAGTCTGACTCGAAGGGCATAGAATCCCGGAAAATATCCAGACCAACCAAATTGGAACTCACAAACATGGAACGCGGAATCCCCGGCACCTCCACAGCTCGCTTGTGTCATCCCTACGCTGGCGAGCTCGTTTTGATTTGCCCCAAAGAGTTGGGCCGAAACCGGGCTCCGCTTAGCTGATCCCCCGCGAAAGGGTGAAAACTCCGTTCACTTTGGAAACCCTTTCGCACTAAACCAACTAATGTTGACTCCGGATTAAGAGACCCCTGTTTATTAATATGCATGGGGGTGTTCCCCTCAAGTGATAAAAATCCACACTAAAACCTCCAGATTAAAAGACAGGTTGGTTTATTAATCCGGGGTCAACAAAACCAAAGACGTAAAGAACCTTGGACCCGGAGGCTTGGGAACCAAGTCTTGAGGGAAAAAAAACCTTAGACTCTCCAGTTGTGGCTCACCCCTCCTGTTGTCAAACCCCACTTCAGGACCCTCCAATGCAGAATCCAGAGCGATCAATTCCTCCTTCGGTCCCTCAAAAACAGTGCCAACTCTAAGAAACCCCAAAATAGTCGAATCGGACCCGGGTGAGTGATTTCGAGCTGTGACCCTTGGGTGGGCAATCATTCACTTGGGGTTCATGTGTACCATGGCTGATGGGTTCCTTACTGTAAATTGTCGGCTAGAATCCCCCTCCCCAATGGTTGGTGTCCTGGTTGGTTTCTCGTTGAAATCGGCCCAAACAAAGCGCGCGCAACTCTCTTGGACACGTAAACCCCCCGACAGTGTGTTTTGCCTTGGAAAAGCCGGCAACGGTGTTTGGAGTAGGGGATCCCTCCCACCCCCTCCCACCAACATCTAACATGGAACCTAACCCACCAGAGAAATGGTCCTTTCACGAGGAAAACTGTCCAAACCGACCCGGGTCCCAGTCAGGTTCCATGTTTGTTGGGAGGCGTGGGGATGGTGGGCATTTCCTTGGTTGGCTGGCTGAAAAGGAATCCAACGGGGAAAAACCAGTTCCCTTCACATTGGGGACAAACCACAGATTTCCCTATTTGGGTGGGCACACCACTTAGCAAGTAACCCCAAGGAACATATCACCTACTAAGCCTCCATTTGCCTAGGTCCCCTGGAAAAAATACAACAGTTCCAATAGTGATAGATTCCCTTTAAAACCAACAGGGGAAAATAAAACATATCCTTGCCCAAATGGAAGTAAAGCTCCAAACCGAGAAAGCTTAGGGTACATGAACTCAGGCAGAGAGTCCAAATGAGCTTCACCTTCACGAAAGGGAAAAAAAGGCTGCGCATCTCCCGTTCTTCTCCGAGGCACGATGTCCTTTGCCGTGAAAAGCGCCCCGGATTTCGGCACCACTGTCACCTGCTTTGCCGAGGTGTCAAGTTGTGGAGTTGCCAGTTGCTGGTTCTACGTTCGGCTAAGGGACAATCACGGGGTCTACCTTGTGTTCCGCTCCTCAAACGAAATCATGAAAATTGAGGAAAAACAGGAAGCCAGCCTCATGGAGTGGACGGCAGGGTGCGTTCTCTGTATATCCCTTTTGAGTCACAATCGAAACCCGGTATCACAACTACCCGGAGCCATGAAAAAAAATAAGAAGCCATTCATGGCTGGCACTGTCCCTTGACCTGCTCCTTTGAACACCAACTCACCAAACCGGATGGTTTGAAATGGCCCCGAGGGACCCCCTAATCAACTTTCATCACTCGCACCTGCGCGCCCCTTGTGTCAAAGTCATACACCTCGGAGGTGGCCCAAAAAGAGCCGTCCGATTGATATTGTGTTGACTTTCCCAAAACCGCCTGTCGCTTCACATATGGCTATGGGTCAAAACCCCGTACACCCCAGTGAACATCCCAATCCCCACTAAAATGGACAAAACGGGTGGTGCACCTACCCCAAAATGGTACCATTGATGTTGACCCACAGCCATATGTACCACACAATTCAACTAACGCCGCTGTCCGACATCTCAAGAGCCTCCAGCTTGACTAAACATTGTTGCCAGAGAAGGGAACCAGCAGCTCGCTTTGCGTGGCCAGCTGATCAGCATAAACAGGGCTCCCTATATTTCCCCTTAAAACATCACCCCCACCAGGGGACACTCACCTTTCATGGGCCCAAAAGGTGATGTTTAAAACCACCCGTCTCTTTCTTCGGACTGCACCCCACGTGTGAGTGCAGCCCGAGTCCGTTCTCCTTAGCGCGGCGCCCGAAGGCGCTCTTTGTGAAACCTCCGCCTTGTCCACTGTGACTCGACGGTATCCCCTTCTTGCAAAGGGATGGAAATCATGCGAATGTCTGCAACCAAAGTGGGCAGGTCCCCAATGATGACAGGGCAACCTGCCTTGTTGCGAAGTGCTTGCGTTTAAAACCACCAAAAAGGGAAATATAGGGAACCCTGATAAACTCTCCAATCGGTTAAGACGTTATTGTTGGCGTCCGTGAAAATCAAAACGCACACCAAACTGAGCCTCCGAGACTCAGCTTGTCTGAATGACCCCTTAGCAACATGTCCTTCCTGTGACCTTTGGGTTACTATCCAAAACTCTAAACCAAGAAAGCCGCCTCAGACTTGCCGCCAACTTAAAGTTAGATGCTGGGCCGATTGGTTTCAGTGCTTGACTATGTATATATATAGTATACGCATGTGTATGTAAAAAATATGTGTATGTGTATATATATACACATATCCATAGAATATACTATACTGATGCGTAATTAAACAACATGTCAAAAGAGATCCCAGCACCCCTCCTAGGCCTCCATTAGAGAGGTGAGAAGAAGGGTACTTTGTTTTCTTTTCTTTTTTATGTAGTTTATTGTAGCAGGGGAACCCTCCCCCAAAAAAGAAACAGTAAAACTTGGCACCTAGCTGGGGGACCTAGATTCAGCCCCCCAAACACCAAGTCCAGTGAGAGATGTCCTGTGAAACCAACAGGGGAAGATAAGTCATTGCTGAAGGTAAACTTCCATTGCCTCTCTTCGTTTCGTGACGCTCAGCGCCTTGGGCTCTTTCACCTCCACGGGCTGCGGCTGCGGCTCTGGCGGACTCGGCGGACTCGGCGGCGGCTGGGGACTCGTCGGGACCAGCTCCGTCGGTGGGTCTGGACGCATGGCGAGTTTCATGGGGGCGACCGCACCACGTGTTGTATATCTATACATATATATATATATATTGTTATGTACATGTATATATGTAATGTATGTGCATATCTATAATATATATATATGTAGATGTATATGTGTATAAATATATATACCCTGGCAATCCAATGTATGCATATATCGCCTACATTGGCCGACGCCAGCGTTTTTCAACTACATTGACCGATAAACCTGAATGTAGCCAATTTTTGGGGACATTCAAACCGACAACTTCCGACAAGGGTTCCGACAAGCCTTCCGACAACAAGCTCGCCTCAATTTCGACGACTCTATCCGACGACGCCCTCCAACCACCCTTTTCCAACGCCTTTCCGACTGCTAACTTAACTCACAATGCAGGAAAATGCAAAGGCGCGCCGTAAATTGATGTACGGACAAAACTTAAACTGCGAATGACTCGCAACAGCTACAGGGCACAAACAGGGCACAAAATGACTCGAGCCAACCCCGGCTATCATTGTCAGTAAATGTTGGTTGCCTGGCATGCAAAAGAAGGAATCCACTAGCATAGTGTAGCAGATCCCGCTGAGGGCTTCCGATTGTAACGTTAACCTTTTTGATGGGCTGGCTTGCTTGACGAAACAGTGTGACGACGAAGCACGTGTGCGATAGTTCAAACTTTTCAGGCCACGCCATGAAGCACATTTCCAGCGCAGGATCACACTAAGGCAACGCCGGTTAGCAAAGATCACTCAACAAACATAATTATTGCGCATGGAGGACAAAACACCTCGCAGCAGGAGATCCCGCCAGTCACTCTCAACAAAACCTATCCAAACGCTCATGGGGGTTGATGCCCCCCAAACTAACGATGAAGCAGAATCATGTTACATCGTTGTTGTCCACAGGAACACAATTTCGTCAACTTGCCCGTGTGTAGCTTAAATGCGTGTTGCTTCTTGATTGCTTGCAAGCTGCAACCTCTGCCTTTGCGAGCTTAGGTGTTATTATGTTTGATGCGTGCCTACGCAGGGGCGATGGGTCATCATGACAAGCTTGTTCGCGGGCTATAAACCGTCAACCGAAGGAGAGGGGCCTAATTTCCAACGATCACATCTCCAACCAAATACTTGCTTAACACCATGCCGCAACCCAGTCCAGAGCGAAGGCCCAACTTAAAAAGCTCTGGTTGTTCAAAGCAGGTGTTTCATTTCTTTCCAGGAGGCTCACTTTAAACGCATGCTAGCCTGCTAGCAGTTCCCAATCACCATTCGAGCGGCAACTGCTTGCCAAGCGAAATTTCAGTGGTCAGATAGTGATTAAGGCTCTAAGCCTGCCATGCCCCCATGCCGCAATGCAAAATTCACAGACTTAACAAAAAACAAACTGCTGTGCTTAACAAACGTGGATGTCAAACGAGATGTGCTGGGAAGGGCTCAAGCGGCGGTCTTGAGGAGAATGATTGAGACTGGACGCACATGACGCAGTCCAAGCCCCATATGTTGCTTTGCAAGGACTCAGTTTTTTGATGAAACCCAACTATAAAGGACACACGTAACATGTTTGTCTCTTGCTCTCCTTGATTAAACATGTCCTTGTCAGCTTTTCTGCGAATGTTTTGGGCTCAGTGCTTTGCCCTCATTGGGCATACGCGCTAGTAAGCCATTTGTTTGACAAGCGTTTCTCCGCTGTTTCTAGGCCAGCTTGCCAACTGACGCCAACAATCAAGCCACATCACTTCCAACTCACGGCGCCAACAAAAATCGAGCCTCGTCCGACGTGTCATCGCGCGAAATCACGCGTTGCTTCTCGTAAAACGCGTGGACAACACACGAACACAGTCCGGCAAAATTCACGCTATTTCACGCTATTTCACGGTTTTCCGTTAACGTAAGCAAAAATAAGAAGACAATCCGACAACTTTTCACGCCAAATCACGCCAAATCACGGTTTTTCGTTTGCACAAGCAAAGGACAGGAACACAATCCGAGAAGAAGTCACGCAAAAACAAACGAAATTTGTTGGGTCGTTTGCTCCAAATCGCTAAGAACATGGTAGGGACATACTTTGGTCAGCCAGGGGGAATAAACGGACCTTTGCTGAACTGCTTTTGGGGAGCCACATAGCAAAAATAGGTACTTGTTGGGCCTTTAGTAGACGTTCGAACTTCATTGAAGAGTCCTTTGCTGACAGGGAAGTTCATTCTTGCGCGGCAAGATTGAATAGGCAAGACTGAGCTTTTTGCATGGTTGATGCGAGCCCAGAGCTGATGCGAGTAGACAATCCGGATGCTGAGTCTCCAGCATGCCAATCAATACTCAAGAGCTCTGAAGACATGCATGCTAAGCTTGGTGGCTCCTTATCCGAGTTTACATAGCACTTAGTATTGGCAACCTAATAATTGACACACATGTCGCGCGTGCAGCATCATATATCCCATGCTCAAGCGGCAAAACGCCAGGTCTGCCCAATCGCAATGCAGTTATTGTAAACCTACAAATAAGAACACTGCTTTATGTTCTGAGCTTAGATATTCATTATGTTGAGCTGCATGTGTACCTAAAGTCTTGCACATGTGTATACACAATAAGTTTGCACATACATAAGATATGTGTGTCTATGTTTTGTTTAGCGGAATTAAAAACAACGCTTTTTGGTAAAATAAAACTGGAGTTTCTTGTTGGTATGCTTGGACATCTTGCTGCGTAGATTGAGCACACTTGAATGGCCAACAGTTACTGGGCGGCAGTTGGGAGTCGACTCGGTAGGCCAATTTGGTTCGGCGCTCCTCATATCTCAAACATTCGGCACAGCCAGAAAAACGTCCATACTTGCAATTGCGTGTAGGCTGTAGTGTTGTAACATAAATCCCTTACAGTTGATAGATGGCTGTGCTTTCCAATGCGGCTCAAGGTCGGCAAGTCCGTTCGTTTGGCTCAGAGCATGTTGAATTTGTAGGGTTTTCATTTCAAATACGCATAACTCGAGATCAAAGCACGTTTACATGAGCACAATAGAGCTCGAGGGTGGCTTTGCGTTGCACGTCCGACCCCATGTTGGTTGGCAGCGATAGTGCCAGTGGTCGAACAGTTTGCGTACTCAATACTTAGAGCGGCTTTCTCAGAAGAGTGCACCAACGCTGCACACACACACAGTCCCATAAGAACTGCCCATATGCACGAACAGAATCAATCTCGCAATTGTGGATTTCGTAGCCTGCTCATCCGGAAAACAACACTTGCAAGAGTCTGATGGCAAGCTCTCAACCATCGCTAGCTACACACATCATCAAATGTCCATGTCAATAACGTGGTGTTTACACTTGCTGAAGCAAGTGCAAACTAATGAAAGTGAAGTTGCTACACAACAGTGCTTTGGCAAATAGAGCAAGTTAGCAAGCAGGATCATTGGGCCCCTGAAAAACAAGTATGCTCAATAAACTCCGTCACACTCGGGTTCAAATTTGACTATCGGACACGAGCTTCGTCAAATCTCCTCAATTTTCAGGCAATATTTCGACATTCGACGGGGATTCGGCGAATGTATCATTTTTTGGCTATATTTCGACAATCCGACAGGGATCCGACGAATGTTGTCGTTTTTTGCTACATTGCCAATGTACCCCAAAAATGGCTACATTGCAATGTACGCCATATTTGCCTACATGGATTCTCAGGGATATATATATACATGTGTGTGTATTATGAAAATAATATGTATATGTAATATGTACATTCGACATGCACATGATAACACTGACCCCCACTGGCTGTCAATTGACCCTAGCGGCTATCAACAACAAATAAGATAACTTCACAAACCGTTTGACAGCCGTTGGGGGGTGATGGTTTACATATCTAATATGTGGAGTGTATGTATATATGTAAACCAAAGCACATATTTCTGCTTGTGGCAGACCCCATAGGAACCCGCTGGTCTCAGAACTTCATCCGAGCCTCCGGTCAAGCCATCGGCCACCTCTTTTCCTTCTACATGCCACCTCCATTTTTCTCTCTGGATGCGAAGCTGAGTAGAAACAACGCAACATGGGATGAATGAGGATGAACACCTTCTTGCGAGTTTGCACACTGAGTTCACAAGCTGGTTGGTTGCTTCAACCAATACCTCCTGAACACGGGGCCCCCTGACAGGGCAGATTTATGGTTGATTCCCCTTCAAATCCCCCCAAAAATAAAGACTAGACAGCCATTTGCAGAGCCGAGTGGATCCCGGTTAGCCAGTATCGTAGGTAACCAGCAAATTGTCTTTCCTTTTGGTTTTAGTAAAGGGTGGTTTTGTTCCCTACAAAACCTCGGTTGCTTTCAGCTCCCCTGCTCAAAGCTTAACTTTTAGTGGTTCAATGGAAAACCCATTAGTTGGCAAAAAGTGAAAGTCCTAAATTGGAAAAAATGCACCTCTGAAACCTGGGACATGGAATCATTGCAGAGACCCCCCAGAGAGCTGGTTTCTGCATCTCTCGAACATCGGCCTGCGCTCTCCGAGAGGTCGGGCTTCGCCTGGAAGGATCGAAGGATCCAAGCAGTGGCAACGATTCGCCGGGTCCCTTAAAGGACTGTGGATGGCTGCGAAATCCGTTTCGCACCACCAAAGAAGCCATGGAAACCAGAACGTTTGTTGGTATTTACAAGGGAATCGAATCATTGATTCGATTCCATCCTGGATGGCTGCGAAATTCGTTTCGCACCACCAAAGAAGCCATAGAAACCAGAACGTTTGTTGGTATTTACAAGGGAATCGAATCATTCCAGGGATTCTCAGGTGGTGCAGGATTTTATTCATCCACAGTACTGTGGATGGCTGCGATATCTGTTCGCACCACTGTAAAACCGCGGTTGAAACCAGAACGTTTGTTGGTATCTACAGGCGAATCGAATCATTTCGGGGTTTCTTGGGTGGTGCAGGAGTTTGTCCATCCACAGTATGGCAGTGTCTTTATTTAGGGGACCCCCCCAAAATGGTGGTTTATCTTTGGCTTGCCTTTCCAACCACAAGACAAGGTCCCTCAAAAAAGAACCGCCCCCCCTTATGGGTGTGTTTTTCTTTGAGGGCATCCGGTTTGGGTCGGTTGAAAGGGAATTCCAACAGTAAACCGCCCGCCCATTTTGAAGGTTCTCAACCCCTTGCATACACCGTGGTTTACATTCTCGCACCTGGCTAATCAAAGTATACCGCTGTATTCAAGGGACTTCATCCAGCCCAACTAGTGTGGGAAACTGTCCATCTGCAGCACATTCACTGGGCTGTCCTCTGCTAAGAGTGACTCTCTTTATTGGGCTAAATGGAAACTACCACTACTTGGTTGACGTTGGAAGGGGAGCAAAAAATGATTTTTAGCAGCTAAGTGGTTGGATTTCAACCACTAAACCACAATAAGCAAAAATGTTTCAATTGTTTCCGAACAACAATGACTAAACCCTAAAAGCCTAAGCTAAGGCGACGGCTGGGGGCCAAGTTCCATTGACCAATTCGAGACTTCACGCCATATCGCTAACCCAAACGAAGAAGAAGACCCTTGAAAGGAACCTTCGTCACGGTGCGACCGGCAAAGCCAGTCAAAATACCTGGAAACCGAAATATGGCCATGGGTCAAAATCCCGTACCCCCAGTGAACATCCCAATCCCCTCTAAAATAGGTTCTAAAATGGGTGGTGCACCTACCCCAAAATGGTACCATTGGTGTTGACCCACGGCCATATGTGATTTGCTTTCTCTGTCCATATGGCTTGGGCAACAACAAATGGCCACACGCTCAATTATTTTTTTGGTCAACATTTTAAATTGAACAATTACGGCTGTACACGGCCAAACGCGGCCACCGGCCAGAAAAACATGACCATATGGGACAAAAACCGATCCAAATACCGGCTTGCCATGTAGCTGGTCCCTGAGCTACTCTCCTGGCTGACGAAAACCCCGAGTTTCTCAGAACTCCCTTGAACTGGGATCCTTACATTATACACCTGAACATTGCCTTGTAAATGGCGGTGTCCCTTTGTTTTGGTGGAAAAAGCCATGTTTCAAATGGACAAAATGTATCTTTTAAGGAGCACTGTTGAAGTCACCATGATTGGTACCACTAACTCAGTTGCTTGACTCAAAACCCTGAAACAAAAGGTGGTCACGTTTTAGGGCCGCTAAACACGAACCAAACAAGGGAAAACCAAAAGCTTGCATGTGAGATAAATGACATTCACTTCCACTGACCAAATTCAGATGACATACAGCTCCACAGACCACTCTTGGGCCTGCGACAATGCCTCAACAAGGTTCCCTGAATCTTGGGCAGAACTCTTGGCTCAAAGGACACCAATCAGCGTGTTCTTAGGACTTGAACAGCGGCTGAAACACCTCGGATTGAAACACCGGGCCTTCAGCAGGCGGAAACACCCGCAGAGTGTGCTTTTCCCTCCTGCGTTGGCTGTGAAAAGAATCTTGGGAGCTAGGAGATGCAGCAAGATGACTGCGAAGCATCGACCGCATCGAGTACCATGGATGCGATGACCACATCCTGAACTGCCACCCCTGTGAGGTCCACCACCACGCTACGTTCGGCTGACGCTCGAGCTCCGCCGGAGGCCAGGTACGACCCCAGCTCCGCCACGGAATCCGCAGCAAGCACTCCATCCTTCACGGCAGAGGCACACTCCCCAAAGCTAAGGCACTGAGTCTTGGAGTCTGCCAGCACCACGGGATTTCCTCTCAGATGCCCAGTGGATTTCCATGGGAAACAAAGAATCGGCTCCCTTTTTTTGGTTGGTTGGAATTGAAAGGAATTGGAACCCTTACCCAAAAAAAATGAAGAAAGGGAGCAACCCACTGGTTGCAGCAGAGTCCTGCAAAGACTTGGGGCCCCAGCTCTCGTTTCCCCTTCGCATCGGCGCCCAGCGCCACAATGAGCTGACCAGGTTTCAGGCGAGAGATCAGCGGCTGCGATGAGGGAGTGCAAGTCACCAAGACGTCCGCGAGATCGGCGGCCTCGAGGGTTGAAAAAACCACCTATGGTTTATCCACCACGTCCTTTTGCACAAAAGAGTCTTGTAGTTTCCCTCTGGGCCAACAAATCCCTGATTGAATCAGAGCACCACATCGCTTTTCTTCAACCGTCTGTATGTTTCCCCTTTCTTTCAGAAGCTGGACTAGGTCCTCCAGTAGAGAGGTTAGAATTTGGGTACCACCTTTTTTCTGTAGTCTACTTTAGTAAGGGAACCCTCCCAGCCAAAGAAGTTGGCGAGAAAGTTGGCACCTAGCATGGGGCGCCTAGTGGACCAGCGTTTCGCTCACGAACCAAAAGTGCCTAAACCCGGCCTCCGCAAGCTCCACGGCTCGCCTCTCTGCCCATCCGCTCGCGGCCGCCAGGAGCTTCTCAGCTGCCTCGCGGCTTCGCGAAGCCACCAGGAGCGTGGCCTCAGTGATCAGGGAGCCCTTGGTGCCGCGGATCCCAATCACCTTGACTTCCCAGCCCGGTGGATTTCCATGGAACAAAGGCGTCCTTTTTTTTGGTTGGTTGACTTTAAAGGAATTGGAACCCTTCCCCAAAACAAGGAAAAAAGGGCACCACTGGGCAACAAGGTCTTGCCGATAGGGAATGAGAAATAGAATGAACCTGGGGATCCCCTTAAAGGAAACAGGGGATGGGTGGATCCCACTTTCCCTTATCTTGCTGGTGCGATAGGGAATGAGAAATGGAATGAAGCCAGGCTTTGGTCCTTTAAAGCATCGGTGGCTGCTTCAGAGGGGTCATTCCACTTCTCATTCCCTGCCTATCGCACCAGCAAGTTCTAGTATCAGCCATTTCTTTGGACGTTTGGCTGGTTGCCTTGGCCTACAAAACCAGATGGATCCATCCACTGCGCTCAAGCCTTTTTTTTCCTTTTGGGTCCGAGCCATCCTGGGCTGATGCCAAACCTGGCAAAAATGGTTGGACAGATTTGTCCTGTGAAATCTATTCCCGTTCAAACCAACCGGGGAAAACCAAACATATTTTCTCGGTGGCGAAATCTGCTCCCAAGGCGGAAACAAAAACTTTCGGTGGTTTAATCCGGAAAACCCATTAGCTGGCAAAAAGCTAAAGTCCTAACATCCAAGCAAAATGCAACAAAGGGTTTGGCACCCAAAAAAAAGGATTGCCCTTGGATGCATCACCCAAAGCAGCCTCCTTTCAATCGGCAAAAGGAGAAAATTCCCGGGTATGTCCAACCTAAACACAAAAAGGACCATCCAAAAGGACCCAGAACCCCCAAAAAAACAAAAAGCTGATGCTCAAACCCACCCCTTTTGCACGAAATGATCCTTGGACCCCAGCCTCAGGGAGGATTTTCGGCAGCTGCTGCACCAGCAGCGAGGCGATCACCCCCGTCCCCACCAGGGCCACGACTTTGGCGCCTTGAGGCGCGAAGGATCGCACGCAGAGCGAGGCCGCCAGGGCGGTCCGCAGGTCCGTGAGGTAGCCGCCATCCTTGGTGGACGTTGGGTTTGGGGAGCAAAAAATCTCAAATTTTAGCAGCTAAGTGGTTGGATTTCAGCCACTAAACCACAATAAGCAAAAATGTGTCCAATGTTTCCCAACAACAACCATGCATCTGCCAAGACGGCCTCCAGCACGCCGCTGGTCTGGGAGAAAACCAGCATCACTCCCTGGGAGTTGGAGAGTCCCAGGGCTGTGTTGTTGGGCCAACCGCTCGCAACCTTCACCACCCAGCGCTCCGCACCACGCACGTAGCCACCCTTGATGCAGCAGTCTCCTTCACATCCAGGCTTCGCATCGAACTTCAGATGCGACACGTCGGCCACGGTGACCTTCCCCTGGCCTTCTTGGACGTTGGGTTTGGGGAGCAAAAATTCTCCAGACTTTAGCAGTTAAGTGGTTGGATTTCAACCACGAACAGCCACAATAAGCAAAAATTCGGAAAATCTTGGTTGGATTTCAACCACGAACAGCCACAATAAGCCAAAAATTGGGAAAATGTTGGTTGGATTTCAACCACGAAAAGCCACAATAAGCCAAAAGTTGGGAAAATATGTTTCCCAACAACAGCCATGTGGCTGTAGTCCACATACCCGGCGGAAATCGCATCCATGAGACTCGAGAGGTCATCCGGCACTGCGGCCTTGATCTCTTCGAGCTGGGCTACCCTGGGTTTCGCCATGCGGGTCAAGAATGGGGTAACCCCAAATTTGGCTGCGGCTCAAAAAGCTGGTACCAAAATGCCACCCTGGCAAGTGGAAACGTGGACCAAGCCCTGGTAAGACCCCTCCTGTTAAATTTTGAGCTAACGTGGACGAAATTTCTGCGGTCCATATCCTGGTGGTGACACTCTTTTTTTTGACCCATACCCGCGTCAGTTCGGAGTAGCTCTCGATCTTGAGCCAAGCTCCGAACTCCCGGCGAACGCGACGTCGTCACATAAGGGCCGCGCCCTGAGACTCGAAAACCTTTGGGAAACTCTGAATCTGAACACAAAACAGGGATCCTTACATGAAAAACGCCTGAACATTGCAACTTGTAAATGGTGGTGTCCAACTTTATTATGGTGTTGAAAAAGCCATGTTTTAAATGGTTGCACAATGTGTCTGTTAAGGAGCCCTGACAAAGGATGTGTCAAATTTTGGTGTGCAAAAAAGTTAGGTGGCTTTTTGAGCAGCAGATGTCAGAACAAGCGGTTTCAGCCCAGTTCAACTTCCCTGACTTGCCGCCAGGACACCTGTAACATATCCCATCATACCCCCCTTACCTGCATGCGGAACAAACAACTGGGGGTCTGGAAAGCGATTAAACTATCGAGGCACACAAAATCAAATTGTGACTTTAGCTGGCAGATTGATAGGGTGTGTCCAAAGAGAGGCATAGCCCAGTATCTATCAACCAGGCGTTGAGCAATCCAGTGTTTCCATCATTTCCGCTTTGAGAATTCCAACTACATGGGTTGTCACATAACCCCAAAAATGAGGCGCTTTCACATCTGGTTCCCTGCAAACCCGAAAAAGGGCTCCCTCAAGAACAGACTTTCAGCTCAGCAGCGTGTCATGGCCTCTGATTGAGGCAAAGAGTCAGGTCAATGAATGCAAAGATTGAAGTTCATCAACACACAACCACGTATCTAACATGGTTTCCAGTACCCCCAAACCAATTTTCCCACTAAACCCCTGGTAGTACAGGAAACCATCCCTAGAATGCAGCCCCAGCTTCCCCCCCCCCCTGGCGCACCTCTGGGGAGTTTCGCTCAGAGGTGGTGCTGCTGGGGGACGGGGGCGCCGTGTCGGAGCGGAATTTGTAGGGGGTCACCTCGCCGCTTCTGTCGGAAGGAAAAGCTTACATGCCCCAAATGGACATACCCCACCTACAGGCCTATACAGGGATGAATTTTGGGCCATGTACCCTCACTAATTTTGGGGTGTGTGCATTTGGGGTATGCAAGTTCGCCCTTGGACAACCTCATTGCCCCGAACAGGACAAAGGCATATCCCAGACAATCCATGTAGATTATATATACCCACTTTCACCAACTCCAACTGGGTCAAATGATGGGTATGTGTAGTTCTACTAAAGGGTTGACCCCAAAAAAAGGTATCTGGGCTTCGACCCACAGCCTTGTGCAAAGCACGTCGGCCAAGATTCGGCTTTTGACCCCAAACCTGTTAGGATTGACCCAACCAATTTAATTACCTTAAGGGTTCATGGGTCAAAGCATTCGGTTGGGGGTCGAAAAAAGCGTCCAGTCCGACCAAACCCAAGCCCCTCAACTGCCTTAGCCTGTGCTTCCCCCAAAAAAACCATGTTGATCCTGGTCCATGTTTAGCGAATCTTGGCTTTCCAACCATGTGGGGTTGGCTTAAGGTTCACTCCAGTTCAATTTCTCTAGTCTGAAACGCAACACAACAATAACCACCATACGTCAACATGTTGACCCGGTATGGGTCAAGATTAAGCCACCAGGATATGGACTGCAGGTTTTCGTCCTTGGTTCCATTTAACGAGGCAACCCGTTTTGGGGTTACACCATTTGGCTGCTCGCAATCCCTCTCATCCCATCGGATTCTTGGACCGCACAACTCATAGAGGCAAACGCAACACACAAGACAAGAGGAAATCATCAAATCGACGGAATCTATCGCTGGAAGTAAACTTCCTTCTGCTTGTGACACTAAAAAAAAGACAAGTCAGAACCATTTCCCTGTGAAACCAGCAGGGAGACAATAGACAACACTGCACATATTGATGATCAACCCCCGGCACAACCAATGTGACGATGTTAAGGCCACGTTTGCGGTCAGTGGCACCACAACGCGCTGGATGTTCTGCTTGGCGCATATTGGTGTTACCGAAACTTAGCACCCTTCAAACGAATTCGGATGATTGCCTTGTGCCTCCTTAGTCAGCACAAATTCACTGCCCAACCCTAAGGGCGGGGGGACCGGCGGGGTCTGTTTTGGAAAAGCATGATCACTGCCGCATGCCTAATTCCCTAATTGCTGCAGCACATAAGAAAATTATACCAATATGGGTATGTCTTCTTCAAGGGACACCACCATTTTGGATGGGTCCCTTAACAAAAAAAACACAACATCCACCAAACGCGAATTCGCCAGGGGTTTGATTTGAAGATCGGCAACATCAGCCCAGCTCAGAGGGTCCAACTTTGAGGATGATTGCAGGGTTTCTCACGGGTCAACGTACCTGTATAGAAAAGGGGCAAGGCTTGGCCTGGGAAACTGGCCCCATGTTTTACCGGAACCAACCCCAGCTGACCTTGATAACCCCATGAAACAGCCAAACAAGTTACCAAGGGGCGCATTTCCGCCCCCCCCCCCCCCCCCATTTTGACACATTGAGGGTTCCATATGTTTCCCCCTCTTTTCATTTTACCTGGCGCGGTTTTGCGCCCAAACCGGATTCCGATGCCGACGCAGGCGTCGCTCGCCTTGGGCGGTGCTGGGGGCTTCTTCACCGGCGGCCGCGCCGTTCCGCCGCTCGCGTTCCGCGTCTCCCGGCGCAGGAGCTGGTCGATGCGCGCCTGGTCTTGCTCTAGCATGGCCTGCGATCGAATGATCGTCGCGTTTTTTTATTTCCCCCCCCCCCCCGCACAAAAGAGGTGTGGTTTGTGCCGTCCCTCGTCCCACTTGTTTCTTTGCCTCAATTAAAAACGTGTTTGGTTTGTACAGTCCCTCGTGCCTTCCGCTTTTAAGAACTTCCTGTTTTTGCTACCAAGAAGATCGAAATGGATGTTCCAGGTACCCTCCCAGTTTCTTGTTGCGTCAAAATCTGTGTATGTACCGTCCTTTCTTCCACTCACGCCACACCTGAGGTTCCGGACCCGGTCTCAAGAGCAAATTGATCTTCCATGGAGAGAGTATCAGCTTCCCACTAAGTGGTTTGGAGCCCGTTGGTTTGGTGGTGCTCCGGAAGGGAGTCCCATGTCAAAGGTACCCTCTACAACCATAAGTTCAATCCCCAAACCACCAATCCAAACCACCAACTAAGGGTTATCTGCATGTATGTTATGTTCATGTTTATGTTCGTGAAATCCAATTCAAACAACGATTGGGAGGAAGTCAAGAATTGGGGAAGTTCACCAAAACGAGGCTGCCAATCCTTTTCTTGCTGGGTCGATAGGCAGGGAATGAGAAATGGAATGATCCCGAAACAACAAAACTTCCCAATTTAGGTTCCTTTAGAGAAAAAACAAAACAAAACAGCTCATTCCCAATACCCGGAACGGGTATTGATTCCCCACCTATCGCACCGGGTGCTGAAAAAGGAGCCATTTCTTTTGAGGTCCGAACCTTCCAATGTAGTTCGAGCCTTTCATGAGTGCAATGATGTGAAGTTAACTTCTCCAAAATGAGTGGTTTTCTTTTGGCTTCCTTGTTGCACCTTTGCTCATATTCACCCCAAGTCTATCCATAACCAGGGTTCCTTTCAGGATACCAACAACAACATTGACAAGGGGGCGAGTGTTTTTGAAAATCGTGGACCCCTTTTTGGTACTGAAAGCGGAACCCACAAGGAGACCCTTGTCCAAAGTGACCCCCAATTCTGCAAGCAGATTATTTGTTTTTCTGTCCGGTGCAAGTACGCTGGATGCAAATGACCCCTTGCCCGTTGCGGGGATCGCGATATGGCAGAATTTCAGGGAAGATCCTAATGAGTGGTTACTCCTCTGCAGATCGGACACAGAAAGTGAAAAACAACATATGCTGAGTAAAACTGTTTTGAGGGGCCTCAGTGTTGGGGCTCCATTTGGAATGAGAGCAATCGCCCGAAGGATCAGTACCCCTCACGTAACAGAGGGATAACAGAACCAAGGAACAAGGAAAGTGCTCAATACCACCCCGACCTCAACGGTGTCGTCTGTCCCACGTGTGGATGATACAGCCCAAATCACAAAAAATGAGCCATTGGCTGGACCCCTCTTTTTGCAAAGATCATAGTTGTGGCCATAGTTTCCCAATCAGTGAGCTTATTTCGACTGCGAGATGTAGCAAGCTGGTGCGTCAGGGTTCGTCCCAAGATGGACTCAGACCCAGGGAAATTGAGCATTGGTTGCAACACTTGTTCTGTTCCTTTCTCCCCTCTGCTATTTTGGGATCTAGAATGCGTAACTCGGTTGTTCAGTGACCCTGGAAAAAAAGGGAACCCTTTTTGAGGAAGACCATTTTTAGTGGGGCAGCCACCAAAAAAAGGGGAAAAAGGGTGCCACTGAACAACTGAGGTAATTGACGACCCTGCAGCTTGCTGGTGCGATTGGTAGCACGCCCCCGGGTCTGGGAATGAACCTTTGGATTCACCTACACGAAACCATCGGGGATGGTTTATTGCAGGGTCATTCCAACTCATTCCCTTCCTATCAAACCATGACCGCTTCAACATGTTTGAATTAATATCACTTCACCTTGGCAAGCCAAATCCTGACAGCAGCTTACATGTTCTTTCCTTCGCCATGCAGTTTGATAAGCAAGTCCACTTTACAGGGGGGGTGCACAAGCGGAACGGCAAGCTTCCATGGGAATTCCCGGGTTCTCGAAAAAGCGGACCCTCACAATTGGGGAGTTGTCCTCATCAAAACAGGACCCTCCAAAGCGACACACCCATTTTGGTGTCTGTTCTTTTAATGGTTCGCGCACCCTGTGGTTGACATCAAAATTGATTGGTGTCCACTCATGATGGCCACCAATAATTGTTAATCAATAGGGGTGTGCGTTCCCCTCAAGTGATGATTCCCGTTCAAAGCCAGAAATAGACCTCCCTTTTCATAAACTGGGGTTGATTCAAATGAGTCGCAATCAAAACCTGGTACTAAAATGGTCGATCCAGAACCATGTGCAGGATATCCGCAGCTATTTATGGTTGGGAAATCGTCCCTTACTAACCTTCATCTACCCGGGTTTTGAGCACGTGGCTCAAACGGGGTCAACATTACTTTTGAGGTGGTTCCACCTGGCTGTGCCTCAAAAAACCGGTACCCAAATGGGTTGCCCTGGTAAGTGGGAACATGGACCAAAACCTGCGTAACCCCAGCTGGATGATTTTGAGCCACATCCACCTCAAAAAAAAACTCAGCTCGCCATGTTGGTCAGTCCTTCTCATCAAAGTCCACTGCTGGCCGCTGGCGCGGCTCCCGCGGCTCCCGAGGCTCCCGACTCGCTTCTCGGGACGCCGAGCGAGTCTCCCCCTTCCTGCGGAGCTGGGTGTGTGACCCCCCCTCCCCCCCGCCCCTTTGCGTGGTGTCCCTGAAACCAACCTTACACCTGGTGTTTTCAACATATTCAAAATATGGAAAAGCCTTCCGGGCCAGCCTAGGCAAAGATAGTTGCATGTCTTCCACGAGTCAAGACGTCAACTTTGGAATCCGGAGATCCCAACTCCCATCACAAACATGCTCACGACTCGCAAGCCTTTTGCTTCTCAGACCTCTTCGGCAGTACTGGGTTCAAAGGGAAGCGGAAGGACAGCAAATTCTGCTCCGTGACCACCATCTTTTAGAGGCTTGGAGGAAAAAGCGCACTGGAATAAACCTGAAAAAGGAGTTTGGGGAGCTTTGATTCAATTACAACCCTTGGCTGTCCTCAGATCCTCCGCTATACGCTATGTTCAAAAAAAACAAAAAACTTTTAGCGGCTTTAATTGGACATCCCCACTACACACTAAAAAGTTGCCAAAAACCTTTCAGGGATGGCTGGGAACCACTTAAGAACCCTCACTTGACTCAGAAACTCCCGTACCAGGCGCCAGCCCCTTGGTTCACCTCCAGCTTTGCTTTGCTCGGACATCCCTTGAGTGCAAAAACAGCGGTCCTGCGGTTCAGGAAGGCGTCTCTCCATCCGCCGCTGCGGCTCGAGCGCCCCACTTTCTCCATCGCGTCGACCGCAGTTTACTGACTCCAGCCGTTTCGTGAGAATCACGCTGGGCAAGGTTGAGTTGACAGGAATGGGGGCTTCAACATTTCTGGGGATATGGCGTCAACCCTCGCAAGATAGAGAAAACTTCAGTGTAAAGGGAATGAACCGCGGTTTTGACCTTGCCTGGACACACAAATACGGAGCCAGAATGGTATCAGTCGGAAGTCTGGACACGCGTCCTCTGGATTTTGCGAGTTCCCCCAGATAAGCGTTCCTGCTCAAGGGTTGGCATTTCTGTTTGTCAGCCTTGGCTCTGGCTAGATACTGGCATCACCAGTTCAGAGGCATCACCAGCATCAGCGGCATCACCAGCATCAGCGGCATCACCAGCATCAGCGGCAGCAGCAGCAGCAGCAGCAGCAGCACAGGCATCACCAGCAGCCATGGATGCGGATTTGCACGTCGCACATCGCCAAACAAAACAGACTCAGATTTCTTTCCGGGCCTTCTCCGGATTATGCGGGCCTTGTCCGGGTTTGCGGGCCTTCTGCGGGTTTGCGTGCTCCCCCAACCTCTGCTTGCTCACTCATTTTTAGTTTTGAGTTTTCTTTAAAAAAAAAAAAAAAGTTGAGAAGGCACTGTCCACTTGGGAAAAGCCTATGGCCAAAAATGCGCACATCGGCTTGAGGTGCTTTTCAGTAAAAGCGCACATCGGCTTTTCCCCGACGTATCGTGCCTTCTCATGTGTTTTGTTGTTGTTGTTATTATTTTTAGTTGTTTTATTTTAATTGTTATTTTATTTTTTCGAGCGGTTCCCGCCCCAGCCTGTTCTGCACGGCCTGACCGGGTCCCCTGTTGGATTTCTTGGGGATAGCTGGTTTTTGACCAGGGAAAACAACAGGGTTCCATTTCAGGGGCCCAGATTGCTTGTGAAGCGCCAAAAGAGAAAGAGTACGTGCGTTGAACCTTCGTGTGAGGGGGCTGGGAAAGCAATCTTCAAGTAAATTCATAGGGTAAAGCATTGAGAAGGCATGATCCTCTGGGGAAGCTTCAGGGACAGGGGTCCAGACACTCGAATCGGGGACGGATTGCATGAAGAATATCCGACAAGGCTGTACAAAGGAGCACATCCTCAAACAAATAATTGCTTTTGCATTCCACTCAAGCGCCTCTTCCACAAGCGGCGAACCTGGGCAATGCTCCGTGCCTTTTTGTTCCTTCATTACTTCGGTGCATTCGACATCCTCAGATCGCTCACCTTGGCGCGATGGATCGCTTTGCTTTTGCGTTTTATCCGAAGAAGGCCCATCTACCCCTTACAGCACCCTCCTGCTTGTACCGTCCAAAGCAGCCGGGGTGCTCTGGCTCAAGGCTTTGTAGAGGAGGTCTGGTGGGCATAAGGGCAATTCCGCGACCAGATTCCATTTGACAGCGGAACACATAGGAAGTATCAAAAAAGTAAAACCTCCCCTCCCCCGACCTGATGGGTTCACGTACCCAAAACATAGAGACCAAGGAATCAAAATGCTGCGAGAGGACATGTGAAAATTAGGCGCAATTCCTGGCTGGCCCCATTGAATAGCACAAGATCGAAAGTAACATCACAAGCCAAAAGCAAGGCCATCATTGAAGGATGCAAAGGACCTGCAACCAAAAGTACTGCAAGCCGTCAAACACGGTTTCCACCACCAAGCTGGTTTGGGGTTTGGGGGCTTAAAACAAAAAAAAAACACACACACACACACATGCAAAACTCGATTTCATCGCCCAGGCCAGTGGCCTTGGGCTGAAAATTGCCAGGCGCCCTGGTGAAAGCCCTTCCCATGGGTGGCTCGTTATTTTGACTAGGTCCCTTTTTCTGTTGGTACCCTTTTTCTGTTGTCTATTTTGGTAGGGGAGCCCTCCCCAAAAAAGTCGGTACAACGGCACGATCCTCGGGGACCTCATTCCCGGCCTCAGCTCACGCATTGAGATAGGAGGTTTTGTCGATCGAGTCGGGCATGGTAGGTATGCTCACCTGTGCGGCGGTATTGGCGGGATGGCTCGACTTTTAGGAGTCCTTGGATCCCACAATGGTGGGTTTCCTCTTGTTCATTTAAGCCAACCCCAGAAAAGGTACCAAGCTAGTTGTTCAAGATGAAGAATGCGCTTGCAATGCGTCGCATGTCTGGGCAAGCTACTCCCATACATGGAATCTGGGGTGTTGTGGAAGACGATTTCTCACAGAGTGACCCTCTGTGGTGGGCGGAAGCCATGAAAGTCGAAACTTGCTATTTACCGAACTCAAAAAGTGACATGAACTCAGGGAGCGAGCGAAAAAGCAGCCCAGCAAGCCAGTTTGGCGGTGTCGCATGCCCGCCAGACTGGCGAACGCATGAGAATATCAGGTTTTCGAGTCAAGAGCTCTGAGTTTCCTGACTTTTCAGCTTCCGTCACTTTGTCTTTGATGAGCCCAGACCCCCAGTCATGGGAAACGGAACTCATTTCTATCGCTCAACCGCATGTCCGCATGTCGCTTCTGGCCTGTGACTAAAACAAGCTGTCCACTCATATAGCACTGTGACCCCATCAGAAACACCGCCTAATGGATGCGCACGGCCACAGCAATTCCGCCCGGAAACAAGTACTGTAAGACCCAGGGAGGAAGCTTTGGACGAAACCGGCGTAAACCAAGCAAGGGCGAGTGGCGAAAGAAACGTGAATAACAAATTGCGCCCCAACAAAAACAACAAACTGGACTCAAAACGGGGGCTACCGCAAACGGAGAGTCCTCTAGATATATGTTTGTGTTTTGTGAACTGCCCTGGTTGTGCAATTTCCCTGGCAGGGTGGAGACAAGGCCTCCGAGAATGGAAACTGCAAACAGAAGACGAAGACTGGCATCGGGTGAGGGTTCTCAACATGGACCCGCTTGGTGGCGCCGCCCAAAAAGAAATGGGCCGGGTTGTGTTTTCTTTGGTGCTGCCCAAAAAGAGTGGACCCCACAGAGATCTGGTTGCCAGAAAACCAAAAGGACACCACAAGGAACCACAAGGAAAGCCAAAGGACAAACAGGTTAGTCGGACACAAGAACACCAAAACGTCGATTCGCCTGAGTAAAGGCATTTTGTCTTGGAGGGCGTTTTGTCGGTCCCACGCCTTTGTGCTTCTTGCTTTTCCCCAAAGGATCAAGCCGTGAGGCTCCAACTCGATCTGCTCTTAGGGCGGGTTGTTTTCACATCTGCTCCGCGTACTTTCATCCAAGTTAGTTTACTCTGGTTCGTCAGGCAACGAGAAATGGAATACCCCCGATTTGGTTTCCTTTAAGGACATTTCCCTCCGGTTCATTCCAGAACCCTGGGTCATTCCCTGCTGAGAAGCAGCAAGTTGAGGAATTCCTGAGTTAGGCATCTTCATAACACTCGTTTCTTTTGGCAGCTCGCTAAAATGGGAGGAACATCATGTTTGGGATCTCAAAATAGGGGAAACAAATCACTTCAATGTGTGGTGTCCAATTTTTGGTTTTCCCCAAACAAAGCAAGCGGGCGAGAGGCCTCGAAACGCTCTTGCACCTTTGTCAGCACCTGGCTCAGTCACTGGATTTCTCCAAAGTGGCCATCAATTTTCAGGTGGTTTCCATCGAAACGGCCACTTCTGAAAGTCCAAACAAGGGAAATTCCAGCGCCACGGCGCAATATGTCGCGACTCTATGGGAAGCATTGGCCGAAGGGCGCGCAGCATCTTGAGGTTCGAAATCGAATGCCATGGCAAGTGCCAGGGTCACCAGTGAGCCATCTCCGAAGTACTTGGCCTACAGCCTCGATCTTGCCACTCCCAGTCGACCCTACGGATGAGGTGAGTTCATCCTGTTGGCTGTTGGGTGGACTATCGTGTGCGTTCCAGGGTTCCCATGACCCAAGTCAGGACCAACAAATGAACCATTGGCTGCCTTCACAAGGAAAGCCCGTCGATTTCGGTGAATGAGCCGTTGCGTTCCTAGCTGACGAGGGGCGGAAGCACGTTGCTTGTGGCTTGCCTATGGAAAAAATATGCTGAGATGCCGAAGATACACCTTTGGTGAGGCAGTCTGGATACGTCGAGGTCAAAGCGCCAGGTGTGGGGACTGGCCTAAATGGATGTATAGAATGCCCTCCCCAACAGCAAACGCAAGCATACCTCTCGTTCCATGGTAGCCTGCGCCATCTGTATTCCCTGCGAATTTGGGAATGCCTTGCAATCTTTCATTTGCTTCCCAGCCTCCCCGAAAGGCTCTCAGAACCTAAGTTGTGGGAATTATGAGCTTTCTGTAGGTTCTGCCATCCTGGAGCAGTTTCGGGTCTTTTCAAAGCACCAACTAAGTAACTAGGGTGAAGTTAAGATTAAAGGTTCCTTTCTTGGAAGCTGAAGATTGGCCCCACGGAAGCAAAACCCGAAGGTTTCAACTGCACACCTTTCAGACTTGTCCATGAGCCTGCAAGTGCCAAGCACATGAACAAAAATTGTGCGGAGCATCAAACAAGCAAGCAAGCAAGCAAGCAAACAAACAAGCAAACAAACAATAGACACATAAATTAAAAGCAAGACGCCTAACCCACACACACACACAAGTCAAGCAACCAAACCAACAATCATTAAACAAGCAAGCGAGTGAATGAGCGAGCGAGTGGGCAAGCAAACCAGCCAGCAAGGAAGCAGCAAGCAAACACACACAGCACGGCAAACACACACACACATTGTAAAAAGATAAAACAACACTCAACAAAACAAAACAACGGCATACAACAAGCCATACACAACAGCGCAACGCAGAACTGACAAACAACACACACGCAGCACCAATCAGCCTCATCATAATGCAACAGCTATCGCGACAACACAAAGCAGCACGTGACCACAACAAACTACACGACATAAGACACATCATAACATATCCCGACCACAACCATGACTCAACAACACAGCACACACACACACGCACACACGCACACACCCACACACACACACACATATCATCATCGCACAAAAAAACAACACAATCAGAAACCAGAGTCAGACTCGCAAAAAGAGCCACGTGTGTGGGCAACAGTAGGTATTCAACATGGGTTGCCCTGATACATGGCCATGGGTCAAAATCCCTTTTCCCCCAGTGAACATCCCAATGCCCACTAAAATAGGTTCTAAAATGGGTGGTGAATTCAGCTACCAACCAAAATGGGATCCCAGAACGGTTTTGACACCCACAGCCACATGGAAAGGACCAATACCTGCGGTCTGGTGACGAGTTGTGACCGGTTCCCTCCCGCCTGATAATCGGCGTCTGTGGCGCAGAAGGTGACGGCCAAGCCCTGCGGAAAAAGGCCAAGCCAGGTGGCAATGAGCAAATATACGCCCACATAGTAGGCATGAACCTGTTTACGTGCACACACACACAGTTGTGTTGGTTGTGCTTTAAATCCATCTCCACAAGGTCACTTTGGGACACCACAAGGTCACTTTGGGACACAATACACACACAGAGCATGGAGGCCAAATGGCTGTGGGTCAAAAATATGTACCCAAAATGGGTAGCCCTGAATGGAAACATAGACTAAAATGTGCGGTCCTCCGGTGGTTTGATTTTGACACATACCCATATATAGGCATAAACCTGTTTACGGGCATATATATATATATATGAATATATAAATATGTATGCAATCTAATGTATGTGGTTAGAATCATAACTCTGAGCATACCTGCACACTTAAGATGTCCAGTGCTGATAGATGTTCAGAGTGTATATATATATATATGTCATGAGTATATGCACGTATATGTATATCATATCATACGCCATAAAATTGCCCATGCATATCACAGAATACGTGATGCAACCACACATGTTACATGTGGTTATAAGCGCGTGCATGCATATACCCACACACACAAACATGAGTTGAGTACAGTATATTGGTTTAATGCTCACGGAGAACATGACATGTGCTCATACAATAAGGCGTATACTAAGTCGCGTTCAAGTATATACACCACGTACGATATGATCCCTCCAATGCTGACACTTTGGGGGTGCACACCTCGTAACCCACATCAGGGAAAGAAGTAGAACGCACTATTCCCGTTCTTCATGTCTGTAACTAAAACATGTGATAAAACCTAAATGGGGGTCTCGGAGAATGTACGATACTTCTGCAATCATCGCCAGCGAACACCTACAACACAGGACCGGCGAGCTTTAGATTTTGCGTGGCAACATCTTGGCAAACCGGCGTTCAGTTATGCAAACGCATTGCCCGCGAAAACTCAGCCTTCAACCTAATTAAGGATGTTCGACATGACCTCTGTGCCTGGCGACACTTTGGGACCTGGTATGGGTGTGTCTCAAGGGTGTCCCGCAAAATGGATTGGTAACCTTTCGGTTTCTCTGGAAACAAAACGGGGTCCGACATCCATCTTTAAAAACTTCCATGCCATGGGAGGGGATTTATGGCCCCGCCACTTTGACACTTCGTACCGGCCATGGTAGTGACTCGATTGGGTCCAAACGCGCAAACACGGCTAGGGTTTTGGTGGCGTATTTCGGGGTTCGGGTCCTCAAAAAGTCGCGGGTCCCAGTTCGGGTTTTTCGGCCAAGAAAAGGTCAATCAAGCTAATCCATGGCTTTCCGACCCATGGACGCAGGCTCCCTCAAGTGGAAACCTTCCTCAGTTGTTTAGTAACCCTGGAAAAAAAAGGAACCCTTTTTGAGGAAGACCATTTTTAGTGGGGCAGCCACCAAAAAAAGGGGAAAAAGGGTGCCACTGAACAACTGAGGATTGAAAACCCATATTGGTTTCCGAGCCGTGCTTTGCCCAACCTCCACTCATTTGCTCATTGGGATTAACAGGGTTCAGGGTTCCCAAAAGAAAACGAAACAAATGATCTCACTCACACGCATGTGTCATTTTGCAAAAAAAGATGAGTTTCCCTGGTAATTACACGGAATAAAATCAATATGAACCACTCGAACTCATCTATTTTGCACCAAACTAACCTACAAAGGACACACATGCTCACAAGGGGATGCTTTTCGCTAAGCGTGAAACTATGGCATCTTTTCTGGCAACCCGGCCTAAATGGGCATCCACATCCGGCTCATTTGCCTGAAATTCCTTTTTGAAGCTTCGCAAAAACTCACCCAAGTTGCGCCTGCCTTTGTGCCAAAGCGGCCGGCACGGCCCACCCGGTGCAAATACATGTCACTGTCCTGGTGGACTTTTCTTCTCTCTCTCTCTTTCTCTCTTTTTTTCTCGGAATGGGATAGTGGACTTTTGTTCTCTCTCTCTCTTTCTCTTTCTCTTTCTCTCTCTGTCTTTCTCTCGCAATGGGATATCACCACTGGGTCGGGCCTCAGGTTTCTCGACCGACAGGAGTAATTACCCTCAAGACACCGGGAACACACGCGGTGTCTCAAAACTTCTCCATGCCAACCCTCCTGACTCGTAACATCAGGACCAACTCCATTTGATCAACACCTGACTCAAAGTCAACTCCACTCCATCAAAATCAGCTCCACACCTGACTCGCACCCGATCAACTCCATCCACAAAAACACGTGGGCCACGTGTTTGCGGCAATTCCACTGGGCGGCAATTCCTCCCTTCGCTGAACGAACCTGCCGAAAGAGACTCGACGAAGGCAAGCAGGTTTTGGTTTGTCAGGCGCCGAGATCCGGAAGCGGCTCAAAAGGTGATCTCGTCGCATGTGCCGAGGTCAACACCCCCTATGGCCGATTGGGTCGAACATATGTACCCAAAAGGGGTTGCCCTGGCAAGTGGAAACATGGACCAAAACTTGCGGTCCGCTGGTGGTTGAATTTTGACCCATACTCATGATATGGCCGATTGGGTCATGGTTCCAATAGGAATCATGATAATTATTGAGGATCCTAGGTAGATGACCATCCATTCCCTGACCCGAAGGCTCCCAATCTTCGGCTGTCCTCAGGCATGTCGTAACTGATAACCTGAGCCCGACAAGTCGGAAATGGTTCCAAGTTGCCATCAGGTTAAACGTTCCGATCTTCGGCGGTGTTGTTTTTTGGATTCCCCACAACACCACTCGTAAGAAGATCGCTCTCCAAAAAACACACGCACCCATCTAGACTTTGCTTGGCACTTCACCAACTCTCCCTGCTTTGAAAAGCTTCGCGCACGCTGCACTCTCAATCGCCCCGGATCGCCCTGAATCGCCCTGAATCATGGTCAGTGGGGAGATCGAGTGGGATCACGGCGGGAGCCAGCCATAGCTGTGTAAGCCCCCTTCCGGGCAGGGAATCGATTTTGTTCACTGTGCATTGGGTCAGCAGTGGCCGTGCCTGTCAGCTGACCCGACCCTCTAGCGGTTGATTCCCCATTCTCTTCAGCCATCGTGCTTTTCAACAGTCAGCCATTTCCCCAGGGTTTTTGATGGTTTTCCAGAAAGATTCGGATCCCTGGAAAGAATGGAAATGGAAGCTACCCCTCAACACCCTCACTTGAAACAACTTGGGAGTCAGAGCTTCACTCAGATTCAATGATTCGCCAGCCGGATCCCCCAAGCCGATCACAAGCTCCCACCGAGAAACTGGCCAGCCTTCTCATACTGTGGATGGACGCGAAATCCTCTTAGGCACCACCGTTCAGAAACCCTGGTTTCTGATTCGATTCCCCTGTAAATACCAACAAAAGTTATGGTTTCCCATGGTGTCAAAGTGGTGCAGGATTTTGTCCATCCACAGTAGCTTCCCACAAAGCTATAATGAACAATTGACCCCACAAGTCCAGTCTTGCCACCTCCCTCATGCGCTTAGACAGTTGTTTCATCTTCGTAAACCATTCATCTTTGAAAAAGGCTCCATGCTTTTGTTAACATACGTTTTGCATTGCTCCACCTTGCCTACTTTGATTGAGTGACTACGGCTATGAAGTGTCAGCGCTGACCCACCGCATTGCCAAGAAAACGGAAATCCAAACCGCACGGATCCAACACATTGATAATTGGGACTCCAACACCTTTGCCCAAAACAAGGAACCCCTCTCTTGAAAAACAGAGGCGCCCGGCATTCAGAATGTATCCGCATCCAGGCATGGTAAGGCGTTTTTCGTGGGACCAGCCCGAAACCAGCGTTTGTTGACTTGCATTTGGCTTATTCTTGAGTCTTGTCTCAGCTTGCTTCTTGCTGTGCTAGGTAGGGAATGTGGGAATAAACTCGAAGGGGATTCCCGAACAAAGGAAACCAGCAAGGAATGGTTTATTTCTGGGGCTCATCCCAACTCTATCTCTCAGGGCCCCTCTCTCGCACCAGCCAGGCATTTTGGGGGGGGGGCGTGTCTCATCGAACTTGGTTGACGTTGGCAGGGGAGCAAACATTTAAACTTTAGCAGCTAGTTGGGGATTTCAGCCACTAAACCACCATAAGCAAAAGTGTAAAAGGTTTCCCAACAACAACCATGTTGCGAAGGGGCTCGATACATCAGCACCAGCCAGGCGTTCTTTTTGGGGGGTGCGGGTCTGGTCTCAGATCGCTCAGCGAGGCCGAGGGGCGATATTCACCTTCTCCACGTCCATTCCACGGCCGAAGAGGTCCGTGGCCACCAGAATGCGCTTCTTGAAGGACTGCCCAAAAAAAAACCGTGGCCACGCGAAAAGCGCGGCCGTCGCTTTGGGGCAGAAAAAGACGTGGCCGTCGCTGGGCAGAATAAAATCATGAGTCTGTCTGTTGGTGTGCTTTGGGCTTTGAGCCAATGGATTTGAAGCGGTTTGCCTCTCCAACCGCTAAATACTTGGTTGACGTTGGAAGGGGAGCAAAAATGTAAATTTTAGCAGCTAAGTGGTTGGATTTCAAACACAATAAGCAAAAATGTGTCCAATGTTTCCCAACAACAACCATTCAAAAGCGATGAATTTGGTCCATCAGTCTTTCGAAACCACTCTGTCTGATAGGGACGTGTGTGTCGGCTTTTACGGGTTTGTCCCCAATGGATTTCGGTGTTCCTTGAGAGGCACCAAGGCAAATAGGTCAGTTAAAACAAGACACACCCATTCGACGTTCACAGCTAAAAGCTATGGATTTGGTCCATAACCCCCAGTTTGCTCGGTGGTTTGGGGCAGCTTTCAGGGAAGGTTCCGGAGGGTTCCAGCAGGTTCCAGGGTTGCTGTGTTGGGTGTCGTTCTTATTGGACCCCCCAAAATGAATTTCGATATTCCTTTTGGTTTCCCTTTAGAACCACCAACGAACAGGTGCCAAAAACGACACACGGCATGTTGAAGACTAATTCATGGAATCCGGGATTAAACCGTCGTGTTGAGGGACAGTGGGAGGAACAGGGCTGTGGGAAATGACCACTTCTGTGATACAACAAAAAAGGGCTTCCCAAAGACTAACCCCCCATGTACAGGGGGAGATTCCCAAAAGTATCACAGACGTGGTTGGAAAAACCCGAGTGATCAACCACCACCCGGGAGGAACATTCCCAGGTTTCTCCTCCGCCTGGTTCAGTGCCCCATTCAAAGCGCGTCACTTCCCTGCCAGGTTTCCTCATGAACCTCTCGGTTTCTTGAGGCTCCCCAAGCTCGCACTTCCTGAGTCTTTTTAGTGGGGCCACGAAAAAAAAAGAACAAAAAAATGGTGGCACTGAACAACTGAGTCGATGGCCGAAACAAAGTCCAAAGAATTTGCCAAAGTCCAGGAACTCAGGAAGTGACCGCTTCGAACGGATCCACTAAAAGTGGCTAGATGTTGGCTGTATCCCCCTGTTTGGGCTGGTGAAGGTGGACACCTTCTACACTTTCTTGTCACAGGCCAAGCGACAAAACGCGATGGGTACTTGCTAGGTGCAACTTTCGACAAGTGATTTGGTGCTATGAATTCTAGCTCCCGGTGCCGCAATTCAAAGCTCTCACGTTACACCGCGCCAACGCATGCGGAAACTAATCCTGGTGCCCAAAGCTACAAACATTCGAAGCTCTATGACGCACTGTCCGAACTTTAATCCGGGTCTCATAAGCACCTGAGCCACTTGCTCAAAAACCGATTCGGGTAGATGAAGGTTGGTAACGGGCAGTCCCAGCCAGAAATAGGTGCGGATATCCGCCATGGCTACAAACCAAGAGCAAGGGCCCCAGGGCCCCACAGAATTTACACCCAAAACCAGCTGCTTCATAAGGGATCCTCTTCATCATCTGGTATTTGGGTGGTTTGCTCACTGGCCCAAATGCATCCAACTTTGGTCTTCCTTGCTCATCTCAGCTCACTAAAATTCCATGGCGATCAGAAAAAGGAAACACCAAATCCCTTTTTTGGTTGATGTCCATGGCAATAATCAATAATAACAAACACAAAAGCATTTATTATTGCCTTAAAAAGCAAAAAACACACTTTTTTGTTGGTTTTTCTAGGAGGCCCAGCTCGAAAAAGAAGCAGCCGCCTGGACCGCCAGCAGCTCCGTCCGTCTGCGACCCCGAGGGAGACCCGACCCGGACCGGCCGCGCCTTGAAGGCCTGGAAGCGGTCGATGCGGTTGGTGTCCGCGGCGACCACGTCGCCCTTCTTGGCCTCCACGAAGCGACGAAGCGAACCGCGACGCGCGCGACGCCACTTGGCTGACGTTGGAAGGGGAGAAAACATGGAAGAAACATTAGCAGATGTCCCCACTAAACCACAATAAGCAGAAAGATGTCTTAACAGATGCCCCCACTAAACCACAATAAGCAGAAAAACAACATGAGCCGCTAAGTGTAGCAAACGTTGATACATGTCAAATCCCTATTCTAACTTACATGTTTAGCAAACACAAAGTAGGGGATTTCAACCTCTAAACCACAATAAGCAAACATGTAAATAATGTTTCCCAACAACAACCGACGCCGCGGGTCTTCGACGCGAGAATCGCGAGAATTGCGCCGGTGGCGCTGAAGCACTAAGCCACTGGACATGACATGAGCCAACTTCGCGCGGGACGTGTGGGGAGAGTTCTCGAACAATCCGGAAAAAACAAGGCCAACTTCTCGGCAGCGACGACAGGGAAAGCAACAAATGGAAAGCATGTGTACGCCTTGCAGTCCTAAAGCAAACAACAACATTAAGCGCAACCTCGTGACTCGTTCGGTGTTGCATCATCCCAGGCTGTCTAACAAGCTGTTGCTTGACTCCTCAAGATTAGGCTTCCCTAGATTACAAGGTTGAGGAACAGTTCCCTAGGTCTGAGTGACTTTGCCTGAATCTACAACTTGAAGGCAATACATGACTCCCGTGGCTTACGCAGTGCTTCCAGCTACTACATCAGGAATCCTGTTTACCTTAGGCACACGATGGTTTCCCCTGCTTACCTTCACTTGGTCCATCTTGGCCCCCCACATCTGGGGTACACAGGTTTCTCAGATAATCATATTTGCAGATTCTGTTCATCGATCTACCCCAACAACACAGTTTTGGAGAAGACTCCAGTCCAGGTGAAAAGCACTGGATACCGATGAAACTGGAGATAAAGCATAGCCCCCCCCCCCTTTTATACCCTTAGCCGATTCGAGATCCGATATGGACCCCGCCCCCTCCCTCAATTCCACGACGGTTGCCTTGTGGGAGAAGGCCTTGGGCAACGGATGCAGCGTCATGGACGGGAAGTTGTTCTCCTGGAACTCTGGCAGCTTGCTTTTGGTGCCAAACCGAGGCGGGGCCGGAATTCACTCAACTCTGGGCCCTGGTCATGGGGGGTCCTTCTTATGGCTGTCTAAATTCCTGCAAACCTTCTATTTCAAAGCAATTGACAAGGGTGAGGTGATTGGATGTGTCTCAATACGGATGGGAACCGTTGACCTTTGAGCCATGGCTCCCTGGCTGCGGGATCTTCGAGCTGGTTTCTCTGGTCCCGTTGAGACCCCAGAACCTGAGGATGCAACTTGTGCCGTGGATACCAAGAACTCGATCCATGGTGCCCTGGAAGGAATGATTCGCGTAAAAAGCCACAAACAATGGCTTCAACCATGGTTTCAAAGTGGTGCAGGATCTTGTCCATCCATAGTAGTTTTGACAACCCCATCCTTTTTCTGGCCACCCTCCAGTTCACAACCAGAAAGTCTGTTTATCATGGGTTCGCACTCGGAAAAAGCCCAGGGTGAGGTTCCCAGGTGGACAGCTAGTGCGTGAAAGGCGGTTGAACGAGCTCTGGGCGAATTTCTCCCCAACAAGTCCAACACAGACCCCAAGTAGACACCCTTCTTTTCCGCTAAAGCCGCTCCAAATGACTCTTAACACTGTTTCACGGGGGGAAGGGGAGGGCATATGGGGCTGTCTTCTTCCCCGGGTACCCCTTGTTGTTTGTCTCCTCGGTGTTAAGGGAAACCAAAAGAAACGCCAAAGCCGTTGTGGGGGGTCCAACCTAAAGAAGACCCCCCCCTCTCAAAAAAACAACTCAAAAACATAACGTTGTCCAACCAACAAAAAACTTATAAAAGAACGCAGGTCCAACATCCCTGGCCTATGCGCCGAGCAGATTCAGTCGCTGGAGTCCTGCAGCAATCCATCCAGCGCCATGGCGCGGCGCACGGACTTCACAAAGATCACCACCTCCGAGTTGTGTTTCCCCCCGATGCGCAGAGGCGTTTTTTCCCCCAGATGCCCAGTGGATTTCCATGGGGAAAAAAGGGCCGCCTTTTTTTGGTTGGTTGACTTTAAAGGAATTGGACAAGGGGCACCACTGGGCAACTGGGTTTCCACTGGAAACAACACATCCAGGAGCCTCCAATCTCCCATCCCCTCACTTCCGAACGAGTGGGTTACAAACCATTTGCTGAAATCGCCATCGGTTGATCAAAAGGTCCGTGATACATGGGGTGACCCTAAAAAAAACCACCCAAAAGATGAGTTGCACCACTAAATGGGAAAAGTTACCCATGGTCATGTTGGGGCCAGGAATATTGATCAACCCCCGTCGGGAAAAGATGATAACACAATTCCAGTAGTGATAGATTCCCGTTAAAACGAACAGTTGTTGTTTAAGCATTTTCAGCAAATGGAAGGTTTCGACCGAAACATTCTTCGAGGAGCCACCTGAGTTCTGGGCCCAAGGATCATTCTCCGAAAGGGACCCATTTCTCTGGTTCGATGCTGGTGGACAGGAGGGTAGCCTCAAGAACACACCTATGTGGCTTGAAGATCCGAGCATCCAAAGATGGTTTAGAACCCAAAGCGCTCCACTCGTGGATTCCCAGAGTTCCAAAGTGTGGTGATGAAATCCACAGTGGCATCCAGCAAGCATGTTGCGAATTGCAACACTTGAGTCACTTCACTGGTAACATGTTTGCCCTCCTGACAATCTCACGTAGGTCTGCCAAGATGGGTTCAACATGAGTTGCCCCCGCCCTTTTCGACGGTTGATTGATGCAAGGAAACCAGAACACAACTTGAAATGGCATCGTTTGTCTGGGCTGCCCGTTTTCTGATCCTCCGCGAAAAAGTTTAACTTTTAGTGGGTTAAATTCGGAAACTACCACTAAACGCTAAAAGGCTAAAGAGCTAAGGAACCGGATGGCTGGCTTCGCCACCAAGTTGTGACCTCTCTTCCGGCAACCTCTCTGCACAAAAGCGGACTTCTAGTATATAAACCGGAAACCATCCAGGGATCCACCGAACGCCCAAAACCCTGGATGGGAACAAATGGGTAGGATGCAGACACTTGTTTGTCCTTTTGGTGCTAGCTACAACCCGTGTATTCGAGCCTGTTTTAGGGTTTTTTGGGCATTTTCCAAACCTTCCATGTGCTTAAGACCCCGGAAAAGAATGGGCATATTTCGAGCAGTGATAGATTCTCTTTAAACCCGACAAGGGAAACGAAGCAATAGTCACAGCAAATGGAAGAAAGCCATTGCCAGCCTGATTGAACTCCAATGTGTCCAGCAAGTCGAACAACGTCTTGTTCTTGTGCTTCTCTTCGAGTCTGACGTAGTACCTTCAAGAAGGGGCTCGATCCCCATGTGGCTGGACGAGTAAAAGTGCGGTTTCGGATGGATGACACGGTATGAATGGGAGAAAACATGCAACTCAGATGCTGGTCCAGCCACACAGAAGACGACAGGAAATCCATATTCGAAAAAATGGCCCCATTCGGCGAACGGAAACGATTTAACCACCCAAGGAAGACACAACCTGTGGCCGCTTGAGGCCCTAAAGTGTGCATCAAAACTAGAAGCTGCATGGCCCTAAACTGACTCGCTTGGTCCAAAAAGCAGGTAGACAACCTGACCGCCTGATCCTGCAGCTGCTTCTCATGGTAAGAGGCGGAAAGGAAAGAGCAAGGGATGCAACCAAGATGATTGCAAAGAAACACAAGATGGTGTTCCCATGTGTTCCCTCACCCTCTCTCTCTCTCTCAAAGTTCTCGAACAACTTCGCGCACTACCCCAGATGCCCAGCGGCCACGGAGAAAATGGGCACGGTTGGTGACTTTTGAAGGGAACTCCCCGTCCAATCCGCTCCACAAACAAGGACAAAGGAAAAAGGGGGTCTGGGTTCCGGAAAAACTGGCACCAGGAAACTGCCCAAAGCAGGCCAGGCCCCGTTTGGGACTCGTTTCGGGTCCATCCCTAAGGCTCCTGACCCCTCCCACGCATGCCCTCCAATGGAGACGGCGCAAACGCAATCGAGACCCTTTGGGATACCGGCTATGTTGGCCTAACCGAACCTCATGTGGATATGTCATTTGTTGAGCATATGCCTCTGGGGTTGCTTTACAGGAAAAGCCCAACGGGAAACTGCTCATTCGTTGGGGCCTCCCCCTCTTTGTGAAAGAATCCCATGCAACAGTCGTTCCAGGTGAAAGTGACAGGCGAGTGGAATTGTTCCATCTCAATCCTCTCTCTACTCACTTCCCAAGTTGACTGGCCAAAAAAAGTTTGGAACTTTTTATGTACAACTAAAATGGTCTTTCCAAAAAGTTTAAAGTCCACCAACTCAGGAAGTGAGATGAATCTCTGCGAGGTCACTGGAGCAATCCATGCAAAGTAAGCTTTGACTCGTCCACGGTGATCTCGTGTGGACCTCGGATGCGGCGAAAAAGATCGCGCAAGCATCGCTTTGCCTCCTATTCTCCTCCCTGGAAACCAGCGCAAGAGAGTTCATAGTCATAAGGCAAGTCAAGGTAAGTAGGACAACCTGTCGAACTCGAAAGAGTCAAATGGGGTTCTCTCAAAAATGGGGATTTGGCGGTTTTCCATTTGTCCCCCTTCAAAACCAGCCAAACAGGGTATCAAGAAAAGGAGCCATTCCACCCAAATCCGGTCCTTAGGCCTTTCGCTTCGGCTTCTGGGCGTCCGGGCACTGCATGAACTTCTTGCAAATATCTCGGGTGCCGGGACTCAAGGTCGCGCTAAACATCATCACCTGCGTTTCGAGCCTTCCGAATGGGAGAAACCCGGCCAGTCAACTCACGAGACATCGAAAGGGCGTCAAAGGGCAGGAAGGTCAAAAGGCCTCACCACAAAAACGTATTTGACGGAAACAAACAATCCGGAACAGAAACCAAACGTGGATGACTGACAGGAGGTATCCCGGAAAGGAATTGTATGACTTTGAAAGGCCTCGTTCAGAATACTCAGCATCATTGGGCCTCTCAAAACGTGGCCCCGGAAAAAGGAACAACAAAAGGCGCACCTGGAGAAAAACATACGCCTGCAACAGGGATCCTTACATTATTAATACACCTGAACATTGCCTTGTACATGGCGGTTTCCCTTTATTTTGGTGTTGAAAAAGCAACATGTTTCAAGTGGGGCAACATGAATTTCTTTTCAGGAGCCCTGTGCAAACATCCGCCATGTGGTCTCCTTTGGGCTTACGGATGGCCAACTTCTGGAGGGGATTTAGATAGCACAAATGCAAACAAAAACAGTTGGGCAATGTTGTCATACTGTGGATGGACGAACTCCATTTCGCACCACCTAAGAAACCATGGGAAACCATAACTTTTGTTGGTATTTACAGGGGAATCATCAGAAACCAGGGTTTCTTAGGTGGTGCAGGATTTTGTCCATCCACAGTAGTTCCCTTAAAACACATAACAGTATTTGCCAGATTGCCTAAAGAGCATGACAATGCGGCACCCAAGCGAATAGGAGCGTTGGTGGCTCAGAAGGGTGGCTCATAGCCCAAACAGAAGCTTTTGTGGTTTCTGTTTTAGTAGATCAAAGTGCAAAAGAGCCTTCCTAATGGATCAGCTCGCCACTTCCCGCTTTGTTAGGTCGCTACAACTTGCCCAAACACACCCTATGCAACATGGCACCTGACTGCGGGTTCGGAAAAACCAATTTCCTAATGGGATCTGGTGGGAACAAAGGGCACTATAGTTGTGCTTTTTAGGGGCTTGGACTTTAACAGGGAACCGGGATCCTTACATTCTTAACTCACCTTTGCCTTGTACCATGGCGGTTTCCCTTCATTTTGGTGTTGAAAAAGTTCAACAGGTTTCAAGTGGGGCAACATGAATTTCTTTTTTAAGGAGCCCTGGGGAAGGAGCTGTCCCATGGGAGGGCTGCGGACGTGAGCCCGCCTGCTTCTTCTTGGGCGTCCTGATAAAGATCTGCTGCACGTCCTTACGGAGGTCCAGCTGGTCGATACACCTGCCGAACCGCTTTGCCAAACGAGGGAGAAAAAAAAACGCCGGCCGAACCGGCCTGCTGTGTCTCAGTGGTGCAGTGACCCGGGAAAAACAAGGGAACCCTTTTTGGGGAAGACCAGATTTTTCGTGGGGCAGCCACCAAAAAAAAGGGTGCCACTGAACAACTGAGTCTGTGCTATGGCTCAAAATCAAAGCACCAGGAATTGGACCTCGGGTTTTAGACCACGTGTCCACTTGCCAGGGTAACCCATTTTGGGTGCCTATTTCTGACCCACAGCCAAATGGCCAAAATGCGAGCCGTGTGTGTGCATTGTGCTTCAAAGTGACCTTGTGCAGATGGATTTAAAGCACAACCAGAACTGTGTGTGTGCACGTGCGCACGTGCGTCCTAAAGTGATCTTAAGGAGATATATTTACAGCTCTTGGACATTTGATGGGGAGTGATGAGGGCCCTGAAATGGATGGAATGGGTTGTGGGGCACCTTAACGCACTAAGGACACGATCACAGGAGCTCAGTATTGGTTTAGAGCGTACTATCAGCTGCAAACCACCAACCGCTAGGAAAGAACCATGAGCGCATGTGTGTCACTACAAGGACCATACAAAGTGTGAGATGGGGTCAAGTTAAATTTCAAAGCTGGGCTGCCCACAGATTCCCTGCAGTTTAACTTCCATTGGGTTTAATGGAAATCCCCTCTAAACCCTACCAAGCTAAGAAGCTAAGGAACCGGATGGCTGGGAGCCACCAAGAAAAGGAAGACCCAACTCTTTAAAGGCACTGCAGCATCTCTTTCAACCAGGTGGTCGACTCAATCGGGCACTTGTCCAATTGGACTCAATCATTATGCTGGGAGTCTTCGTTTTGTGGCCCAACACGGTGGTTGTCCTTTTGGTTTCCTTTAACTACGTACAACTTGGGGTACCAACTCCAACGAAAGAAGGCGAGTACCTGGCGTGGACAGGCGGTAGCTTTCGCCCGCCTGTCGCATTCGTCCAGCACGAAGGTGCTCAAGTCTGGGACGCCGATTTCGCGAGGTTTCCGGATAGGACAAGCGTGTTAAACAGGTCCAGCCCGGCAGTGTCCCTTCAAGGGTGCTGTCTTTGTCTTGGGGACCCCTTCTTTGTGGCGTTTGAAGGGAAACAAAAGGGAAGCTCAGCACTTTGTGAGGTTCCCGAAACAACACACACACACCCTTAAAGAAGACCAAGGCCTTGATACAAAACAAGTTGCACGTCACGCGTTAATTTTGATTGAAATCGGGTGCCACAGGATCGTGGTTGCATCGTCAAGGCCGTGAAAAACGTAGGCTCAAACTGGGCCCATCCCGAATGCACCGGTACAAGGGGTTCCAACAGACCTCATGTGGTATACAAGTGATGTCGTCTTGCCTGACAATCACAGCACAACTATTGTCAATCATTTGACTTGGTTGACGTTGAGAGGGGAGCAACAATTTAATTGTTGGCAGTTCAGTGGGGATTTCGCGCTAAACCACAATAAGCAAACAGGCAAAATGTTTCCCAACAACAACCATGTTGAGGAAAGGCACTTGCTCTGTCAGGGGTCCTGGAAGATCAAGGGAAGGTTTTAGTTTTTTTGCTGGGGGGAGCAATCACAATACAATCGTGCGGATATCCTTCCTTTCGATTCTTTACCATTTGGGTTTTGGTAGACCCCTTTCATACCAGGTTTGAACGCAAGGGAGTGGGCTGGAGTGGGTGGATTGAATTTCGGTTTTCCAAGAATCAATACCAAAAGCCTCAGCCCAATCCCGATCGACAAATGGAGAGCTCGCGCTTGACCAGCGTGCCCGAGGTGGGAGGAGGAGGGAGGGGTTCGAAAGGAGCCCTGCGGGAAGAGGGGGTAAATGAGCCAGCCACGAGCACGTGTACTTTGCTCCCATGGTTCTTTTGGGCGGAAGCGTGTTGAGCTTGGAGCTTCCAAATGTTTGAGGGCAACTTTTGGGGATGGTTTTGCAGGGACGCCAAGCACCACTCATTTTGCTGGGCTGCCATGAAGAAGAAACATCAGCACTTCTTCTATTACGTGTGGCCCCTCCCCCCAGGCAGGACGGTGGAGAGGGTAGGGTTGGGCAAAGCTGATTTCGAAGACCGGGCCTGAACAGGGAACCAAAAGCTTGGTTGACGTTGGAAGGGGAGCAACAATTCTCAATTTTTAGCGCTCAAGTGGTTGGATTTCAACCACTAAACCACAATAAACAGAAATGATTCCAATGTTTCCCAAGAACAACCATGTACAGAGCTAGTGTTACGCAGGTTTTAGTTGGTTTCAGTTAGCTTTTGGTGCCATTTGGTGCCACTTTTTTGGTACACCTGAACGAACCAACAGGCTCTCAAACCGTGGGTCTTCTGAACCTGAAACTCGCTCACTCGCTCCGTTCTGGGCGTTCGGCGGTCTAATTTCAGGAGCCCCTCTTTGGCAAGCTGAAGGACACGTCCAGGAGTACCCACCTCGCAGATCATTGTTTGCGCCTTCCCCAAAAAGCTGTGCGAGCGTTGAAATAAATATTTGGTGGATGCTTTTTTCCGCTGGGACCAACACAACCCATTTTGGAGGGGTACCAAAAGCGTCATGATGAGGAAAAAAGAAGCGGAGTGATTTCAAACCAGGGCCATGAGCATTCAAACAATGCGTAAGTTGATTCTCTTGGCAGGCATCTGCATTATGCCTGTCAGTCATCACAGTGTAAGATGACCACTCCTGCCGATTCCAGCCAGTTTGTGGCAAAATTGGTCACAAGAGAAAGGTGGCAAGTCCCGAGCCCTTTGACTAGGTCCTCCAGTAGAGAGGTTAGAATAAGGGTACCCTTTTTCTGTAGTCTTTCTTAGTCAGGGAACCCTCCCCCAAAAAAGCGTGAGAAAGAGAACTACTGGGGGACCTAGTTGATCTTTGCACGCGAGGTGAGTCTGTGCGGGGCGGCTTTTCGCTTTGAGGCGTCATACTCCATTTTGGGAGGAGTCCGTTGGGATTCCATTCGTCAACCGAAGGTCGTGTTGTCCCAACTCACCAGATCCACAGCAGAGCAAGCACCTATACTACTGTGGATGGACGAAATCCTACACCACCAAAGAAGTGATGGAAACCGGAACGTTTGTTGGTATTTTCAAGAGAATCATCATTCCAGAATTTCTCAGGTCGTGCAGGATTTTGTCAATCCACAGTGCGAGCTGTTCTTAGAGCATTGGAAGGGGGTTCTGATCGAGAGGTTCTGAGAACCGTTCAAGGCGTCTCCAAAACATGTCCTTTCGAACGGTTCCCCTAGCAAAGGAGTGGTCAATCAAGGGTGGCACATGTATCGGGGCAACTTTCTAGACGTCAGATTGCGTCAAGACTCAGGAACAACTCAACATGCTTGGCTTCATGTTAGCCTGGCTCTAGCTTTGACCCACACACACACACATAATTACACACGCATACAAATATACGTTAATATACATATACACGCACGTACACACATAGGCACAAAACACACACAAGCAAACAAACACACGGCGCAAAACACGCAAACACACGCACACACGAAAAACACACACACACACACAAACACGAAAACACACACACACACACAAACACGAACACGAAAACACAAATACACACACACACAAACACGAAAACACAAATACACGAACACGAAACACACACACACACACACACACGCACACGCACAGGCACAGGCACAGGCACAGGCACAGGCACAGGCACAGGCCCACAGTCACAGGCACAGGCACAGGCACGCGCACGCGCACGCGCACGCGCACGCGCACGCGCACGCACACGCGCACGCACCCGCACACGCACACACACACACACACACGCACGCACGCACGCACGCACGCACGCACCCACCCACACACACACACACACACACACACACACACACACACACACACACACACACACACACACACACACACACACACACACACACACACACACACACACACACACACACACACACACACACACACACACACACACACACACACACACACACACGCACACACACACACACACACACACGCACCCACACACACACACACACGTGCACACGCACCCACGCACCCACGCACACACACGCACAGACACACAATCACAATCACACACACACACAAACACACACACACACACACACACAGACACACAGACACACAGACACACAGACACACAGACACACACACACACACACACACACACACACACACACACACACACACACACACACCCACGCGCGCACACGCACGCAAACGCACACGCACACGCACCCCCCGGACGCGCACACACGCACACGCACACGCACACGCACACGCCCACGCCCACAGCCACAGCCACAGCCACAGCCACAGCCACAGCCACAGCCACAGCCACAGCCACAGCCACACCCACCCCACACCACACCACACCACAAACACACCCACACACCCACACACCCACACACCCACACACCACACCACACAGCACACACCTCACACCACACACCACACACCACACACCACACACACAACCACACAGACACACAGACACCCAATCACATGCACATAGACACAACGGTACACACACACACACGCACATACACAAGCACACACACACACAAACACACACTTGTCATCAAGACCCCCATTTCCTGCCGTGGGGCCAGGATGTGAGGGCAGTTGCTCGGCTGCAGAAGCTCCTGTGTCTCATGACCAGTGGTTTCTCAGCAAATGTAACCCGGGTTTGCAGGAATCAGTTCTACCAGCTCGCATCCCTAGGTTGAAAAAGGTTGAACTTGCGTTCTGGTCCCGGGGGTCACCCCAAACGAACACAAACCGGAGAGGGGGCCAAACAAATTTGAGACATCTCCACACCGCCCGAGTGCATTCTGAATTGACGACAAAAGGCCCACCCAAACCTCATACGTGTTTGGTCGTCACCAGCCGTTCTTGGGGCTACAGTGTCTTGACTCTCACTGTTAGGCGGGTTCTCAAAAGACTTCGCACATGCCAGGGTCAAAAACGTCGGGGTTGGTCATAGTTGCGTTACCCAACCCGGTGCCATGACAATATCTAAGCACCTCAACGAAGTATTCTGCCAGGTTTGGGCCAGCCTTTTTCTTGCGTCCTGACATGTCGGAACACTTCCACCAGTTGTTTGAATCACCTGGTACAGGGGGTCACTGGACTTCCCGTTCCAAAAGTTGATCAATTTACCGGTGGTGTCCATTCAACAACTACCACTGTTGGAGATTCCAAAAAGATAAATTTGGGGCAACTCCTGTTGTTCCAATCCTCAAAAACAACTAGATTTGTATGAAAACACTACCGCTGAAAAGGGTCGTATGACTCTCTCAAAGGGAAATGGGGAAACCCTGCGGTTATGGTTTCTGAACCCGCTTGGCCGCTGAATGAGGAATCTCTGGTGATTCCTGGGTGGCAAAAATGAGGAAACAGAGGAACTTCTGGTGGAAAAAATGTGTTTGCTAAGCCCGCTTCTGAACCCGCTTCATGCTTGTGCACTCGCTCCTTGTCCTGATCCAGGGGCCGCCCTCCGAAGACGGAGCCGGTCTGGCGCGTGCTTTGGTTCGCAGCTTGGCCGGTGAGGTCGGGCGGGAAGAAGAATCCAGGGCCAGGTGCAAGCAGAAACGCTCTGATTTCTTCTTGGTGGACGTTGGAATGGGAGCAATAATTTAAGTTTTAGCAGTTAAGTGGGGATTTCAACCACGAAACCACAATAAGCAAAAATGTGAAATGTTTCCCAACACCAACGATGTTTTGGTGTCGACCAGGTTTAGTGCACCCAGGGAAAAAGCAAAAGAGGGCACCCCTTGTGCCGCAGCTGATCACGTTTTGCCCAAGGTTGAGGGAAATCCAGCGACTTGGCGTGAAAACACAAATAGAGACGAGAAGGGGGAGGGTGCTCAGGGTAGGCAACCTCACAACACAGGCCAAGGTTTTGCCCAACAGAGGCCGCTGCGAGTCATGTTCACCGATTTCTGCCAAGCCCTCTGGCTGCGGCTCAGGTGATCCTCTCGACTTCCCTTCGCCAAAGGCGTCAACTGGACGCAGAAGGGGTCCCAAGTTTTGCGCCCAGTGACATCCATCCAGCCTTGAGGCCGCTGATGTTCCGGCCCAGTCGCTTGAACTCCAGCTCAATCTGGAACCTGGGGAACTGGGCAAATGCCCGAGGTGCTTTGTGCTTCTGTGTCCTTTCGGTTTGTGTTTACCCCGAAGCCCAGATTCACCATAGCAATCTTGACACGGGACTATCAGGGGGGACACATTTGATTGATTCAAACCTGAAGTCCAGGGTCTCGATATTTTAGCCTGAGTACAAGCAACTTGCAACAAACAACTGGCCGGGTTAAAAGAAAAACAGACATGGCTGTGGGTCAAAACCAATGGTACCATTTTGGGGTAGGTGCGCCACCCATTTTAGTCTACTTTTAGTGGGGTGTGGGATGTTCACTGGGGGTACGGGATTTTGACCCATGGCCACATTGACCTCCAAGCACAAGGGACCCATCCGGCTTGGACAACGGCATCGATGAGTTGCCACATTTTGACACCCGTCCAGTTGAGGAATGGCATACCTCCCAATGGATAGCTACACGGTGTGTGTCCCCGCAAAATGGGCTTCCTTTTCGTCTTCTTAACCATCCAAAACGGGTAGCCTCAAAAAGAACGTACTTACACGGGGACCGGCTTTTCTAAAAAAGGGTACACCGACAAGGTAAAATTTGCCCGGATAAAAACAAAATCAGAAGAACAAAAACCATTCACAAATGCCGGAGTGGCTTGGTCATCTGTCATAGGCTAGCATATAAGAGGATGGTGGTCTTCAAAGACTGTCCACTTCCAGGATCGTTTCAAAAAAGGTACAGCTGCATCGCGCACTGTTGGGAGACTCCCGTTAAGAACTGATACCCCCTCTTGCCCTTTTTTGGGTTCGTTCCTTCCGGACATTTGTAGGAACTGGTCTAGACAGGGCTCCCCAAATCTAAAAGTGGTCAAATTATTGGTGGTGTTCAATGAAAACCCGACACGTTTGGGGGGCGGGGGGGGGGGGGAGGGACCCTGACCCATGAGCAACGGGGTTCCCTCTATGTCCCCTCTATAGCCTTAACCCCGGACTCACAGGACACTGGGCAAAAAGACAGTTCCAGAGTTGCCCACTACCACTAGAAACCGTCTGAATGACTGATTCAAGAGAAGCTCCCACGTTCCTTGGCCTGAGTCAGGCCCTTCCCAGAAGCGATGTTGACACCAAACAAGGCGAACTTTCAGCCCATAGGACTTGTCAAAGGCCAACATGGGGCCATGACTAAACATGGAACAAGGAAAACCAACGGTCCAAAGGTCGATTTGCTTTGAGCTAATAAGTGCTTTGTCGGCTGGTGAGTGCTTTGTCTTTTCCCTGGCACACTTTGGGGCTTAAAGGCTCCGAAAAACCGAGGGGAAGGCCGTCCATCTTGGCAATGCTTTCCTTCTGGTGTCCTAAGCCAAAGGGGGTTCACCATGTTGAGAAGCACTCAAAATACTGTGGATGTTTATGAAATCCATTTCGAAGCACCCAAGAAACCCTGGTTTCTGGTGATTCCGCCTCTAAATACCAACAAAAACAGCGGTTTTCCCTGGTGTCATTTCGTGGTGCGCACGGACTTTGCAGCCACAGCAGACCCAACCGACCGAACTGGGCGTACCCTTGGCTCCCGGCGCCAGCTCCCGGGTGTGACAAATCACCAGCACCTTGACGGCCTCAGAAAATCCGCGGGGAGTTCTGGGGGGAATTCTAGGAGTTGATTCCCCATTCCTTTTAAACATCGTTCTTTCCAAAAACCGGATCCGTTTTCCCTCGGTTCTAACTCCCAGACGCACAGTAATCCCTAACATTACCTAGGTCCTCCAGTAGAGAGGTTAGACTAAGGCTACCCGTTGTCTGTCGTCTATTTCAGTGGAACCCCCCAAAAAAGTTGGTAAAAGTTGGCACTATACTGGGGGACCTAGAATTCGGGCGGACTTGGCTTCGTGGGCTTTTCGGGACTATCGCTTCCAAAACAAGAAGCCCGCTACCACCCGAACCCCTTCTGGAAATCCCCGTCCGAAGCCTCCGCATCCCTGAAAGCTGCTCCGAACCACCCGAACCCTTTCCGAGAGAGACCCCAAAGCTTTCGGGGGAAAAAGGAAACAACAACTTTGACCCCGGATTACACAGCGTGTCCCATTCTGAGGTCTGACCCCCTAATCAGCTTGAAGCAACCCGGAGGAAGCAAGCCACTCGACTAGGCATTGATCCATGAAGTAACCCTGTTGCCTTGCTCCTAACTCGAAAGGGTTTCCCAAAAGAACCTTCTCCCGTGCCATAAACTCGACTTAAACTGCCTGAAACCGATTCGGGTTAGGTGTTTCTTTGCCTGTTCAACAGCAGGTCAGTTTTGGATGGACGAAATGCTGCACCGTTCGGGAACCCTGGAAGGATTCGATTCCCCTTTGAGAAGAGATCACCAGGTTCAGTTGGAAGAGAGTCCTTTCCCATTCGATCCCGGGTTGCCTTTCACCCAAGTCCCACTCAACCTGTGCCCCAGAAACGGGGTGTTTAAAGCCTACTTGAAGAACCAGGGTACTTGGGTGCAAGCCTCCGTCACTATAAGTTATGAGTTCTACGGTTATAACCGGGGTTACTAACCGCTCGGGTGAGTTCCTTTCTTCTTCTTTTTTGTGAGGGCTCTCAAAATGGCTGGTTTCCTTGGTTTCCCTCGAAAATATTAAAGAATGGGGTATTAACTCGAAAAAAGACGAGGCGCTTGCTCAATGCCCTTCCGAACCCTAGCCTCAGGTCGCGGCTGTTTGTGAGACCTCCAAATTCTGCAGGCAGGCGAGCACAAACACCGCCGTCTTGCCCATGCCGGATTTCGCCTCTCGAAGACAAGGTGAACATTGGCCGCGCCCTGCCCAAAGGACCTGCAAGATGCAAGATCAACAATTGGGCGTGTACTTCTTTCCAGGGGAGCCACTATTCCCTTCCTAATAACACAAGTTTCTCTGACAAAACATTTGGTCAAAACCGCACACAAGTCCAGGTCCGCGAGTACCAAGTTTAGAATTGGCCAATTCTATACCAATACCAAACTTGCGATTCTTGTGACCCCAACTTGAGCCTTATTAGGAGTCCCCCCCCCAATCCCCCAATCCTTTCCTTTCAGGAGCTACAAACAACAGAACCCAACACTGTCTTAAGGTTGCAATCTGTGAGCATGTCTGACCCGGGGAAGGGAAGTGATGTGCTACAACTCAAACTACTCCCTGCGAACAAAAAAATCAGGCGCCCCTGAATCATGAAAGTGTGTTTCCCCAGGGAAACATTGCTTCTTTTCTTTCTTGGGGGGGGGGTCCCGTTTAATATTTGGGGGGGGGGGGGAAAGGGACTAAAACGGTGGTTTTCCATCTGGTTTCGCACCAAGACATGTGAACCATGTGTGCCATGGTCAACTGCAGTCAGTTCCTTGGACATCGGGCAGCTTGTTCTTTTTTCCGCTGACCACGACCGATGTCAAGCCGCATCTTTGCAATCGAAAGAATGACATTCTCTGAGCCTGGGAAAGCGGCTGTAGAAACTTCCAGCCGGGAGTTGTCTCAGGAAGCTTCTGCACATAGGCGTCGTTTTGATGAAACATAGATGGTTTTTTTGGTCAATGAAACAAACCAAGCTAACCATGGCCGTCTATTTCTGATCAAACTCACCGATGAAAAGGACACCTATGCTTGTGCATCGTAGCTCGCAAAGGCCGCACCAAGTTCCAAAAGCAAAAGTTGAGTCGGAAGTTGCAGCATTAAGGGACGGTCTGTGCACGGTAGACCTTGCTACCAGTCCCGCGAATTTTTGTGGCCGCCGCTTGTCACAGGCCGCCGGGGTTACCCTAAAACATTTTACAAGGGTACGTCGGAGAGAGGAGTCTGGCTCTTGATTCTTCTTGGCCATAAAACCGCCCAATGGATGACCATGTCCATTTTTATTGGACACCAAAAAGAGAAAAGTCCCGCTGAGCTGCTTAGACGGTTCACAGCTCCGCCCTCGCCTCTGAGGCTTCGCTCTGAAACTGTTTGTGTTCTCTCCGGAGGCTGCAAGCGCTGATGCCAAAGATGACGAAAACAACGAAGGACATGACCACCTCAGCACGGGCTAGAAAAGGTGATACTGTATCAGCTTTTTTTGGGTTGGGGTTTGGGGATTGACTCCAAGGTCGATGTAGCCACCCAAAAAAAGACAAGCGAGAACCAAAAGGATCTCCGATCCGGTGCCATTTGCTTTCTTCCATTTGATTAAGAACCCTGGAAACAACAACAATACTTCCAGTGATAGATTCCCTTTAAAACCAGCAGAGGAAAATAACTTTGGGTGTTCCTTTCAGCACATGGAATACGCATTACACCGAGCCACGTGTACAATCGCGCAGCAGGGAGCTGCACCGAGGGATCCCGAGATCGTCAGCTGCTGCCGGGCTCCTGGGGATGCGCCCACCGCCAGGGCAGCGATCATGCAGCCACAGGAAGCGGCCCCGAAGAGACACGCCGACACCAGGCCCAGCAGATCGCAGGAAATCTTACCTCGGCGCTCTCTCTCTCCGTGAAAACGGATCCGCAAGTGAGGAACTCTGGGTCAAGTCGGTTCCTACCACGAAACACTAAAAAACAAACGCAAACAGCTAGCGGCTGGTCACCAAGATACACGTACCGCTGAGGTTGCAAAGGGTAGCCACAGCAGAAAGGCTGGCAGCAGCCGCAAAGCCCAAAGAGCAGCCGATCAGCAGCCTCAACGCCAAGATCCTCTCGCACACCTTCCACCTTGGTTGACAATAACTATACAAATATGTGTATATATATATATATATATAACAGTTAAGTGGGGATTCCCCAGCACCTGGGAAGGGGAGCAAACAAAATATTTCTCAGCAGACAAGTGGGGACGTCAACCACTAAACTACAGCAAACACGTTCAAAATGTTTTCCAACAGCGAAAAAAAAAACATGTTTAGCAGTTAAGTGGGGATGTCCCCCCTAAATCACAACAAAGGGTGCGGATGTATTTTGGGATTTGCTTTTCGTTTTTCGTCCGGGCCAGTAAAATGTTGTAGTGTACAGCATGTTCTCGCGAAATTGACGCATTTTACGCTAGCCCGTCAACATCCCCAGCATCGTTTTCAACATCCCCCGCATGTCCGACCAACATCCCTAGCATCACCAACAAAGGGTGGGTAACAAAATCGAGAAACAAAAAGTAGCTGGCGGGTTGACGGGGTCAAAAAATGATGATTTCAGTCCCTGTTAAAAAAACAAAAAGTAGCGGGGGGGGTTGGCGGGGGCGGCAGCCCCCCCATGATGTTCGCAGAAGTGATGATTCGAATAGGGGTGCACTTCAATCTCTGCAAAAAGTCTACAAAGTAGGGGGGGTTGAGGGGCGGCAGCCCCCCCATGATGTTCGAAGAATTGATGATTCAACTTCAACTAGGGGTGCAATTAAATCTCTGTAGAAAATCTAAAACGTAGCGGGGGGGTTCGGGGGGGCGGCAGCCCCCCATGATGTCGGAAGAAATGATTCAAGGGTTGGCGGGAGTGGCTTCCCCTATGATGTTCGAAGAAGTTACAGACATACATGGATTACACAGATAACCTAATATATTGTATTTTGCAGCATTTTCTCGCGAAATTGGACGCTCGAAAAAGTGATGATTCAAATAGGGGTGCAATTCAATCTCTGCAAGAAATCTAAAAAGTAGCGGGGGTTGGGGGCCCCCCATGATGTTTGAAGAAGTGTTGATTCAAATAGGGGTGCAATTACTCTGCAACAATATAAACAGTAGCGGGTGGGTTGGGGGGGGGGGCTTCCCCCCCATGATGTTCGAAGAATTGATGATTCAAATAGGGAGGAACTGGTGATGCTGATGATGCGGGAAGCCAAATCCAAAAACCCAATGAAAGGGTGCAAAAGCAAAAAAGCCCAGAGAGGAACTGTGAAAGCAGAGGATGCGAAAAGCCAAAGCCAAAAAGCCACCAAAAGCCGCATAAACCAACAAAAAGCCGAGAAGCCAAAAAGCCAAGAAGCCGAAAAGCCAAGAAGCCAAGAAGCCAAAAAGCCAAGAAGCCAAGAAACCAAAAAACCAAAAGCGGAAAAAATATCCTAAAATAAATACCCCTCCAAACCACAATAAACAAAACCGTAACATGTGTTGCAAAAACAACCATGCCACAGGCTGGTCTTGCAGGCGGACTTGAGGTCCAACTCGAGGCCCAAGTCTGAGGTGTGGAGCGACCAGAGGCTGATGTCCCCTCGCCCTGAAACGCCCAAGGCCTCGCCAAGGTTCAAAACCAACGGTACCATATGGCTCAAAACCACACTTGGTTGACGTTGGAAGGGGAGCAACAAAATAAATTTTAGCACCCAAGTCACTCAAGTGGGGATTTCCCACTAAACCACAATAAGCAAAAATGTAAAATGTTTCCCAACAACAACCATGTGCAGAGCTAGTGTTACGCAGGTTTTAGTTGTTGGTTTCAGTTACCAAGGTGCCATTTGGTGCCACTCTTTTGAGCCACACCCATTTTGGGATAGGTGAATTTACCACCCATTTTAGAACCTATTTTAGTGGTTGGATTGAATCGGATGTTCACTTGGGGTACAATTTGGATTTTGAAAAGCCCATAGCCGCCTCTGACTGGAACTGTCCGCCCCACCAGGGGCCCACCAGCGCCACCAGCGCCAGCACCGTGGCCAAGACCGCCAGGCAAAGACCCACCGAGGCGTTGCTCTGGTTTCGCTTGGCGCTGGGCTTCATCTTTTCCAGAGGGCTCAATCGCGAGCGAGAGCCCACAAAAAGCGCGAGCGAGGCGCCTTTCGCTCTTGAGCCATGGAAAAAAGAAAGAACAAAACAAAAAAACGAGGTCTTGTCATAGAATCGACGCAGTTTTGCATCTGATCCATCTAGTCTTGACTCACCACCCTCCAATGAACCACATCCGCATCATGCTATGAAAATTGACATTGGTGAGCCCGGTTTTGTTGAGAAGTTTAGAGGGTCCCCCCCCATGTCCCTCTTACGACTGGACGCTTCTTGTTCAAGCCAAATCTCATAGGGCGATGTGGAGCCGTGGCCCACCCATGCTGCCTTGCTGCTTTGGGGCCCACGAAGCAAACATCTGGCTTCACAAAGAAGCATTGAATCATGTTTAGCCTTCCACGTCAACTTGCTGTACAATTTCACCTCCCCAAGTTCCCAGGAGCCTCCTGTTCTAAATTACCAGGCGGACCTGTAGCACCTGGCTCCAGAGCGAGCCACAAAAAGCGAAAAAGCTTTTCGGTTCCGCCTGGCAAAGAACGTCGGAGCCGAGCATGGCCTGAGGCAGGCACGCGTGCTGTACCTGCGCGAGAGCTCTCGATCCCAGTGAGTGACGTGGGAGTGAGGGAGGCTCCATGAGGTAGGGGGAGGTTTCATGCGAGAAAACTTGAATCTCGATTCGATCCCTTTACTTGTCTGCAGTGTGATGTGTGGAGGGAATACGGGAGGCTAGGGTTGCTTGCAGAGGTTTCATGGAAGGCGGAAATGTCTACACCCGGCTGTGAATTGACTGCTTTTGGATCCTCAAAAATGGGACTGTGGGAGTGAGGGCCGAGAAATGCTCGCTATCGGTTCTCCATTGCAGGGCCGTCCCCCATCCGAGTAAAAACCCTCGGAAAGGAGAGAAAATGAATCACTGCTGGTGTTTGCCTGAGATATGGTTCAGTTTGTGCTAGTATTGGACTTGTATTGGAAAGTGGATCCCCTTTGATTTGCAGAATAAAACTCAGATTGCAACTTCTCGTTTGCTTTCTGCTCCCCTGCTAAAAGTCTAAGTTTTAGTGGTTTAATGGAAAACCCATTAGTTGGCAAAAAGTTAAAGTCCTAACATCCAAGCAAAATGCACCAAAGACTTGTTAAGTAAGAACTCTGAATGGGGCATTCCCGTTGCGCAATTATTTGAATGTTTGAGGTTGGCGCGCGGACTCTAATAAAACTTGTTTGGGGAGTGTGTGCTTTTTGATTTGGTGTGTGCTGCATAGGCTGACACTTTATGGAGGGGGGGGGGGGTCCTATGGGGGTCTCACTATATCGTTCCTGAAGGTTTCTGACACTTGTCGTTTGGCGTTTCACTAGGTCTCTAGCGGTTGATTCCCCATTATTTTCAACCATTGTTCTTTTCAAAAAACCAGCTGTTTCCCCTGGGATTGTTTTTATGGTTTCCTGAAAAGATTCGGATCCCTGGAAAGAATGGGTAGAACATCACCGTCTCTGCACCAGAGACCCCTGGAAAAAAATGAGAAACTATTTCCAGTAGTGAAATCGAATTCCTTTAAAACCAACAGGGGAAAACAAAAATAACAATATGTTGTTCGGCAAATGCAAGAAATCGAGAGTTTCGCCTTTCGCTCCAATCAAACAAACATTTGACGCAAAAACCGGGCCCTCCCATGGAGCTAACCCGGCAACTCATAGGGCATCGAGCCCAACCGATCAGTTGTTTTGTTTTTCCATCAGAGCCAGAGCTTTACCCCAAAAGCCAGCAGTGACTCAAAAACAAAAAAGTGACTGACACATACTGACACAACCACCAACAGTCACTGAAAAAACCAGCAGTGACTGAAACAACCAGCAACTTGGCTATCTAGGTAGAGCTGATTTGCTGATTTCGCGTGGGGAAGATTGAGCTGGAGATTAAATTCATGCTGCACCGGCCGAAATGCAGCTTGCCGATGTGCATCAGGCCCGACCATTCATAGCCTTCGAAATCTGGCAACATCTTTTGCAACATAGAATCCTATACGATATATGGAAAAAAAAACAAACTTCCTGTTCTTGTTCGAGTCAAACTGGAAAAACACATCTTGAAGCGACCTTTGCGCAGAGCGTTTACTGAGTGGACCATAACAACCAGTGGAACCCATCGATGCTTCATCAAACTCACCGATCTAAACGGCACACCCAAAGGACATGACTCAGTTGTTCAGTGACCCTGGATAAAAAGGGAACCCTTTTTGGGGAAGACCACTTTTAGTGGGGCAGCCACCAAAAAAAGGGGGAAAAGGGTGCCACTGAACAACTGAGTGAGGATTCCTGAAAATAAATGGACAACTTCAACTTGCTGGCAAGCACCCTCGACTTCTTAGTGGGTCCAATACGGAGAATCCGCTCAGCCTGTTTCAACCAATGAGTTAAAATCCAAAGATCCGCTACGAGATAGCCGAAAATCAGCTTCCCTCTAGTTGGTGGTTTGGTCGTTCAGGACGGGTTCCCATTGGCCCTCTGCAAAAGCCAGGGACCCGGTCAAATCCCCAAAACCAATCCAAGCCACCAACTAAGGGTTGCGTGAATAAAAACAAAGTAAAAATAGTTCAATCAACGGGTACCAAACCAGTCAGGCTCAGACCTTTTACGCTTTCTCCGGCCTCTGACGGGTGTTCGAACCCGCAGTCCACGGTGGCCTGGAAGAGAGCAGGTGCCGAGTTGCTTTTGCTTGTGTAACGCAAACATCTGGGGCATTCAAAATATTCCATTTGCTTAAGCTCCCTGGAAAAAACTATATTAAACTCATCCAGTAGTGATAGATTCCCTTTAAAACCAGGAGGGGAAAAAACATTCTTAAGTTAAATGGAAGAAATCGAGAGCTGGCCAAGCGGACTTTCCATCCTTTGGAAAATCCCCCAAAGGGGACCCCCCTTCGCAAGCGCAGACTCTGCAGCGATGACGGCACCTGGAAGTTGGTTGGAAAAAGCGAAGGGCAAATCTGCCCTTGTACCGCCATCCTTCTTTTGGAGGGGCAATGGCAAATCTGTCCAGTTTCCTCGAAGGTGAACATGAACCTATCAGAAGAAAAACCGAAACACCGCAGGCTTGCAATTTCAGCGATCAACTGGGTGTCTCAAAGTGCATTTCAGGTATGCCTTGTAACTCTTTCCAAACAAATCCGGGAAACGAAAGGACACAAGTTCAAACAGACCTAGATAAACTGTCCGAGTGCGCTTCTCACTTGTTCAAGGACCTGGAAATGAAAGGTGAACCGGTTGGAACCATGACTAAGCATGGACATGCGTGAACCAAACACCAGTCAGCATCCGGCCCAAAAGCTGTCGCAGGGTGCGGGAACCAGCATACAGCTGAGGGGGGAGCTGACAACTCTGGGCACTCCTTTGATTTCGTTTCAAGTCAAAACGTGACGAGTGTGGCCGCAAACAACACACGCCCGAGTTGACTCAGGTCAACATCGTCGCTGACAAAGGGAGCTACGTTACCGGAGCACCCTGACATCCGAATTCGGTGATTCAGAAGTCCACCAAGCACTTGGCGTTCCCATTGAAATCTAAACTGGGGAACACAAGTACTTCCATTTGATGAAGCCTGAAGCCGCCCAACAAAAAACAACTATATGTCCAGTGATTGATTCCCTTGCGAGAACAACAAGGGAAAATAAAGACTAGCCCTTTGAAACCAGGGAGTTGTTGATGCCCTTTAAACACAACAAGGCAAAACAAAACAGAACATGCCCTTTAAACATACCAATGCTAAAACAGCACATGCTCTTTACAAACAACAAGGAAAACAAAACAACAAATGCCCTTGAAACACAACAAGGTCAACAAAACAACGAGAAAAAGATGGGGGGAAAAAAACATCACCATTATTTTCAGCGAATGGGAGTGAATTCGCCCCTGGAGCGGAGATCGATCCTGCAGCAGCTCCGACTTCAGGAGGAAATCCTTGAACCCCGAGGCCGAGATGCTGCCAGTGCCCCTGGCCTCAGATCGGTGAAAAGTCGAAAAAAACTCGCCGCCCGCCTGAAACCCCTTCCCCCAGCAAAAAGCAAATGCATGGCTCTTCTTGTTTCTTTTTTTTTTTGGGGGGGGGGTGTTTGGGTGAAGGAGATTCCTTCAACTACAAATGGGTGGGTCTTCTTAGGGGGTTCCTATGCTAGGTCCTCCAGATTTAAGGGGTACTAGAAAGGGTACCAACTTTTCTTCTTCTGTAGTCTATTTTAGCAGGGGAACCCAAAAAAGTTGGCAAAAGGGCACTACTGGGCCTACGGGGGACCTAGAATGGCCATGGGTCAAACCCAATCCCCACTAAAATAGGTTCTAGAATGGGTGGTGCACCTATCCCAAAATGGTACCATTGGTGTTGACCCACAGCCAAATCAAGACAAAGGGTTGCAACCAAGCAGTCACTGCCCTCAGCAGTTTCCTTTGCACCCAAAGGCTGGGTCTTCTTGCTCTGAACCAGTTTCCGGTTTCCCGTGTTTCAGGCTTCATTCCCGAAATCCAGCAAGCAGGAAGCCAACATCCGCACTGGTTTCTGGTTCTCGCTTTGGCCCCACCTTGAAAAGGGGCTTCCGCGAAAGGCACGAGGCACCTGGAAAGGAAGCCGGTGCTTCACCCCGATGCTTTTTGGTGGTTTGGGCGGTCTTTCCGCCTTTCGGTGAGCCAACCCCCCAGTTCGAGTCGCTCAATCAATCGGTTCACATCGGTCCAGCCAGTGGCGTTTCGGAACCTCAAGTCTTTGGGAGCAAGATCCTCTCAGGACCTTTTACCAAACACTGCTCGATTGCAATGCTTTGGCCGGCGCACTGCTCCAGCCGCCAGCCAGGGGGAAATCTAGGGTGTGTCTCTTCAAACCTTGGCCCAGAACGTGTCAAATTTCTTGGGCGCGAAGGGTGGTGGTCAAGACTTCTTTTGTGGTGTGTGTGCCATGTTGGGAAGTGTATCTTCGTGCGCGCTTTCTTGCCAGCTGTTCTCCTGTGGCCCGGGCAAATCCGCCTCCAGTGGAAGCTCCATCCTTGGTGTCCTCGCAGCGCACATGGCCAGTGATGGAAGAGACAAACGCCCTGAAGACGATTTTTGATTGAAAGTCCTATGCGCATCCACCGGACATGAGGCCCTTGCTACAGGGTTTACCGGATTTCCCCGCAGCTTGATCAATCTATGCTGGTGTCCGCTGAAGTCCATTGAAACGATCGCCACTTTTGGAAGCCTCCAAAAGGGACATGGAGGATACCACTGTTTCATGTCGGACACGACTGTACAAGCGGTCTAAGTCCGAGCGCATCTCTTCAAGAAATTCGACTCGCACTCGTCGAGACGGCAGTGGCTTTCGGTCTTTTTCTCCCCGCAAACGGCGGGTTTGTGCGAAGCTGGCAGCGTAGTTCGCCGCCTTGTGGATTCCCAGCGCCTGCCGGGAGCAACGCGGAGATGCAATTCTGCAAGTATGCCCCTGTGGCTTGCCCACTCCAAACGCTCCCACTTTCTTGTCTGCAATGCTAAAACCCCTGATGTCAACTCCTATTTAAAAAAAAAAAAAAGAAAAAAAAAAAAAAAAAACATATCTGAGAATTCCTGGCGATTGCAAACAAAAAGTTGGTATTTGGAGAAGAAATCCCTCACTGGGTGACCAACTGGGAATGTCTTCGGGCGGGGCGTTGCCTCCTTGACTGTGCGCGGGCAACTCACAACCCCTCTTTCCGTGGAGAACTGTTCAAACCAAATGCTCACATTCGCGGTGATGCACCTGCCAAAAACATCAAAACTATTACCCTCCCTGCCACGTTTCCATGGCACCAGAGGTTCAGACGTTAGGTCCCAAGAGCTCAATGATCTTCCAGGTACCCTCTCACAGGTGCCATGCTGGAGGGAGGGTGGTGGTTTTCCCTCGGCTCCTTTTGAACCAACCTAGACAAGGGTGCCCCAAAACACACATTTACGGGGCTTGTTAGTGGGAAGGGTTTTTGGGGTCGCCCCAACACATCTTCGACTCGGCCCATCCTGAGTCGGTCACCAGGTTTAAGCCGCTTGCTTCGCCTGCGCGGAGGGATGCCCCAAATACCGCCCCAGACCCAAAGGGCTTCAAACCAAATAGCCCTGGGCTTGTGTTTGCACTCGGACTCTCACAATTCACTGTTTCTCCCGGCAATTCAAGCAAATAAATGGGGGAAGCCTGGACATCCTGTTCAGTGAAAACATCAACACGCCACGCAATCTGGAGGAATCGGTCCCTATCACCCAGTGGGCATTGATGGAGCCACGAAGAGACACGCTGAGGTCCCTCCTCAAAGTTGGGAAGACCTTTGGGTGCCGCTGGCCCAGCTGAGCACTGGGCTTGGGCCAAGGAAACGGCATTCCCAACAACAACCATGAATTGGTCCTTTGGTCACCCGAACTTGCTACCCGAAATGTGGCCATTGGTTAAGACCATAGGAAAAAATCGGAAAATATGTCCAGTAGTGAAATCGATTCCCTTGAAAACCAGAGGAACATACAAAAAATAGTTATTATTTTCGGCACATGGAAGCGATTCTTTGCGTGGCCCTGCCTTTGGTGGGAAGCGACCGAGCCTGGCTGGTCGGCGAAGGTTCAGATCTGAACGAATCCGGAAATGTTCTGATCGGACGCAGCTAAGGAGCCTTGGGTACCTTAGGCTTAGGTCCTCCAGATTTGAGAGCTTAGAATAAGGGTACCCACTTCTTTCTGTAGTCTATTTTAGTAGGGGAACCCTCCCCCCACAAAAGGGTAAAAGTTGGCACTACTGGGGGACCTAGGATCTGAACGAATCTGGATATATTCTGATCGGAGGCCTGTGCCCATGATCATCGGGTACCATCCCAAATAAGGCGCCTCTATGAGAAAGGACATTCCTCAACACGAGCAAGAACCGAGCCAACACCTCAAAGTCGCTAGAACTCGCACAAACACGTGGGCCGCTTCTAACTCGACTTCCAAAAGCGAAGTAGCGCCTTGATAAACATGGTGCTTCAGGTCTTTCAGGTGTGTTGAGGCAAATGGGAAGTAGTTGCCTCAAAGTGAGGCAACATGCTTCGATTTGTGTGTGGCTCGCTTCTGTCAGACTGATCTGGAGGATCATACTTCCTTCCTTCCTTCCTTCCTTCCTTCCTTCCTTCCTTCCTTCCTTCCTTCCTTCCTTCCTTCCTTCCTTCCTTCCTTCCTTCCTTCCTTCCTTCCTTCCTTCCTTCCTTCCTTCCTTCCTTCCAGTGGTGAGTAACGACTACTCTTAGTCGGTAAGTGTTCCTTCGGGGTGTTCGCCCTGTTCATGTTCAGCCAGAGGGGTAAGTTCAATGTACCGTCGATTTCTCCGCAGGAAAAAAATGGACCTTGCAAGTAGTAACGCAGTCATTTGGGTTTTGGAGGGAGGTATTCTCTCATTAATATGGTCGGACAGTCCACAACAAACAGCCACGCGCCACGTGTCCGGGTCCGCCTGTACAGTCTGGGTGGGGCGCTTGCCACATACCTTTCCAAGGTCGCCTCTGCCGCTCAAGAAGAACGGCGCATCC